TACCATAAAAAAAAATTACATCAGGAGAACTCAGAGGTTTCAGTGTTAAGAATTCTAGAACCAGGAAATGCCACAGTTAAGGTTTCATTTACAAACAGCGCCTTTAAGGAGTCCTGAGGACCACAGAGGATGACTGACCCTGGTTCAGTGCTGCTAGATGGCTGATATGCAGTGGGGAAAGAGGAACACAGGAAGTGTCTGTCTAAGGTAGATAAGTGGTGCCCTGGTGAAAGGCCCTGGAGCCCTTACTTCTCTTTCCCTGGCTACTGGGGGGTGAAGGGCACAACTGGTCTGAACTCCTGTTTGTGTTTCTTCCTGAAACAAAAGGAGCATTCCTGTAGCCAGTCAGCCACCATGGATCAAAGCAAAAAAAGGAAGAGAACAAAGGGAGCAAAATAAGGAGAAGTTTGGTGGGATAGGTAAATGTGAGCTCCCCACTGGTCCAAAAGGATGGCAAGATAAGTTTGTTCACATCCTTAAGCTTGCCCTTCAGGGATTTCTGCAGGCCTGTAACATGGCTCCTTCTCCAGACAGCCACCCAAAACAGTTCCTTCAGTTAACAGATCTGCTCTAGAGGCAGGAATATCTATCAGGAGAGCCTACCACTTTTTTAAGTGAGACTGATGGGTCCTGTGCTGCTCTGCACTGCCGAGGCGAAATGAGGGCTTTGTATCAAACTGATCTTATTTTGTGGGGGAAGTAACCTAGCCCAGATCAGCAGGGACCTGAAAGCTGTTACTATCTGGGGACTGCATGAAGAAAGTTGTTCTTAGTATTGTTTCTAGGGGGAGAGGTGTTCACATCACCAAAAAAAAAAAAAAAATCACAAATGGCACTTATTAACACTCACAGTACAGAGGCCAAGGACTGAAAAGGCCAGCGATACTCAACTCCCTTCTTAACCCAGAGTTAGGTCCCTCCAAGTGAGTGCTGAAGCCCATTCCTGGGGTGTTGTGGGAGAAGCTGTAACTGTGAATAAGAGAACTTCAGTCTCTACTATAGTGAGTGTAATAGTTTACAACTGCATTAAATCCACTTTGAATAGAAAAAAAAAAAAAGAGCTTCTCACACAACTCACTTGGGATCAACAACAGATTTGCACTCAAGTTTCTAGGGCTGGACGGCTTGTGCCCTAATTCATTGCACCAAACAACATGGAAGTGTAGACGATGCATTAGATGAGATCAGACTGCATCTAAACACACACACAGAATTTTACCTATAAATTTCCCAATTCCTTCCTTATATTCCTCCAAGACCTCGTGAAGTTCTACCCTGTGTCCAAACATAAAAGAATACACATTAGAAAAAAAATAATGAGAATGAGCCTGCAGAGAGGACTGTGGATGAGCTAATTCCTCAGTATATTAGAAGACACACTCCAATCTTTCCAAAAAGAGCCCTGAAGTTTCAGCCACATAATGGAGTCAGATGGAGGAATGACATTATCACTACACCAAATCTCACAAGATCTTGTTGCCCCTGTACCTGCAAGATGGAGCTGTCATATAGAGAAGACTCAGGCTTCTTTACTGAAGTGTTGTCCAAATTTGGATTAGACTAGATAATGGAAAAGAAGCATAAACCCTATCTACACTACAACTTCCACCATTAGTACCACAGTGGATCTGCACAAGTGGGGAGTAACAGGTCCCGTTTTTGTCAAGTACATGCAGCCTAAGACTACAGCTTTTAGAATTAGATGAGGGTGCTCATTAGAGAGTTTTACAAAAAGTCATAAAGAAACAGGAAAAGGCCATTTACACCATCCTGTTCACTTTTCAAAAAAGGCTTCCCCTTACATATATCTGCTTTTAGCTCTCACCTACAATAAATGCGCAGCAACCCATCCATCCCCAAGAAATCCAACCATAAGGCAGAGTGTGATGGTCAACATCTTGGCCAACACACCAGTGACTGAATCAGGGACCTCCACTGGTAGAAATCATGAGCAGCTACATCTTGAGCTAAGATGCCAATACTCGCTAGCTGGGGCTGTAACATCATGTGGTCTGAGGTGGAATAGCTGTTTCTCTATGACCTCATTGTCCTGACGAACTTTAATGAGGTAAGTCTCAAATGCTTCTGGTGAAGCAAGAAAGTATTGTTTCTTGTTTCCAATGGGGAAACTGAGAACACAAAAGCGGTGTCCCAGCTAGGCTTGATACTTACAGAGTTGAAAGCGTGAGTTGAACAATGGCAGGAACCCCTTTAATTGCCTGCAGTGTGTCGTGGGTGAGGTGCGGTGGGGATCCTGTTTTGGTATACAATAGGCAGCCTGGAAGCTCCATGGTTTGAACCCCATTCTTGCCAAGGTTTGTCAGTGTCCCAAGACGACACCCACTGACCACTTTGGAGAGACTCAGCTTCATCCTGGTTAACTGGCAGGCAGTGTCCAGTGTCCCGTCCTTTAAAGAAAGAGATTATTTAGGTAGGTCTTTCTCCATCAAGATTTTGGGTTAATATTTGTATCTGTAAAAGCTTAGTAATTGAGGGAAATGAAAAAGTAAATTAATTGTTTCTAAGGCTACTTGGATTCCAATACACCTGCAATAGATTCATTAGTAACAGTGGGGGAAGAAGTAGCTCACAAGACAGGTATTATGGTATGAACTTTCACTCAGAAGACCTTGATCTGTTCCTAGTTCTATTGTTGTGACACCTTGGGTAAGTCACTTCATTTCCCAGTGGTGCCACTTCCTCTCCCACCCTTTGCCTGCCTGGTCTATATAGATGGTAAACTCTTCTGGACAAGAACCGTCCCTCACTGTATTTGTACAGCACTTAGTGCAATGAGACCCATGTCTTTACTAGGGCCTCTGGGTGCCAATACAAATTATTATTTTTAACACTTAGATTAGTCAGGACTAAGGAAGATTATGAGGAACATAAATCAAGATAGTACAATGGCAGATAAAATTCAGTGTTCATAAATGCAAGGTAATGTACATTGGGAATAATAATCTGAACTATTCACAAACATTGGTGGGCGGGATTCTAAGTTAACTGTAAAAACAACACGGAGTCCTTTTGTGGCACCTTAGAGACTAACAAATTTATTTGGGCATAAGCTTTTGTGGGCTAAAACCCACTTCATCAGATGCATGGAGTGGAAAATACAGTAAAGGTATAAATACACAGCGTATGAAAAGATGAATGTTGCCTTACCAAGTGGGGGGTCAGTGCTAAAGAGCCAATTCAATTAAGGTGGAAATGAGCTATTCTCAATTGTTGACAAGGGAGGAAAAAAATCACTTTTGTAGTGCTAATGAGTTCAATGTAATCAAGGTGGCCCATTTCAAACAGTTGACAAGAAGGTGTGACAGGTTTCAGAGGAACAGCCGTGTTAGTCTGTATTCGCAAAAAGAAAAGGAGTACTTGTGGCACCTTAGAGACTAACCAATTTATTTGAGCATGAGCTTTCGTGAGCTACAGCTCACTTCATCAGATGTATACCGTGGAAACTGCAGCAGACTTTATATACACACAGGGGGAAAATTAGTTTTTGTAGTGACCCATCCACTCCCAGTCTTTATTCAGGCCTAATTTGATGGTGTCCAGTTTGCAAATTAATTCCAGTTCTGCGATTTCTCACTGGAGTCTGGTTTTGAAGTTTTTTTGTTGAAGCATTGCCACTTTTAAGTCTGTCATTGAGTGTCCCGGGAGACTGAAGTGTTCTCATACTGGTTTTCGAATGTTATAATTCTTGATGTCAGATTTGTGTCCATTTATTCTTTTGGGTAGAGACTGTCCCGTTTGGCCAGAGGGGCATTGCTGGCACATGATGGCCTATATCACATTGGTAGATGTGCAGGTGAACGAGCCCCTGATAGTAAATACCCAGGGAAAAAAAATCTGGACAGTTCAAGGAAAACTTCTGTTCAATGCATAGCTGTGGTTTAAAAAGGCAAATTAAATGACTGACAGACAAAGGAATAGGATAACGTGGGCAGAGTTGATAACTTGTGATTTTTATGTATCACAATTTGAGATGTACCCCAATATTCAATACTGATCATAAATCCTGAAAAACTGGAGTTATGTGAATCCCTTAGAATCGCAACTCTCATTTAAAGAAGTCTTTCTAGCCCTCCAGAAAAGAGCTTGAAAACGGGAACTCTGAAGGTTCACAACTCAGAGGGAAGAGGTCTCCAGATAACATTTAGAGCTCAGAGGAACAGCCGTGTTAGTCTGTATTCGCAAAAAGAAAAGGAGTACTTGTGGCACCTTAGAGACTAACCAATTTATTTGAGCATGAGCTTTCGTGAGCTACAGAAAGTGATGAAGTGAGCTGTAGCTCACGAAAGCTCATGCTCAAATAAATTGGTTAGTCTCTAAGGTGCCACAAGTACTCCTTTTCATTTAGAGCTCGTGACTTTTAAGCCAGTCTCCTGAGATCCGGTTGCGGGAGGGACTCACGCAGGAATGGATATTTGAACGCGTGGGGGTGACCTGAGTTTCCTGCAGGCCCTGCCACGTTCTTCTGCTCGCCGGAGTCTGAGTCCCCCGCGCCATTTCGCCACCTTCCTGCTCTTTCACCTCAGCCCCGGGGGAAGCCGGGCCCTGCCCTGGAAGCGGGGGAGGGGGAGTTACGGAGCGAGCCCGTCCCGCGCTCACTGCGCAGCGGCGGTTGCTGTCGCACGGGCCGGGCCCGGCTCCCTGACTGGGGCGCGGGGACCTGGCGCGGGGGGGTCGAAGCCCCGCTCGGCTTAACTGGCCCCGGCCGCACCGATCGTGGTGACCGAGGGCAGCCGGGCCAAACGCGCGTGAGCGGCACCGGGCCCCCCAGAGCCCCTCGAGGCGCCGGGCACCGACCCAGCCGCCCGCTCTCGCCTTTACCTGGCTCGCGCCGGCCGCCTCCCTCGCATGAGCGTCTCTCTTCCCGGGTCTACTCAGCGTGCGACACGTCATTACTGAGGGACGCGCAAGATCCTTGTCGCCTGGACGGGGGGTGTAAAGGTGGCTGCGCCGTTGCCATGGAGAAGCGACCCTCCCGGCGCGGTGCATTCTGGGTCTTGCAGTTCGTGCTGATCCAGGTTTCCGTGCGCCTCGTCCAGTGGGGAACTCCGTTTCCCACAAGGTTCCTCTCCCCCCGTGTGTCTGGGGCGGGGTGGGGATGCGGTGTCTGTCTGAGCCTTGGCAATGGCCTTCCCAGCGCCCAGGCCCCAGCTCTATCGCTGGCAGCGCCTCACCGCCGCGGCCAGGCCCAAGGTAACGGAGGGGGCGGTGTCCCCCCGTCCCCAGCGCCCAGTCCCCGCGCTGCCCGGGGGCTCCCACGGGGGTCACCAGCAAATCCATGGGGCGCCCCAGGTCACCAGCGCCCAATCAGGGGGCTCCCCGGGCTCACTGTCAGCCCCATGCGGGGCGCCCTGGTCACCGCTGGCCAATCAGGGGGCTCCTACCCCTGCCACCCGGGGCCCGGCAGCCGGGACCCCTTGGGGTCACTGCACCCGCTCTGCCCCCGGCCTTCCTGTGGCGGGTCACGCCCCCGGGGTCAGTGGAGGCCAAGCCCGGCAGGTGCCCCCTGGGCTCAGCTTTACCCAACTAGGGCATGTGGCCAAGCCCAGGCCTTCAGAAACCAGGAGACTGGCTTAAAATCCCGAGATTTATTTGAACAGTAACAAATGTGCATTTATTTTTCTTTGCCTTCTGGTTTCTGAGTGTTTGGGTTCACGGCAGTCATGTTTTCAAGCTTTTCTTGGCCACCATTAGGATTGGAATCCCCCCACACACACACACACTTTCTTTTTTTGAAATGAGAGCAGAGATTCCTGAATAATCACTTGACTCCAAGAGCTGGGGCTTTAAGAAAACCATGAAATATAGGGAGCGTGTGTGTAACATCACAGGAGTTGGCAACATTGTCAGCCCCAAATCAATGACATCATGGATTTTAAAATACAAGAAAGGCAATTTTTAACGGGCAGTATTATTACTGTTATTTGAATTATAGAGGCCCTTTCCAACCAAGATCAAAGCCCCATTGTCTTAGATGTTGCACAGTCGCCGCCGCAAGGAGTTAACAGTGTAAATGGACAATACAGACAAAGGGTGGGATAAAAAGAAATGTCTCCATTTTACAGATGGGAAACTGAGGCAAAGATTTATTTAGTTTCCAACCCTGTAAAGATTTACAAATATACTTAATTTTAAGCATGAGAGTAGTGCCATTGAAGTCAACTGGATTATTCACACTCTGAAACACATAAAGATAAGTCTTTCAGGATCAGGAGCTAGGTGACTTGCTCAAGGTCACATAGGAAATCTGTGGCAGAGCCTGGAATTGACTCCAGATCTCGAGTCCTCATCCAGTGCTTTAACCACAAGACCATTTGATTCAGAAATGAATGAGAAACAGGGGGAGTTGTTTGAGGATGGGAGTAATATTTCTGGAGAAAGAGCACAGGCTTTTTCATTGTACTCAAGTGACTGGCTCTAGGCATGACAACATTAAAATGAGAGTTAAAAGGAAGCAAAAAAAATTTTAAGTTAACATTTTGTATCTTCTTTGTAGCCAAATTTTGACTCTGATAATGTGGAGCACTGGATCAAGGTAAGGTCATTTGCAAATGAACTTGTGAAACAGAAAAGTAATTGAGTCAGGGAATATGCAGGCTCAGTGGGATGGAAGTGGGACAGAAAGCCTTTCAGTCTTATGTTTGCATCCAGTTCAGGTTGACTGTGCCAAAAATTTGTACCATCTGATAATTGATTGATGGATTCTAGGGAGTAAATTGATGGCTGTCTGGTTTCCTTATGTCTACAACACGCTGTCCACCATCACGGCTGGTAATCATCAACATACCAATGCTTATAACTTAATTACATATAAATCAAGTATCTTCAGACATGTCAAAGGTAATAAGTCCATGAGAAATGCTAAGTTTCAAAAGAGAGCAAATTTTTGTGGATATTCAAATTCATATTCCATATTCCCTTTTGTTATGATCCTGTTAGTACTGGGTTGAACCACTGAATACTTGGATAAGATGCAGCCAGGAAAAATTCGCTAACTACAGGATGTGGTGTTGATGATTCAGTAGATGGTACTGTTCATTTAGAGCCCATACTATGCCAGTCCCTGGCAAGATGTACAAGGTCTCTGTGCTACTGGTGGTGCCTTCTTTTGTGTGAAATGTAAATTTGAGGTCCAGACTGCTAGCAATCGTTAAAAAATCCGGTGAAACCGTTTGCAAGACTGGGTGTTAAACTCAAGTATCCTGGCCAAATTCCAGTTTGGTAATTACAGTCTGCCTTCCTGCATTTTCCCAGCAATTAGACCTGCTTACAGTATTCTGTACATCCTATCCTGCCCTCTTGTGAAGTAGTGCTGTGAATTGCCAAACAGCTGCCACATTCCAGGTGACAGCACTTGCAGGATAAGAGCTCCCCTTAACATTTTGGCATGGGCTTATGAAACACGGATCTGTGTGCGCCAGCCCCACTTATAACACATCTCTGTTCCCTGTTAACACACTGCTATGCTCAAAGTCAGCCTCAGACTTTGGGGGAGTGATTTCATGATTGTTTAGGACGTGCTTTGTTATAAAAAGCACGTGTGAGAGTGTTTACGACCTTCTGCTATAGGAGTAAAACTCCACTGTGCTTGTTTCCTCAATCCTATTGATTGATTTATGTTTTCAATGCTATCTTCACAAGGTCTAGAAATGCATTATTTTAAAAAACAAAAGCCAACATTTTCTGCTACAGTTTGAGCTCCTCGAACACAGAGAAGCCTGCAGCCTGGGGGTCGGTGGGGGCCTCTGGCCAGCTCAAACCACAGAGAGTGAAATGTTCCTTAGATACAATCTCTAAAGCCCTTTGTCCTTTTTCAGGGTGAAAGGTGCTGTATTGATTCAAGACTAACTATTCATTTTCAGTGATCTGAGCACACACAATGAAGGATCAGAAGATTTTATTTAATCCCCCCCATTATTTATCTTAAAAACAACCAAATGCGATGTGCCTAGATCTATCTATCCTCTGTCCCAAACAAATCCACCACAGCCTCTGGACTGAAAACAAACCTCAGAAATTTCCACCCCATGGGGTAACATTTTTGGAAAGTTATAAGCATCTAAGGACAGAATCTGATCACGTAAGCACTATCTCAGCCTCATCAATAGCATCATGCCCATGTAGTAATGCTTAGGGCCTCAATCCTATATACATGGATGAACCTTATTTCATGCAGCTCCTTCTTCAGTCAGTGGTGCTCTGCACACATGCAGGGGTCCACTCCTCCAGAGTATCTTACAGGATCAGGACTTGGAATCTGTAGTGTTTGACACTGAGTATGTGCAAGTTATAAGAAATGTTTTTCTTCCCTTATTTATTTTTAAAGCGAGTGGAACAAGCCTCCGAGTTTGCCGTTTCTGAAGCTTTTTCCCTTAAAAAGTCAGCTTATCCTCAAAGGCCACGTGGTCCTGTGGTGGATCTGGAAACAGTAGAGCAGCTGCAGGATCACGATGAGGCTTATGCAGAAGGTGAGTTTGAATAGCACCAGCCCAGAGCTGCTTGAAGGGACTCTGTGAAATCCAACTGGAGTAATGGGCTGAAATTGTGTGTTTTACAGGAGGTGGGACTAGATGCCCTAAATGGTCTCTTAAAAATCTATGAACAAGGGTATGTCTACACTACGAAATTAGGTTGAATTTATAGAAGTCGGTTTTGTAGAAAGCGTTTTTATACAGTCAATTGTCTGTGTCCCCACACAAATGCTCTAAGTGCATGTAGTTGGCGGAGTGTGTCCACAGTACCGAGGCAACCATCGACTTGTGGAGCATTGCACTGTGGATAGCTATCCCACAGTTCCCACAGTCTCTGCTGCCCATCTGAATTCTGGCTAGAAATCCCAGTGCCTGATGGGACTAAAACATTGTCACGGGTGGTTCTGGGTACAAATCATCAGGCCCCCCCTTCCCTCCCTCCCTCCCTCCCTCCGTGAAAGCAAGGGCAGACAATCGTTTTGCGCCTCTTTTCTTGAGTTACCTGTGCAGACGCCATACCATGGCAAGCATGGAGCCCGGTCAGCTCACCATCACCGTATGTCTCCTGGGTGCTGGCAGACGTGGTACTGCATTGCTACACAGCAACAGTTTATTGCCTTTTGGCAGCAGACAGCGCAGTATGACTGGTAGCCATCATCGACGTAGTCCAGGGTGCTCTTTTAACTAACCTCAGTGAGGTCAGGGGCGCCTGGGAAAACATGGCAGTGATTCAGCCAAGTCATTTCCCTTTTAAGTTTAGTTTCATGGCGATTCAGTCCTACCGGCAGTGCACTGTCTTTTAATCTGCAGCCAGCAGAAGACGATGGCCAGCAGTCATACTGCACCGTCTTCTACCAAGCACCCAGGAGATGACGATGGCTAGCGGTCATACTGCACAGTCTGCTGACAGCAAGATGTATAAAGATAGATGAAGTGGATCAAAACAAGAAATAGACCAGATTAGTTTTGTATTCATTTTCTCCTCCCTCCCTCCGTGAGATCAATGGTCTGCTAAACCCGGTTTTGAGGGGGCCATTCTGTTTCTCGCAAAGCCATCCCCTTTGTTGATTTTAATTCCCTGCAAGCTATGTCGTCAGTCACCCCTCCCTCCGTCAGAGCAACGGCAGACAATCGTTCCGCGCCTTTTTTCTGTGCAGACGCCATACCATGGCAAGCATGGAACCCGCTCAGATCACTTTGACAATTAGGAGCACATTAAACACCACACAAATTATCCAGCAGTATATGCGGCACCAGAACCTGGCAAAGCAAAACCGGGCGAGTAGGCAACGTCAGCGATGAGGACATGGACACAGACTTCTCTCAAAGCACAGGCCCTGGCAGTGTGGGCATCATGGTGCTAATGGGGCAGGTTCATGCGGTGGAACACTGATTCTGGGCTTGGGAAACAAGCACAGACTGGTGGGACCACATAATGTTGTGGGTCTGGGATGATTCCCGGTGGCTGTGAAACTTTTGCATGCGTAAGGGCACTTTCATGGAACTTTGTGACTTGCTTTCCCCTGCCCTGAGGTACAAGAATACCAAGATGAAAGCAGCCCTCACAGTTGAGAAGCAAGTGGCGATAGCCCTGTGGAAGCTTGCAACACCAGACAGCTACCGGTCAGTCGGGAATCAATTTAGAGTGGGCAAATCTACTGTGGGTGCTGCTGTGATGCAAGTAGCCAACACAATCAAAGATCTGCTGATATGAAGGGTAGTGACCCTGGGAAATGTGCAGGTCATAGTGGATGGCTTTGCTGCAATGGGATTCCCTAACTGTGGTGGGGCCATAGACGGAACCCATATCCCTATCTTAGCGCCAGAGCACCAAGCCGGCAAATACATAAACCGCAAGGGGTACTTTTCAATAGTGCTGCAAGCACTGGTGGATCACAAGGGACGTTTCACCAACATCAGCGTGGGATGGCCAGGTAAGGTACATGACGCTCGCATCTTCAGGAACTCTGGTCTGTTTCAAAAGCTGCAGGAAGGGACTTTATTCCCAGACCAGAAAATAACTGTTGGGGATGTTGAAATGCCTATAGTTATCCTTGGGGACCCAGCCTACCCCTTAATGCCATGGCTCATGAAGCCATACACAGGCAGCTTGGACAGTAGTCAGGAGCTGTTAACTACAGGCTGAGCAAGTGCAGAATGGTGGTAGAATGTGCATTTGGACGTTTAAAAGCGTGCTGGCGCAGTTTACTGACTCGGTTAGACCTCAGCGAAACCAATATTCCCACGGTTATTACTGCTTGCTGTGCGCTCCACAATATCTGTGAGAGTAAGGGGGAGACGTTTATGGCGGGGTGGGAGGTTGAGGCAAATCACCTGGCCGCTGGTTACGCACAGCCGGTGCTACCAGGGCGGTTAGAAGAGCACAGGAGGGCACGGTGCGCATCAGAGAAGCTTTGAAAACCAGTTTCATGACTGGCCAGGCTATAGTGTGAAAGTTCTGTTTGTTTCTTCTTGATGAAACTCACCCCCCCCCTTGGTTCACTCTACTTCTCTGTAAGCTAACCACCCTCCCCTCCTCCTTCGATCACCACTTGCAGAGGCAATAAAGTCATTGTTGCTTCACATTCATGCCTTCTTTATTAATTCATCACACAAATAGGGGGATAACTACCAAGGTAGCTCAGGAGGGGGCGTGGAGGAGGGAAGGACAAGGCTACACAGCACTTTAAAAGTTTAAAACTTATTGAATGCCAGCCTTCTGTTGCTTGGGCAATCCTCTGGGGTGGAGTGGCTGGAGGCCCCCCCACCGCGTTCTTGGGCATCTGGGTGAGGAGGCTATGGAACTTGGGGAGGAGGGCAGTTGGTTACACAGGGGCTGCAGCGGCAGTCTGTGCTCCTGCTGCCTTTCCTGCAGCTCAGCTATACGCTGGAGCATATTAGTTTGATCCTCCAGCAGCCTCAGCATTGAATCCTACCTCCTCTCATCACACTTCCGCCACCTTTCAGCTTCAGCCCTCTCTTCAGCCCACCACTTACTCTCTTCAGCCCGCCACCTCTCCTCCCGGTCATTTTGTGCTTTCCTGCACTCTGACATTGTCTGCCTCCACGCATTTGTCTGTGCTCTGTCAGTGTGGGAGGACAGCATGAGCTCCGAGAGCATTTAATCGCAAGTGCGTTTTTTTCGCCTTCTAATCTTCGCTAGCCTCTGGGAAGAAGATCTTGTGATCCTTGAAACACATTGCAGCTGGTGGAGGGAAAAAAAAGAGACAGTGGTATTTAAAAAGACACATTTTATAGAACAATGGGTACATTCTTTCATGATAAACCTTGCTGTTAACATTATATACATAGCACACGTGCTTTCATTCCAAGGTTGCATTTTGCCTCCCCCCAGCGCGTGGCTAACAGCGGGGAACATTTCTGTTCAGTTACAGGCAAACAGCCCAGCAGGAACGGGCACCTCTGAATGTCCCCTTAAGAAAAGCACCCTATTTCAACCAGGTGACCGTGAATGATATCACTCTCCTGAGGATAACACAGAGAGATAAAGAACAGATGTTGTTTGAACGCCAGCAAACATACACCGCAATGCTTTGTTCTACAATGATTCCCAAGTACGTGCTACTGGCCTGGAGCAGTAAAGTGTCCTACCATGGTGGACGGAATAAGGCTGCCCTCCCCAGAAACCTTTTACAAAGGTTTTGGGAGTACATCCAGGAGAGCCGCGAATGCCAGGGCAAATTAATCATTAAACATGCTTGCTTTTAAACCATGTATAGTATTTTATAAGGTACACTCACCAGAGGTCCCTTCTCTGCCTGGCGGATCCAGGAGGCAGCCTTGGGTGGGTTCGGGGGGTACTGGCTCCAGGTCCAGAGTGCGAAACTGTTCCTGGCTGTCGGGAAAACCGGTTTCTCCGCTTGTTTACTGTGAGCTATGTTCCTCGTCCCCAAAACCTGCTTCCATGTTGCCTCCATGTCCATTGAACAACACAAACAACACGGCTGGGGTAGTGGTGGCTGAACCCCCTAAAATGGCACGCAGCTCATCATAGAAGCAACATGTTTTGGGCGCTGACCCGGAGCGGCCGTTCGCCTCTCTGGTAGGCTTGCCTCAGCTCCTTAAGTTTCATGCGGCACTGCTTCGGGTCCCTGATATGGCCTCTGTCCTTCATGTCTTGGGAGATTTTGACAAATGTTTTGGCATTTCGAAAATTGGAACGTAGTTCTGATAGCATGGATTCCTCTCCCCATACAGCGATCAGATCCCGTACCTCCTGTTCGGTCCATGCTGGAGCTCTTTAGTGATTCTGGGACCCCATCGTGGTCACCTCTGCTGATGAGCTCTGCATGGTCACCTGCAGCTTGCCATGCTGGCCAAACAGGAAATTGAAATTCAAAAGTTCGTGGGCCTTTTCCTGTCTACTTGGCCAGTGCATCTGAGTTGAGAGTGCTGTCCAGAGCAGTCATAATAGAGCACTCTGGGATAGCTCCCAGAGGCCACTACCGTCTAATTGTGTCCACAGTACCCCAAATTCAACCCAGCAAGGCCGATTTCAGCGCTAATCCCCTTGTCGGCGGTGGAGTAAGGAAATTGATTTTAAGAGCCCTTTAAGTCGAAAAAAGGGCTTCATTGTGTGGACGGGTGCAGGGTTAAATCGATTTAATGCCGCTAAATTCGACCTCAACTCCTAGTGTAGACCAAGGCTAATTTTATTTGATCTTTTTCATTCCCATGGATGCTTCCCCTCCCCCCAAATTAATAAGTGTTCCCTGTGTAATGTTGCATCCCAAACCCTGCAGAACTACAAATCTGAAACTTAAATGTCTATAAGTAAAAGGGAAACTGACTTCAATTATTTCTGTTGTCCAAAGTGAAGGAAATGCAAAAGCTAAACTGACGGGGCCGGGGGGGAGAAGAGTTGGAAGCAAATTGGAGTTTTATATATATTATTTTGCAGCACCTAAAAATGTTCTAGAACAAATAGAAAGACAAGGTCTCTCAGAGTTCATTCTAATAAATTCAAAGTCAGTTCTTTCACTTGTAATAATATGAGGCACTATTAATAGCACAGATGAATAAATCTGTCTACACTCAGATTTCTGTATATAATGTCAAATGTCTCTCACAGATGGAGCTAACTCTCTGTAAGTGTCTGAAATATGGAAGATGCCTCCTTTTTTCTTCCCCTGCCTTTGTATCAGTGTTCCGGAACTGCCTGTAAGCCTTTTATCTATGCCCCACAATTATAATACATAAGAAAATTGATTATTTGCAGCACCCCACCATGTTAAGAAGCATACTGATAAGGAAAGCGTGAAAGCTCCTTTACTCCAAATATGAGGAGTCTGCACTCTCTTGTCCAAGAATGACACAGCCTCAACAAGACAAACTGACTTCTGCTTTTCTTATTGAATAAACTTTGTTGTTGTTGCTGTTAAATTGGGCTAATTATAGACTGATAAAAGGACTTGAAAGGGATTAAAAAGCCTCAGTTTGTCTTTTTTTGAACCTTTTTAGAATATTTAAAGAAGCCTAAAAGGGAAATTTTTGGTGGTGGTGGTCTGTTTTTTTTTAAAAGGTTGCTTATACTTTTCCTAAGAAATATCTGGAAGGCTAAGTTATATCCTCCATGATTTTTATTGTATAACTTAGGTGCAGTACCAGAGAGACTTGGAGTGAGTGCTTTCTTAGTTCTTAATTAAAGGAGTAGGATTTTGTATTTAAAAAAAAAATTCTTCCAACTGTTTGTCAGGCATTTGAGTTAACCAAGTATTAGCAAAAAACCATGGCCACATTCCTACAAACAGACTTACATATGGTTTTGATTTTATGCCAGTATGTAGTCCTGTTGAGGCTACATGTATGCATTTGCAGGATGAGGGCCGGAGTGAAAAACCAAATGTTTTAAGGCGTCAGTTCCACTTGATCAATCAATTAGGTTTCACCTTATTGGTATCCGATGTCATGATCTTAATAGTTCTCTGGACAACAAGAGAGTCTTGCAGGAAAAACAGACTAGACAATTTCTAATGTATGTAACACAGAGAAATAAAAAACCCCTCCACCTTTCAAGCCTATTCACATATCAAGAATGGGAGAGGTGGGGAAGCACCAACCCAATGAGTTTTTCCTTTACAGATCACACTTCAGTCATTTTAAACAAACTGCATAGCACGTTGCATAACAATCCCAAGAGGACAGAGTCTTGCCATCTTACACTTACTATAATATTTCCAATCCTAGTAAAACCTTTTATCACCATAGCCCAGGAGCTGCTCAATGATTGGATGAATTCCAAACTGAGACTGGAGCTAGAAAGTGACCATGAAGAGAATGTTGGAGATAATGCTGCTGAAGAGGCCCCTGCTGGGTTTGTGAAGTACGAGAGGTTTGATGGTGAGAACACAAAACATTTTTTAACTTATTATTTGGGGATTATTATTAGTGTTTGGGGATAACAGTGGTTAGTTCGTAGGCTTGAAAGGCAGGAGTCATGTACATACCAAGGTAATAGTCTCCTTAGGAACAACCAGAGTCAGTAGAGTCCTTGGTTTTTCCCAGCTCTGACATTAATTTGCTGTGTGACATTACAGAAATAAGCCTCAAAATCTTTGTGCTTCATTTTCTCCTTATGTAAAATGGAGTTAATATTTCCCTAACTCAGAAGGGCGAAAGGCTTGTAAGATTTGTGCAACAGTTTGAGATCCTTAGATGCAGGGCAGTAAAGATTGGGAAAGTATTATCATCCTCCTCCTCCTCCTCTAAACATAGTGAATTTGAGACTGCTTTAGATTCTTGAGTCTAAATGGAGTGCAATCAATATGGCTTCTTTCATCAGGATTACATTTATAAACTGGGCAGTTCTCTGTTTAATCACTTTATGTTTGATGGCATTAGGCTCTGGAGTTTGTTAATTACAAACTAGTGTGAGGTGATCTGGATTCTTTGTTATAGATTTGTGTGGTTATCTGGAACAAGAAAAGGAAAGTACCACTGTTCAGGATTTTCTGCAGAATCTTCTGCAAAATGAAGTGGTAGATTGTGGGATATTAGAAGGCCTCAGGATTGAAGAAATCAAGGAAAAGAAAAAAACAAGGGACCCACGAATTACCATGGAGCTAAGACACAAGCAGGTGAGGAAAAGGCAGTACATTGAAACCGATATAAGGAAACATTCTTTTTATGCAACATATATTCACCTGTGTAACTCATTGCCACATCATATAATTGACACAAATAGATTAGGACAGTTCTCAAAAGGTTAAGGCATTTCTGTGAATGAGGATAGCATTTGCACTAGCTCAGGGCTGTAATATTGTTCTCCACCATGGATCTGTGCACTCCAGGAATGGACAGCAAGTGACTGTTCTTTGCTAACCTCCCTACTCAAGTCAGGAGTAAGCAGAGGGCTAATTGCATCTCCCTATTTAGTAACCAACCTCTTAAGCATTAAGGTCTCATCCTTCTGTTAGTACTCATCTCGAATACCTGGGCAAATGGGTGGGGGGAAGGAATCCTTCACCCAGGCTGCAAAGTGGTGTGCTGCCATTTACCTGGCCCTTTTGTGCTAATGCACGCAGAGGACCGCACAGTGTGAGGCTCTGTTCTACATATGGGATGCTGCTTTCACATCACCCTACCTCTAATCCAGCCTTCCATTTGAACTGTGGAGCACTGATGTAGGGTCCGGGCCCTAGAAATAATATGGAATGTATACAGTTGTCCTGTAGGCTTAGTACAAGAGAGTCACAGATATCTACAGTATCCATCATACTCTGAGTTCAGTCATTTTGAAAAAAAAAAGAAAAGAAAAAGTGTTCAGTCATTTCTGATGCTGTCTCAGAACAAGATGATTTTTAATGCTTCACCATCAATGTTGCTGGCCCACAGTGAAAACCAGGTGCTAAGTTTGGGGGGTGGAGGGGACAAAAAAAAAAAACCACCCACAAAAAAAAAAAACAACCCTCACAATTGTTAAGAATCACAACGTTATAAACAAAAACCAATTGTAAATGGGTATTCTTAAATGGAGCATTTAATAGTATTTCAGCCATACGACCACAAGACTCAAACATTCCCCAACACAAATTATTCCCACTCAGAGCTACCTTTAATATGGCATCAAAGGGAGTCCATCCTACAGTTTTAAACCTCCTGTGCTCTGGGGCTGTGTCCCACAGTTACTGATCCGGTGGCCTCTCTGTTGTGCTTCTGCCACCATCTATTTCAAATTGTGCTTGCTCTGAAAGGCCCTCCACATTCTGCTTAGATCCTTAAAAAAAATTTAAAAAAATAGCACTGGTTGCTACAAGACTGATAGCCCAAAGTGCTGATGTCTTCATAAATCCACAGAAGAGTGTACACCACAGGTAGCAGGGCAAGCTTTCCTCACCAAAATACCTCAACCGTGTCCAGATAACTTGCATCCAAGTTTGAGGAACTTTCTGGATCATTAGTGTTGATTTTTAATAAATCTTAGAAATCTGGAGTAGTTTAAGAGAACTGGAAGAAGGCTAATGTGCCAATATTTAAAAAGGGTAAACAGAATGACCTGAAAAATTATAGGCCCGTCAGCCTGACATCTATCCCAGGCAATATGTTCCTAAAGGTTGAACCTGGATCAATTACCCTGCAAGCTGCTTAACCCTTTCTAGCCATGTTTCATACTTGAATCAGGTAACATCACAGTGTGTATATACATACATATACACTTACTACTGGTTGGGATTGTACTCTGCACACAAGTGTAATCAAGTCATGATCACTTGAACCTAAGCAATAACTAATTTTCACTAGATCTGTTCAGAATTTGACTCCCTTGACAAGACTACCAACAAGGGAGACTGATGCTGATTCAGATTTTTGATTACATCAGTTTTACACTGGTATTACTCCACTGACTTCAGTAGCATTAATCCTGACCCCTCGTGACAGAGGTGCCATCCCTGTAACCCTCTTATGACATGAGACGGTGTTGCAGCCGCTCTGCTTCAGTTTCCCCAACAGAGCTTAGCACGCTTCAGTTAAGGATGTGGCTTAGCCCTACAGCCAAGTCACTGAGGGAGTTTTAACCCTTTCCAGTGTATCAGAGTCCTCAAGTCAAAGTCCAACATAAATACGAACCAAAAGAACCTTCAGCCCACTGGGCTCAGCATATAGCCCCATTGCTTTCAGGCTGACCCCAGCTGCAGCAGCTTGCCTTAATGCCCACCAGTAGGTACCTGGTAACAAATTAAACCACAGTCTGCATCAGGCCTACCCTCCCACAGGGAGGCTCTAGGAGACTATAGCCTCCAATCAGCTCCTGGCTACAGCCAGGCTTCTCACACAATACAGAAGCTGCCATTCTGCTTCCCTCTTTTTAACTACTTTTTCCAGGCCTGACTCAAGAACAAGTATAACAGGGTGGGGTTCATTGCAGACATTGCAGCTTGTTAACCCCTTCCTGGCCAGTGTGGGGTTCACATACCCCACCGGTGCGCCTAAAAACACAATCATATCCAGTGAATGTCAAATATAGAGATTATAGCTTGTTATTATCATCATCATCGCACCCAGAAGCCCCAGCCAGGGACCAGGACCCCACTGTGCTAGGTACTATACAAACGTTGAACAAAAAGACAGTCCATCCCCCACGTTACTTACAATCTAAATGTAGGACAAGAGACAACAGGTGGAAATGGACAGATCAATGGGCGAGTACAAGGAAAGAATGAGATTGTGTGTAATGTGGCCATCTGTGTATTGGCAACCTGATTGAGACCCACCGTCTTAGTTCAAAGAGACTCCCAGAAGCCTTTTCTTCAGATGATATAACTCTTGCCACTACCGCTGCCTTGACTCATTGCTGTGCTCTTCCTTCCCAGGTTAAAGAAAACTGTTTAAGGCGTCAGAAGGAGCTAGAGCTCCAGAGACGAGAAAAGACCCTGAAAAAATTAGCCCTGGCTGAGGCTAAGCAGCGAGTGCAGGAGGAGAACAAAAGGCAGGCTCTGAAGGCCAAGAAGGAAGAAGAGGAGATCCAGCGGGAGATGGTGAAGCTGCGGAAAGAGATGGCAGAGAAGAGGCACTTCATGGGAGAAGCACGAAGAATGTAAGATGGGGTGGGGAGGGAGAGCGGAGCTCAAACTCCATCTAATCATTTGGACTACACGGCTTATGAACCCCAAATGATAGGGAATTTCTTTAGTCATCAGCTTCTGGCTGCAGTGAGCTCTCTAAAATATATAAGACATGGTAGTCTCAAAGGAAAACTGCCTCCTGGGGCCCTGAACTCTCATAATGTATGTATTTTTAAATGACTAATCCTGGAGGCAGCATCATTACTGTCTCTAGTTACATCACAGAAGCTGACAGATTGAAAGAAGGAATCAAATTCTGACGTCAACTTGTACACATCAAAACTCTAGCATTTAAAATTGGAGACATCCCCTCTTTAGGAGGGGAAAGAATGTGCCTGTCCAAGGGAGCTCAAAGCCCTGCAGAGGCAGAGTCTTTGCTTCTGCTGAATTTAGGAGCTCCATAGGGCTCATACCTTCCATAGTGCTGCAACCCCCAGGGGGCACTGCGAGGGCCACTTATCTCCATAGGCATCTATGAGATCCTAGTTCTCCATGTGTGCTATGTTGACATCCCAATACCCTCTTACTGCTGTGTTCTGTAACCCCTTCCCGACTGTTGAATTTGTGTAGCTCATGTGCACTGGACACCCAAATCTACCCCTGTTCTCTAAAGGCTGGGCTTCAGTAGCTATCATCTGTCCAAGCTACAGAGGTCATTTTCACAGGATTGGTTTAGAAAGGGGTGAGACCCATACCACAGTACTCCCTTTATTTACTATCTACCTTTGGTTCTTGGTGTTTGTCTTACTTGCAGAGAGAGGAAGAGGCAAGAATTAGAAAAAGCTCAGAAACTGGCAGCGGTGGGCCTGTCTCACACTACGCCAAAGCCCCTGGAGCAGGACAAAGAGGAGAAAAAAAGGAGATTGCAAGAGCTGCTGAGCAAGAGTCATAGTGAAAACCAGAAAGTGAGCATCCTCTTCCTGTATTTAGCACTCTGAGCCAAATTCTACCCTCAGCTATGTGCTTATGCAACACTCACTGAAGTCAAAAGCCCTGGCTGCCAGGCCTTCTGCCTCCTCCTGAGTGTCCTCTGTAGGGAGAGTAAGATAAAAGATCCGTTGAGAGAGAAAGTAGAGGATGGCTTGGGGAACTGTTGCGTAGTAGTTAGAACAGGGAACTGGGAGCAAGGGACTCCTGAATCCTAATCCTTATTCTGTTGCTGGGTATCCATGGGCAAGTCATTTAATGTCTCTGTGCCTCAGTTTCTCCAGTGGGGCTTCAAGGGGAGTTGTGGGTAAAACTTCACTGTTGGAGCAGTTGTGGGCAGAGAGCAACCCAGTGTGACAGATCAGGCAAACAGACACACAGAGGGGCCTTGGAAAACTCATGATGAGATCCTCACCCCCAGTCTGGCCCATCAGCACCAAGTAAAAGGTCTGGAGTGGTATAAAGGGGCCCTAAAAGACCCACTTCTGCTATAAGTACTGTGGAGCCAGCCATAAGGCTTCCTTTTGAGGACTTCCTCATATTCCTTGGCATAGGAAAGGGTGGGGGTAGGCTGAGGAAGGTGTGGGGCTGTCCATGAAGCACTGTGGCCCCGTGGGGAAGCCCCAGAGCAGTGGTGGGCAACCTGCAGGCTGCATGTGGCCCATCTGCGTAATCTGATTGTGGGCCACAAGACATTTTACAGACATTGACCAGCTGTAACTACGGCCCCCAGTGGCCGCGGTTCGCCGTTGGACATATGCCCTGAGCACTTTCTCCCACCCCTCACAATTCAGAAAAATAGCCCAAGAAAGGAATGTTGAATGGCCATGAAGTGCAGTGGCACATAATAAACTTGTCTCCTCGCTTCTTAATGTCAAGTTACAGTTTTAGGTGATGCAACTTGGTTAAAACAGCTGATAGGAAACAATCTGTCTTACAGACTTCCATGCCAAGACCAACTACACTTTGTCTCATGAAACACAGATGTAGGCACAGGAACTTCTGTATGTTTCCCTAGACATTTCCCTTGGCGTTTCTGCTAATTGTCAAAGACAGAATTTGCAGAATGGAAGGGAAAGTCTCAAACAGTAAGACAAAGTCTGTGCTAAAAATTTAGGTTTATTAGACATCTGGAAATGAAAAGACCCTTTTGTATTGAACACCCTATAGAGTGAGTAAGTTCATTATAAGGAAGAAGGTTCCTTGTGTGGAGGCAGGAATGACATCATAATATTTTTAATTAATATCATTTACACCATATATACCTGTAGCACATTTAATACAGAAGAATCCCATAGCACTCGAATTGAGAAGCCAGCTATCCCAAAGGATCACTTTGTCTATAACTCAAATGCCACTGCTGCTGGAGTGGAATGTGCACAGCAACACTACACCACAATTTAAGATAGGGAGTGAAGAGTCCAAATGAAACTACAGGGGGATTTAGGACTGGTATAATGTGAGCTGTACATTTTCAAGGGCAGAAACTGCAGCTGAGCAGAGATCAGCAATAACGAATCCATTATTATCTTAAGTAGCTAGCATGTTGACATTTTATCCTCTTCATAATTCTCTGTTTGGATTTCCATGTCTAAGAATGTTGATGCAATTAATACAGGACATTATGAGAAAGAGGAACAGCTGAGGAATTGTTATGAGCTGACCCACTTGGAGGATCAAAATGAACAGCATCTCCAGTGACAGGTTTAGAATTAAGAGGTAGATTAGATAGCAAATTGCTCTTCTGTCTGAGGTAAATCACTCCTAGAGGAAGCCAATATGATTTTACTCCTTGGGAGGAAACTAACTTCCCAGTGAGATGAGGGTGAGTCTAGGTCACATTGTAAATTTTAGCACTGGGAATGGTCTTGTTGGTGCTTAAAGAATAGCTTACAGTTTATGGAGTAATTTGAAAAAAAGTTCTACATTGAGTTCACCCTTCTCTAGAATCATATGCTTTCTAGATTTAGAGACAATTCTGATTCTAGAATTTATATTTCTCTCTCATGGTTTATTCCTTTTTACTTGTAAGCTGAGCACATTTTGCTTTGGAGTCACCATGAAACAATAAACATGGGGTCCCATGATGCTATTTTTACAGTCAGTTTTCAGAGTAGAACTGCACAATAAGCATTGCTCTCCTCACATTAGTCCTCCGCCCTCCGGAAGCGTTTGCTGGGGGTTTGAAGATAATAAGGGGTTGTTCAAAAGGAAAGGCCCAGGGAAGGATTGCGAGGGTCAGCATTTTTGTGATGAAATGTTCTCGTTCACTGGCTCTATTCACCTTTTCACTGCAGTGCCTACAGCAGCATTTCTCCACTTGGTACAAACTCATTCTGGATCATAGGATTAAAATGGGGAAAGCCAAGGCCCTTGCTGACTGGAAGTGCCAGCTGAAGGCCCTGCGAGCCTGGAGGAACTATACATGGGTCCAGAAGTTGGAGCAGGAGACTGAGCAGTTGGAGACTCATCTCAGGGATCAAAACAGGTAGTGGCCCTTAGCCTATGGAATGCCTCCTTCTCACAGAGAAGCTAGCAGCCTTCAACCAGAGTCTAGTGCTAAGCGGAGGGTTGTGAAATGGTACGGTCTATTTAGGAGCATGTGGAAAGCCTTGTTCCTAGAAAATCTACACGTCACCTGCAGTTGGAGACACCATGGCATACACTGAAACGAAGCTGGATCTGAGCAGAGACTTGAATGCCTCTTTCCAACAATCTCTAATTTCTTTGTTTGGGTGTCCTCCATGGAACCTCCCTCATTGGCTCGTCATGTGTTTGGGGCCTGCAGGAAAAAGAGTGAGCCAAATTCATCCCTGATGAATCCAGTCATCGACTGGAGTTACATCAGCACTTAGTTAGGCCTGATGCCTTCAAGAAGGAGCTTGCTGGTTGGATTCCCCATACACAGCAGCGTATTCTGCAAGTGGGGCTACCCCTCACCTCCAGACAGCTGAAGAGGGAAACAGTGTATCCTTCTCATCTTTGTGCTGTAAAAGAGGAGTGAAAATGGGGACTGTAAAACAAGCAGGAAAATATTTAAAGAACCCAGTTCATGCCTTCTGTATGCATCACAAGCATCCTTTCACCTTTAGTAGCAATAGATGGTTTTCAAAGACTTCCAGAATCAAGTGATATCAAGCAGACCTCATAAAAATATGAAATCTCATGACCTGTTCTGGATTGCTCCACCAATTTGGTAAATGCCAACACCTGGAGAGACAGTGTTGCCTAATGGCTAGAGTACTGGGCTGGGACTCAGGAGATGTGGGTTTTAGGCCCAGCTCTGCCACTAGCCTGCTGGGTGTCCTTGGACAAGTCATTTCATGTCTTGGTGTCTCCGTTTCCCCATCTTTAAAATGTGGATAATGACACTGAGTTCCTTTGAAAAGCACTTGGAGGTCCACTGATGAAAAGTGCTAGATAAGAGTGGGGTATTATTAATTTTAAGCAGGCTAGGAGGGAGGCCTGTCCAATGTCTGTTGGTAATGGGAGTGCTTTATTTTCCAGGAAAAAACAGTTGGCTATTGAGCATAACCGGAGACAGGTTTTACGGTGCTGCTTTATAGAGTGGCAGCTCTGGAGCAGAGCCGAGGCTGAAAAGAGAAAGCTACAGTTGAGACAGAAGGAAACTAGGAAGAAGATGGCACAGCTGCTGGAGGCAGCATCAGTGGGGAAACTTGGCACAGACGGATCATGGGATGTTGGCAGGACCAGGATGAGAAAGGTGACCCAGGATCAACCTGTGAGGCAAGAGGAGGTAAAAGTTCTTTCCCATATGTTTCCTCATCCCAGTCTCTCCCGCAGTGATTAATCATAGCTCTATTAACCTCTGTGGTGCTTTATGACACAGGGATGGGCACTCTCCTAGTGCAGCTTCATCTTCCTGTTATGTCATGTGCACATTCCAGCAGTTGTTCAGGCACTCTAGAAACAAGTCTTTAAAGATCAGAGGTGGATGGGGAAGGTGGTAGACTTTGAAAGCACTAGAGACAGATTTTTTTTTTTAAAGTATAATCCCACCATGTAGCGTCTACCAACTGAGGCGTGCATTCTCTTGATCGCTTTGGAAGGGAGATTAAAATCACTTTTTTAAAATGACTCAATACGCTAAAGAACCATGTACATTGACTAAAACCATGGTAATAGAAGAAAATGCTAAAGTCTGCCCTTGGTTAAACAGAGTGCAATCCTCTCTACTTTAAAGAATGAGAGAGCTGAATTTGGCCCAGGAAGCGTCCAGGAAATGCACATCAAAGAAAACAATAAGTGTGCGCACAATTGGATTGTAAGCTATCGGGCAGGACCATCTTCCTTAGGTGTTGTATTGTTCCTAGCATAATAGGGCCCTGATACTTGACAGAGGTCTCTAGGTGCTACCATAATATAGATAATTAAAAAATGAATATATACTCACGTCAGGCCAAGCTTTTCCTTCACTTATACCAATGTAACTCTTCTGAGCTCAGTGAGGTTGCATGGGGATAATTGAAAAAATTCTTCAGTTCCATCTTTGCAACACCAGTGGGACAGTTTCTTCACTGAGATACTCCCATTAGAATGGGAGTGTCATATTTGTAATTACGGGCAGAATTTGGCCTAGGAATCAGATCTGAGACTTAAGTATTCACTAATCATACAATTCTGAGAGGGAAGGCCACATGTCTTAAAGTTTGGGCCTGGTTTATCACCACGCTGTAGTTTTATGACTGTGTATCTACTTTAATTTCAGGTTTCAGAGTAACAGCCGTGTTAGTCTGTTTTCGCAAAAAGAAAAGGAGGACTTGTGGCACCTTAGAGACTAACCAATTTATTTGAGCATGAGCTTTCGTGAGCTACAGCTCACTTCATCGGATGCATACCGTGGAAACTGCAGCAGACTTTATATATACACAGAGAATATGAAACAATACCTCCTCCCACCCCACTGTCCTGCTGGTAATAGCTTATCTAAAGTGATCATCAGGTTGGGCCATTTCCTGCACAAATCCAGGTTCTCTCACCCCCTCACCCCCCTCCCAAAAACCACACACACAAACTCACTATCCTGCTGGTAATAGCTCATCCAAAGTGACCATTCTCCCTACAATGTGCATGATAATCAAGGTGGGCCTTCTCACATCCCCCCCACCCCCATACACACACAAACTCACTCTCCTGCTGGTAATAGCTCATCTCGCTATCTTAAAACAAAAAAACTTCAAATCCAGATTCCAGCAAGAAACTGCTGAATTGGAATTCATTTGCAAATTGGATACTATTAATTTAGGCTTAAATAGAGACTGGGAGTGGCTAAGTCATTATGCAAGGTAGCCTATTTCCTCTTGTTTTTTCCTACCCCCCCCCCCCAGATGTTCTGGTTTAACTTGGATTTAAACTTGGAGAGTGGTCAGTTTGGATGAGCTATTACCAGCAGGAGAGTGAGTTTGTCTGTGTATGGGGGGGGGGATGTGAGAGAACCTGGATTTGTGCAGGAAATGGCCCAACTTGATTATCATGCACATTGTGTAAAGAGTTGTCACTTTGGATGGGCTATCACCAGCAGGAGAGTGAATTTGTGTGGGGGGGTGGAGGGTGAGAAAACCTGGATTTGTGCTGGAAATGGCCCAACCGGATGATCACTTTAGATAAGCTATTACCAGCAGGACAGTGGGGTGGGAGGAGGTATTGTTTCATATTCTCTGTGTATATATAAAGTCTGCTGCAGTTTCCACGGTATGCATCCGATGAAGTGAGCTGTAGCTCACGAAAGCTCATGCTCAAATAAATTGGTTAGTCTCTAATGTGCCACAAGTCCTCCTTTTCTTTTTACTTTAATTTCAGTGCATCTCTGTAGTGTAAAGCTAGAGTAGTTCCATAGTGAATCAGTCCCTTCACATTTTCCTTAATTAGCCAGATTGGTCCTGTAGACCCCCTTGTCACAGCTGCGTTTCTTTTAATCTTAGCCTTAATGCCTAATCAGAACACCTGAGTCCAAGTAAGAGTTCATTAACATCGTTTGGGTTTAGACCTGCTCATTGAATTAATATCCCATGTCATCAACTGCATTACAACAGTTCTGAGCCACAGGACCTCCCCATAATAATCCTGTCCAATCCTCTAGGGGTACATACCAACCATAAACCAGATGGACTTGGCCAGTTCAGGAGACTTGGATGGTGTGGACCAACCTTGTAGCTCCTGTACCTCCTCCCACCCTGGGATAGCACTACAAATGGTAAGAATTGTGTCCAGAGTACACACCTGAGGTTACCCTGCCTCTCAGACCGATTTCACTGTTGCTCCATTCAGAAAAATGCTCCTAGCTCTTCAAGGGCAGCAGAGGTCTTGACTTCAGTCAGTGCAGAATCCTTCCCTTGCAGGTGACTGAAACACCCCTTCTTCAGGAGGAGCCAATCAATCCTGTAGAACCCTGTTGTCAGGGTGCTGGTCAGACACCCAGTCTTCATTCATGCAAGAAGCCCAAGTATGCCTGGCAGGTTACCCTACAACACGCTGCTGTGAATTCACAGGATCACGCTGAATCCAGTCATCAAACAGTCAGTCCCATACAATGGTTTGGGGCACCTGGGAAAAAAGTGGCCCCTGCATTCAGGGGCCACTTTGAGCACCGCTATGCCTTCCAGCAGCAGCTGATTGAGAAGCAGAGGAGGCAGCTTCAAGAACAGCAGGAGGTGATCCTCGAACTGCAGGAAAACCAATGGCTGAGGAGGGCTAAGCAAGAGGCAGAGCAAGCCACAGCTGTCACCATGGCACTCAACAATCCAGTCCCAAAAATTAAGGAAAAAATGCTGAAGAGAGGGGATCTGTCAAGCTGCAAGAGCGTGTCATCTTTAAGGTACGGCCACCTTACTGAGCCATAGTGGGAGCAGACTGTACTATCCAGAGCACCTTACTCCTGCTCACAAGCTGAACAAGGTCATTTGGGTCAGCACTCGCATGGTAAACCTCCATGCAATACCTCTGTGCACCTGAAAGTGGTGTTAATGGTGCACTAGGAGTTGCTCTTCCTTTCGAGCCAGTACCAAGTGTGGCGTTAGCTGGGCCAGATCCTTGACGCTGCTCTAACTGCTTTGCATTGCCCCGAAGGCATGTTAAACTCGTAAGGCACCTTGGGATGCAAAATGCTCTATTGTTAAAGATAGAAGCAAAGTGGATTTATTTAGTACAACAACACTATCAGTACTTTGTGCTTCTGTAACATCCTTCAGCCAAGGATCTTAAAACGCTTCACAGGCGCTAGTTACTTGAGTCTCACAACCTGCTTGTGATGTAGGAATATGTTATTACCCTGTTTTACAGATGGGGAAACTGGGACCAAGAGAGGTTGAGTGACTTCCCCAAGGTCCCACAACGAGACTGCAGCAAAACTGAGACTAGAAGCCATGAATCCGGACTCTCACCCTTGATTATTATACGCAATGAGGCCTTGCGTAAGGAAGGTGATGATGCTAGTTTCTTTTCTCTTTCACTTCACAGTTCACCTTTGCCTTTGGGGCCAAAGAGCACAAAGACTGTGACCCAAAGCCGGAGGAGCTCAAACCTGCTGAAAGGTATCATTCTGCTTGGTAGTAAAGGCTATTCCTGCCCTCTTCCCAGAGAATAGCATCTCTCTCCTCTCCACATCCTCCTCCATATGGGTGTTCAACCATGCATGAGCAAAACCCACTCAATCCCCTCCCAGCAGAATCAAAACTACTAAACACCACCACCAAAAGGGTGGGTTGCTTTAAGCATACACTGGCAGCTTGTTACAGGGTCTGGCCCTTTAATATCCAAGTCAGGCATTTGGGTCCTTGCAAGTTCTGTGGTCAGTAAACCAAGGTGAGTTGTTGTCCCCAAAGATCATGCTGGATTTTTCCCCACACAAGAAATTATAGAGCTGGCATTTTGTTCATGTCACGCTTTATCCTTTTACTGCAGGCTAAAGCTATAGAGACAAAGGCAGTCTGGCTTCCCTTCCCATCCCATGTGATTTCACAGCCTCCCCCCCCTGCAGTCTATATTGAGGTGTGTGTAAATGTCAGAGATGGGCGGGAGTTGCATTTGTTATAGCAATATCAGGTTCCTTTAACCATTCCCAGGGCCTGTAGCATTGTATAAACTTATGTAAGGCCTTAGCCTGCTTGAAAGGTTTTCCAAAAGGTGGCCATAGTAATATTTTAAACAGACCTAGGAATCACAAAAATTCAGTAATGTATTTTTTTGGCCGTGGTGCCTGCCTGGCTTCAGCCTTTTCAGCACTCAAGCATGCCTTCAGCATCCATAGTGCATGAGCCTAAATATCCCACACTTTGCTTCACTCAGACTCTCTGCTGCTCTAGGTGGAGAAGCACTTCTCCAGCATAAATGGGTGTTTCTCTACAGACATCCCAGTGACTAAATTATAATCAAGAGAACGCAGTGCAGGATCAGGTGCTGCTCAGTTCTGGTCCATTGCAGAGTGTAAAATAGCAGGTGTTCTTCAGACTACATAGAAGAATCTAAGATACCTGTCACGGGGTTTGCTACTCACCAGTTTCATTAGCTTATTCCAGTCTGATGGCCCCACTTCCCACAGTTGCTCACACTGCACTCCTCCTCACTTCCCAGAACTCTCTCTCTCTCCGTGGCTCAGCCTTTCAGCCAGGCCACTGTACAGTCCTCACCTTCCAGGGTATCAAAATATCACTGGATCAGCTGCACTCATGCTGCTCCAGATAGTCTTCCAGTCCATGGGCAGGTCCTCTGCCACTCTTCTAGCAGCTGGTGGGGAACCCAGGCCCACCCACTACTCCAGGGACCTTGTGTCTGGCAACTATGGTCTGCTTGTGTCCAGACACTGTTGCTATTTTCCTAGACTCCTTCCTACTTCCCTGCTCTAGTCTCTGGCCCCTCTTCTCTGGGTTTACCAGCCCTTACTCCTTCCTCTTGGGGAGTAAATAGAGGCTATTTCCCCCTCTGACTTCTTGCCAGACTGTGTAGCACTAAACATACCTCCCTTCTCCTAGAGAACAACTGTAAACTGCTTCCCTACAGCCCCCTTCTGGTCTCAGTTTGCTGGCTGTATACAAGCTCAGCCTGCCCCTGCCCAGCTGGGCTTCATCTTCAATTAGTCTTTCAGTCCCTGGCTGTGCCCCAGGTGCAGGCTGTCAGCTTAATTGTCCTAACAATCTACTCTGCCTTGTGTGAGGTGGATGCCCCGTTGCAGTACCACCACAGGACAAAGGAAGTAACCACAGATTTTGGTGGGTACTTACAGCTGGGTTCTCCTCAGAGTCCAAATCTAGTTTCACATGCTATCCATTGCTAGGGTCACAAATAAGGATCAGCTGGTTCCATCTGCTTAGTCCTGAGGAGCTCTGAGGCTGTGCTAAGCCACTTGGGGCTAATGTTATTCCATCTCTAACAATACAGGCCGTCTCGGTTTGTTCCTCCAGACCATCTCCTAAGATCACACCAGATGGGAAGTCACCCTCCAGACCCTCTGCTCTCAGCCCTGCCCCTCCTTCCCAGCTGAGTAATACCTGAACCTGCACTTGTACGTGCAGGAAATCCCCTTAGGGGAGGGGCAGCATATTTTTTGGCTAGATCCAGCTACTGTGCTCCATAGATCTCTCATCATCCACTTTCCAGAGTCCTGGCACCTGATTCCCTTTAACATGCATCAGTGGGAGATGGTTCTTTGTGGGGAGTGGTTTAAGAGCTTTCTCCTGTGCATTTGAGACACTGGCTCCTGTGTCAGGCCTGGCTTGCCCCTTTGCTCTCCGTGTTGGGCAATTCTATGGTAAATAGCCCATTGACTGGCCCACCCAGCACCTTTCCCCCTTTATTCCTGTTTTACCCTTATAGGGGTGACCTGGAGTTGGGCTGGACTTTGGCCTCACTGGGTCATCACTGCGTCTGGACCTGTCCCTCTGACCCTGTTTTCTCCCTCCTCCTTCCCTGCCAGCACTTCACGGTCTTGTGTACAGTGGACATGTTCCCCTCTGTTAGCATGGCAACCTCTTGAAGGGATTCACACAGAGGCCTTCATAACGCCCCTCGGGAGCTGCTGTAAGGCTTGTGTGTCCCTCATTTCCACACGGTGGCAGCCTGCACTAACTCCACCTCTTTATTAAATGATTCCCTTTTGGCCTTTAGATTCACCAGCCCCTTCCAGGGGCAGCCATGGAACTGGCCGGTACCGTTTCATCTCTGGCTGCTGAGTCTGTGGCTCTGGTCCCTGTAGCAGCATCTCTGTCTCAGCTGGAAATGGTGATTATGTAACAAACATCTCACGCTACTGTCACTCCAAGTGAAATTGTAGTGCATTAGTATAAAACCCAAATCAGGGCCAATTATCCTGCAAAATGAGGAGACTCTAGGAAACTGAAGTGTCCATAGCTGCAGCCAGAAAACAGGCAGGGCCAAGGTGCCCCAACAGGCGAGCCCCCTGCAATGGCAGGGAGCTGGTTTTTGTGCTATAGGTCCAGGTGATCCTAGCAGATGAACTCATTCGATGCTCCAGAGGAAGGCAAAAAACTCCAAGGTCTGTGCAAATCTGACCTGGAGGAAAATTCCTTCCCAACCCCAAATCTTGTGATCAGTTTAACCTGAGCATGTCAGCAAGGATCACACAGCTAATACACATCTGGCATCAAGGGATTTATTGTTACTGCCTCAGACCATTGGCCCTCTGGGCCAGTGTCCTGCCTCCAGCTGTGACTAAGATCAGATGCTTCAAAGGAAGGAAAAACCCCACATAACTGATTCAGCAAGTTGTGAATTGGGGGGGTCCTTCCTGACCCCAGCAGAAAATCAGCTGAAGACCTGAAGCATGAGACTGGATTCCTCTAATTATCTCACCAACATAGATACTAGTGTGAACATAGTGAGGGCAAAGCAGAGGTGTGGGTGTGGGGGATGCAGGTAGGTAAGGGGCTGTCATCTCTCCATGGCATGGAAGGGAGAAATGTGGGACATTTGTGTGTTGTCCTATTTACTTGGTAAGCTATTCAGGGCAGGGATCTGTTTTATCCATGTTCTGTAAAGTGAAGTGCTGGTAAGTGCTATTTATAGCTCAGTCAATATGCACTATGCTTTACAGAACCCAGATAAGGCAGGTAGGTCCCTGCCCCGAAGTCACAGACTAAAAGCACAAGACAAACATACCTGCACTGTTGAATGCTGGCTTCTCTGAAGTGTGGGTGCTGATGCTGCCCTGATGGGGGGGTCCTGGGCAGCTTTGCTTGTGGGTCCCAGTCTCTTGCTGCAGCACTTTGTGCCTCTCCCTCTTTGTAGGTTGGAGATGCTGGTCATTGTGAGACCTGTGCAGAGAAATTTTATTATTCTAGCAAAGTGGTACAGTTGAGCTTTGGTGTTGGCTGTACCTCCCAATCCCCTAGCCTGACCCCAAGGGCCTGGGACATGAAAGACAGTAATAGAACTATGGTGCCATCCCCAATGTGTTATCCCCATTGAGACAGCCCTTTTGAATTGCAGCTCCCCTATGGGGTTGCTGCATTTTGACTGTTCTGTTTCCCCACTCCACTATTTGTGCCTGTCTTTTCAGCCACCCAACTTCCACCAGAATTGAATCCTTGTTCTTCCTTTTACAACTAGTTTTCTGGTTCCATTCAAGGCAACGGAGTCCATAGAATCATGTGCAGTAGGGCCAGGAAACAACCTCAGGCCAATACTTCGATTTTTTTTTTTTTTGGTAAATATTCATCTTAACCAAGATGCTTTGCAATTATTAAAAAGAGGCAAACTGATATAGAATTGAAGATCTACTAAGCCAGAAAGTTCAAGACAGGAAGGGAGAGACAGACAGGAAAGGAACTGTATGAAAGAGAGAAAACTATAGATGAGAAAGGGAGAGAAAAATATTGATAGAGAGTTATGGACAATAGGACATCATGTCTGAAGCCTGCTTAATGACTGTGGGTGGGATCTGCAAGCGTGCCCTGGAATACAAGTCCCATTGATTTGGATTATGCTCCTGCCTCACTTAGGTACTATTAAAAATCCCACCCAAAGGCCATTTGTGCTAAAGCCTGTTCTCAGCTGTTCATGAATCTCTGCACTGGTGGAACTGCCCCTGCTAAAGTTTATTCCAATAACCAGTCCCTCTCACTGTTAATATATTTCCCTAGTGTCTCAGCTCTGTGTTTCCCTCTTTGGCTGTTGCTACTGATCCTACCACCATGTGAAGCTGTGAATAATTCCTGTTCGCTATTTATTCTATTCCCTGGCAGAAGTGTATCAACACTCATCAAGTCCCCTCAGCCCATGGGTCCTTTCTGTGCTATGTTGCATAGAGTTAACACCTCGGTCATTACCCATGTCTCTTACTTTCTCTCAAGCTGCCTCATTTCAGCCAGTATCGGGGCAGTACTAACTGGGGAGGGGCCTGAACCAAATTCACAGATCAAAGGACTCCCAAACTCTGGGGAGGTTTGGAATCTGAACCAGGATCTGGACCAGAATTTAAGAGCTGTTCACCCTCACCCCCCAATCCCTGTAGTGGATCCAACCAAACCCAGGATTGACACTGTGGTGTTTGAAATCTGGGTCTGAATTTAGCACCTCAGTCCCATCTCTAGTGTTTATTACGGATAAATCAGTCAGTGAGATCTCAGGGATACCTGGGAGCCTTTTCTTTCTCTCCCTCACTCCCACAGAGAGAGTGAACCCAGGACAGCTGGGGAGTGGGCAGCCATCCCTACTAACTCCTGCTATGTACAGTCCCGTGACTCATTGCACTTATCTATTGGAAGATGAGATGCTTTGCTGATGGGTCCCACTGCCCTGCTTTGTTGTTATCACTGTATCAACTAGAGATGCAGCTGAACCAAAACCCTAGATCCCAGCACATGCCCTTCCCCCAAGTCTTAGAAGGAAGGGATCAAAATCCAGATTCATTTGACTTGGGCCCATCTCTCACAGCAAAACAGCCTGGCTGGGAAAGCCCTAGCAGAACTGGGGAAGCAATTTCTTTACTGTGATAAAGAGACTGAACTGCCTTTGGTTGTTGACTGCACCTGTCACTGCCTCACTCTGACACTGAGGGGCAAAGACTAGCTCTGGCAGAACATACTGGAGAGATGAGGTCATCAGCACTGTGACACCTTGATGATGATTTCACCCTCTCTGCTGACCAATGAGAGTGCAGCATTTCAACAGATCTCACAAAAGCCATGTGAGAAGCAGTGGCATCTCAATAACTGTACCCATACCCCAAGAGTCAGAACAACATGAAGAGCTGCATCCTGAAGTCCTTGTGAGTAAGCTAAGGAAGCTGCTTGCATGAGTAAGGTCTCCAGGATTGAACCCGTGGATTTTACCTCTCTCACCAGTCAATCTGTCCAGGTCTCTTGGAGATCCCATTGCAGCTCCCCTTCAATCAGCTGCACTGCACCTCTGCACCCAAACAGAAGAATCAGGAAAAAAAAATTCTCCATGGGACTGTTCTTAAAGTCTGACTGATGTGTACTGCCAGTTTTTATTGGTAAGGGAGGTAACAATCCCAGGCATTGTAGGCTGGCTGTTGAGGGTTGCAACAAGAGCTGCCTCCTAAGCACCCCCTTGTGGCGGTTCTGTGGCACTCTGCCTCAGTTTCCCCTCCTGGACTCCTGTCACAAGTGTAATAACAACAGCCCTTCCTGGGGTCTGGTTAATTAACAAAGTTCAGAATAATTCAAACCATGCTTAAGGTCCCAAAAATAATTGAAGCAGCCACTCCCAGGCTTTTCCTACCCAGGCCTCTGTCTGCTTTGTCCAATTCTCTGGCTCCAAGAGGTCATCAGGCAAACCCTTCTGCTGCTCTCCTGGTTTCTCAGGGTCCCTACAAGAGCCTAGCTGCTCTCAGCAGCTAGGCCACTGATGAAGTTTCTCTCCCCAGATACCTCTGGGTCACTTCTCTATCCAGGCCTCTCCCTCATTTATCCAAGAGGCCCTGATTGAATCACATGACCCACCGGTCACATGTTCCCACCTGAGGAGTACAGTTGGCCATGTCACAGGTGGGGCTGAGACCAGTGCTTAATTTGTAATGAAAGAGGTGCTGGGGCTCAAGCAATTTTTTTAACGTTCATAACTGATGCAGCAAGCCTAGAGGTGCCAGGGCTATGAACTGCCAAGCCCAGAGGTGCTGAGGCTCAGCCCTGGCAAGCCCTGGCACAAATTAAGCACGGGCTGAGATCCATCTCCTTTTAAAGTGCCAGCCACGCTGTGAAAAGGATGTTTTATGTGGATAGCCTGAGAATAGAAGAGTAAAACCTAGGGACCATGCCTTATTGACTCTGCATTGTCATGCTGGCAACTCTCTCTGTCTCTGCTCCCTCCCTGCCTTGTAAGTCCGTTTTCAGTTACCACAAGGAGAGTGAATCTATACAGTCCCATCCTTGGACACTTTGTCTTCTTGTACTTAGGACAAAACTCATCACTTTTGAAAAGTTTAGAGCAAAGGCCTCTCCTATCATGCCCATAACCCAGCTTTCTCCACTCAATAAGAGATGCCCATCTTACAGCCTTGGGTAGGAGTTTTGCTATGATACATGCATCAGGCTGACATTTGCTGAGAGGCCTTTTTAGCTTATGCCCTCTCTCTCTTAGTTCTCGCCATTTTAACTCTAGTACTATGCGGTAAGCTGTGACTTTGAACAGTAGAGGTCAAAAGTCAGCCCAATCACTCTGCCATGGACTAACCTCTGGTCTCAAATCAATTCTTCATGTGAACCCCAAGATTTTTGTGATCTTTGTGATCCAGGATCTGATGGCTGGAAGCTGACCATCTAGGCATGGTTTATTTCCAATGTGAGGTGTCTTCTGCTAGCAGAGGCATCAGTGGACAAGCACATCCATTCAGTAAAAACAAAATTGCAAAGACATGAGGCCGCCTGGGGGATTGAGTCTCCTTTTGTGTTACCCCAGGTGTGGGTCATTTTTGCTGACGAGCTACATGAGACTGTTGTGGATGTTGGAATAATTTATAACCACGTTGAATGATTCCCCAAACACTGCAAGGAAGCATTGCTTAGCTTCTCAAACAAAATCAGTGGGAACGCTCTGCTACACCTAAACTGGCCATTTCCGGGGATGGAGAAGGGCTGCTTGGAGAATGTCCTGTACCATTATACTGAACCTACTATCTGCTCAATATCCTTAGCACAATGGTTCTCAAACTTTTTTTTTTCCACGGATCACTTGAAAATTGCTGAGGGACTTGGCACACCATTTAATGATCTTTCCAAATGTTGTTTGTACCATTAGCTAACTATTGTAAAGCGCATTGGATAAAAGCTCTCTAAAAAAAATCCTTAATAATAATTCACGGTTTTTTGTTCTACAAATAAAAGCACACAACTCATATTTTAATATCAGTAGTTTTACCTTTCTAATGTGATGGATGTGCTCTCTTTCCCCAGCTGCAGCAGCCCCCGAGCTGGGGTTGGGAAGGAGGGGGGTCTCTCCCTGGCAGCTGCAGCCCTGGAGCTGGGGAAGGTTGCCTCTTTCTCTGGCCACTACAGCCCTGGACGTCACAAATTTCCCCCAACCCCTCTTCTCACCCCACTGCCCCCTCCCTATTCCCCTCAAGGCCACCACCTCACCTTACATGGGTGTCTTCTCCAGGGTCCAGACACCTAATTAGTGGAGCCATGCCTGCGCGGCTCCACTAATTAGGTGGGTGGCCCTTCATTGTTGTGTGTGCGGCCGCCCAGGTGCACACCGTAGCGGGAACTATCCACGGAACACCTGAATGGAGCTCGGACCACAGTTTGAGAACCTCTGCCTTAGCATATCCTGATCACATATAGAGCTTACTAAGGCCATCATGTGTCTCATAGGGATGGGAAAGAGGAAAGGAACAGATTCTCTGCATTTACCTCCTCTTAAAGGTCCTGTGTTGCAGAAACTCTGGACGTGGCTCCTATCCGAGCCCATCAATGTTGCTCTGAGAGGTGGCCACAGGGGGTCAGTCATAACCAATGTCAGGCACTCCCATAACCAGTGTCACTTCTTCCCACAAGTCCTCCACTGCACTGCCAGACTGAAGAGCTGGCGGGACCTGAGCTCCTCAACACTGACGGTGCCAAGTCCAGCTTGAGTGTGAGTTTGGAGACAGTTTGCACATTCGTCCTGTTCCCAAACTGCTACCATGGCCTTGTAGCTCGTATATACTAATCCTCTTGTCTCCTTGGTCCTAATTCTCTAGCCATGGAAGAGAGAGCAATTCACCGAGCAGAACGGAGGAGGGAACTGGAAGAGGCCAAGAGAAAAAGAGAGGAGGAGAAACTGGTAAGTAAAGCCGAGAGCTAATCTGAGACACTCCGGCTGAGGGAGTGGCTGTGAAAGGAAGCCCCTCACAGTCAAGTGCTGGGAAAAGCACCTCCTCCTTCATTTACATAATGAACTTGAGCCCATTGGTAAGTGTCTGATAGATACCCCAAAAACAGATAAACAAACCCTATCACAGCAGGACATCCCCACCCACACAGCCTGGTGAGTGACTGACCTCCCTGCTGGAGCGCTGAAGTCGCTCATTTTTCCCCACTTCTGCCCCTCTTCCAAGCCCCTCCCTCATGCCTACTTTCCTTCCAACCAGGGAGGATGGGGTGGGATTCTCTTCAGAGCCCATCAGTTCCAGTACTGAATGGTCCACATGGGTCACCATTGAGTGATGTGAAATACTAGACTCTCTGCCTCTCTTGCTCCTGGATGAACATGCTGCATCTTCAGCACTTCTAGAAATAAAACATCTCTTATGCATCTGGGGGGAGTCCCTGAAAATCCTAAGCTCATCCGAAAAGTGTCACCATCTCTTCACCTGCCTAACTGTCTCTCCCTCCACAAGGTCCTTAAACCTAAGGAAAGTGGTTGGACTTCTGATTTTTGCTATCATAGACAGGGTTCAGGGGTCATCATAGACAGGGTTTTTTTCCCCTGCTCCACCCACTCATGTGCAGCACTGCACATCCAGCCAGGTATGTGTTTTTTTTTACCTTCCTCTGTAACATCAGGAGGATACGGAGCTTGATGAACCTTTGATCTGATCCAGTACGCAAATCCTACAGTTCTTTATTTAGTAGTAAATGTCTACCAGCAAATAAGGATAATTTACCATGTATGTGTGTGTCTGTGTAATTAATGTGATTAGCCCCACCCTAACCCATGGAAAGTATTTTCCAGGATCTCCAACCTGTATAGGCTCAGGTAGCACTTTCAAACAAATGCCTGGAAGGTTAGAGGCAGGAAGGGAGTTGTTTAGATGTGAATTACCTTATTATAGGGGAAATAAATCCTGAAAATAAGAAGATCAGATAATCCACATGAAATCCTGAGCCCAGCTGCTTTCAGACAGAGCAGCATCTCACCAAGGACCTGAGTTAGGTGGAATGGAAGGAGGCCAAGCCAATCTCCATGGTTCTTCTATCACAGGGGCTCTTGTGGGTTATAGTCTGTGCTGGAATTTGTCATAGATGTTCCTTTGACAGAGTGGCCCTTTTAAATGCAACCAACTGTTACTATAATGCTGAGGTTGTGATGTTATCTGCACTGAAATCAGGAAGTTCAGAATAAGGATCCTCCAGAAAATGATGTTTTGCCTCCTGTGGGATGGAAGTGGGTTGAAGAGGCTTAACCAAACCGTAGAGAAGGTTTCAATTGGTGGGCAGACCAGGATCTAGGTTTCACTGTGTACACCTGGGTACACAAATAGGTTTGCCTATCTGTGACTGACACGCCTTGAGGGCTTAGACAGTGTGGTTTTTGGTTCTTTGATGTGTGTGCTGAAGGTGACAGCATTGTTGAATTGAAAGTGATTGTGCTACAGAAGGTGTTGGTATGTGGGAAGTTTGTGACAGGAGAGGGTGAATGCTTGGAGAATGGTGCTGTGCTGGGTGTGAATGTTGCCTCAGTGAAACAACTTTCTTGATTTTTAGTGTCCATGGCACATCAGGGAAATACAGTTGAGCCACCATAACACTAACTTCATGATGGTTTTGTGTGGGAGTAAAAGTAGAACAGCCCAGATCATAGAGGTAGCCTGTGAAACTCAGGGCTGAGTGAGAAACTGGGACTGAATAACCTTCAATAATATGTAAAGTTATTCAGGCACAGAGAAGGGTTGTCAAATGCAATGCTTCAGGCTGTACAGCGATCACTTGCAGGAAGAAGTGTCCTTCCCCACCCTAATGTACATCATTGCACAATAGTTGCTGGTCACTGCTAGAGGCAGGATGCTCACCTCTCTGGTCTTTGGTCTGAATGTCCTTTGTTCCTGTAAACGTTCAAATATGGTGCATCTGGTTTTATTCCAGCCATGTCCTTCTTTTCAAGGTGCAGCTGAAGGCCGAAGAGGAAGAGCGTCAGAGGAAGGAGGCTGCTGAAAAAGAGGCCCAGCTGGAGAAGAGGAGGGAAGAGAGGAGACAGCAGAAATTGGTGCGCAGAACACTGTGTGCCTCTGCCCCACATCCACAATGGTAGAGAGCAAAAGCCATTACCCTCTGGCAACTGTTCAGTGGCCAGAATGAAAAGAGTTGGTATCTCAGTTACTGTACTGGTGTCCACAGAATAAAACCCACTATCATTCTTGGATGCTCCCATACTGGCAGTTTCAACAGAGGCTGAGGTTTGAATGGACTGGGGACGCTGCATTCACTGTCCAGTTGATGGTCCCTGCAGATGCTTTGCCAGGTTTGAGGTGCATCAGTGAGGCTGTGTGGGGGAAGCCTGCATTGTGGCTGGCTGTGCTGTACCCACACCTCGTTCTGGGTTGCTCCTTTCATTCATGTCCCTATACCCTGCTGCACCAGTAACAAATATGTAGCCTCAGCTAAATAAGCCCTAGAAAGAGTTCCATAGTGTGGCAGCTTCCCGCCAAAGAATGGGAATATCTCCTCTGGTACACCAGCAGTTTCTGCCAGGCAGGAACTGCCATCTCAAGGCTATTGCTTGGGAAGGAGCTGTGGCAAGCGAGATGCTTTTAAATCCCAGAGATATGCTTCCTCTCTCCCATTCAGTAACCTAAATGCTGCTGTAGCACTTCAGTGTAGACACGGCCTACACCGACAGGAGGGGCTCTTCCGTCAGTGTAGATAATCAACCTCCCCAAGAGGCTGTAGCTAGGTCGATGGAAGAATTCTTTCACTGACATAGCTCTAGTTACACGGCGGGCTTGGTCGGTATAGGTGCGTCTCAGGAGTGTGAATTTTTCACACCCCTGAGAGACCGAGCCATACCAATGTATACATGTGCTAGATTCTCCATTCCTTTGACATGCAAGTTGGGGGTGACTTTCTCTAATACTGTGGTCATTCTTCCAAAATGGTTTCAAGCCTTCATGATTTCTTGAAGGAGACTGTTCCCCTTGCTCCACACAGCCATGGTTGGCTCATTCCAGTAGCAGCTGATGCGTTTGTATGTGTCAGAGATGTTTGGCCACCTTGTGGTAGTAGCTACACAAGCTGCAGATTCCTATTTCTGGCCAGGTCAGGATCCCCATCTACTCACTGTCTGTGGTTATATGCCTTACCATCCATTTCACCCCGGATGAGTTAAACTGCTGGTCTTTGAATTGCAGAAAGAACTGGAGAAGCAGAGAAGGCTGGAGAAAGAGCGGCAGCTCCTGGCAAAAGCCAGAGACCATTACGAGAAGGTCCTGCTGAGAAAGCAGGGGCTGGAGCCCTGGAAGAGGCTGAGGGAGCAAGCCAAGGAAAACATGGTGGTAAAGTGCCTATTGAAGGAAGAGAAAGGGAGGAAGCAGCAGCCAAATGGGGTTGTGGGGGAGAAACGGGTAATGGACTCTGAAGGCAGAAGGAGATGGAAAAAACTATTGACTGACTGAGTCCCTCCCCCTGCAAGAGCAGGGCACTGCATCCTTCCTTAATAGAGGATGTTTCCAATATTAAATTCACACAGCAGTGGATCCTCAAAGGTATTTAGGTATCTAACACCAATTAATTTCAAGTACCTAAATACCTGTGAGGGTCTGGGGCTTAGTGCTTTGGAAAATTTGGCCCTAGGACTATTTCATTTGAAAGGAGAAGAGCAAGAGGAGACATGGTAGTTGTATATGAAATAAAGAAGGACAGACGAAACCTCAGCTGGATGCTCCCATGTCCCAAGAACAAAATGGCACATAGTGAAATAAAGACAGCAAATTGAAAGCTGATGAAAGTAAATCATTTCTGATTAGCCTGCAGTTACCTGCGATACTCCCAAGATTTGAGGCTGATAGCATGGTAAGAATCAGTGTGACGTTCTGTCTGAGTAAGGAGGGCATCTGCAGTTATACAAAGATAAAAATGACTCGCAGTCATGAGGGGCTTTCAGTCCTCAGTCCACAAGCTGATCAGCCACTTGGTCAGAGACATAGTCAAGCCAGTGTAGAGTGTGGCACAGTTGGGTATGGTGCATCATGGGATCTTTTACATTAAAGCTGAGGTAGTTTTGCAGTGGAGTTTCCCTGGCTGCAGTCCTACAACATATTTATTTAGGTAACTGGCCCTTTTCTCTCCCTCCTAACTCTGCTCAGGTGGCACAAAAGCACCACAGCTCGGGATTGCAAAGAAAGTGCCTGCTGGCCTGGCTCTGGCACATCCAGGAGAGCCTCGCTGAGAAGATGGCTCAAGCTGAGGAATTCTCGTCCCGCATGTTACTCAAAAGGGGCTTCAGGAGCTGGTTAAAGGTGAGCCCAGACCAAAGGGGAGGGGATGTTACTAACCCAACCAACTGTTCTCACACTCCAAACCCAACTTCAGGGCCTACCACATGCACCCATGGGCTCCAGGTGAGCCTTGCATCACATGAACCTTGCATGCTGCCTGCTACGTCACACTGACCTCCCTTTCACATGTCACTTGCCTCCTCAACCCCTTTCTCCCTTCTCCCCTGTCCGCATCACCCCTTGCCTTACTCCACTCTGCTCCCTTCCTCCCCTTATCACTCCCCCTTCCTATTGCTAGTCTTCTCACCCCTTCAATCACAGCCTCCTCTTTGCTCCCCTCAGTCATTACCCCTTTACTCCGCTGCCTGTTGCTCTTCCCTGCCTCTCGTTCTCATTCCCATGCCCATTACCTTCACTAGAGGTTTCCTTGATACTCTTCTGTGGTTGTTTAGTGGGGAGGCCAGGAGAACAAGCTTACTTTCCCTCTGTCATTTCTCCAGCTCAAGGATTCTCTCTCTGCTCTGGAAGAGAGAGCTAGCAGGCTCTATGCAGCCTCCCTCAAGAAAAAGTTGTTCTGGGCATGGTTTGACCTGCTCAACGAGGAGAAGAGTGTATTATGGGAAAAGCAGAAGATCGCAGCTGAGCACAGTGATAGGTAAACATATTCCCCTAGTGGGAGTTGTTCTTACTTGGCATGTACCTACCTTATGGGACATTTTTGAGTGTCTGGCCTTTCCCCTTCAACCCACCATATGTAGACAATACCCTGCTGTCACTTACATGTGAAAGGTGGCTCTTGCTTGTGATATTCTGGTCTCACAATACGCACGGGGCTGACAATGGGTGCAGAATATCTGAAGAAAGATGGCTCCATGCAGATTGGAAAAGGGAGTTTGGTCTTTAATCTTTTCAGCAATTCTGAATTCCCTGGAGGAGGGGCAGGGAGAAGATGATGAACGGCTGAAAGTTTCAGAGTCAGTCAGTGGATCTGGCCACACAGCTCCTGTTAAAAAGCCAGCTTAGAAAAACTTTTACGTACAGTGATAGTGAGTCAAGTGATTGTATGGGAATAACATTGCAGGGTTTCCAGAGCTGCTGTTCTTGGTGACCTTGCAGATTGAATGGGCTCAGTTTATGAATCCAAAACTGATTAGCTGCAAACAGCACTTGGGATCTGAGAATCCAGGTGGTTCTTTCTGCCTCTTACCCGATTCTGCAGTTTTGTCAGTCCCAAGCTGACAGTTTTGTTGACGATGAATGAAGCTGAATAGATTCCAGTTTACTCTCCCATAGCTGTGCTGTAGTGCAGGTTTACCAGGACATTTCTTACAGTCAGTACAGTGAAGAGCTAAGTCTCAAAGACACTGCAGGAAGCAGAGAAGTCAAATCCCACTCCTATGGGTTTGATGCAGACAGGCTCCATCACTGGCTCATGGGAAGAGTCAATGACATCAACGCGGTTTTTGGTTTTAATTTGCAAGTTTAGCTCACACTCCTGCACAGTTTAATGCTGAACCTGACTGACAGGGCTAAGATCGGAATGGTGCCTGGTTATTGGTGACAGGCACAGTGAACTGGAGGAGTAGAGGAGAATCCAGAGAGACTGGAAGTGAAGTGACTGGGCCTGCAAGCCGTTGAATTGCACTGAATGAGGCTGCTCTTCTCTCTCACTCCTTCCATGAGGGAGCCTCCCATGAAGAAGCCACCTTCACCTCCTCTTTCTCAAGGACCCTCGTTAGCCTTTACATAACACCTTTCATCTTCAGAGCACTCAGCAAACACTGACTAATGAATCCTTCCAGTGAGAGGAGTGAGATCTGGAGGGAAGGCAAGCGAGAAGGGCACAGTGTTAGTATTCTGGGATGATTGACATCTGTAATTAAACTGCCTGCACTGGACAGTTTTAATCTGTCACTGACCTGACTGTAGCAATAGAGGGGATGAATCCTGGGGGTCTCTGGCTGTTTTAGAATAGAGCAGAGGCTTTTAATGGCCGTGTGTGATGGCTCTGTCCATTCATCTGTCCTTTCCCTCTCCCTTTTTTAAAGGAGAATAACACTGACCATGTTCAGGGCCTGGAGGCAGTACCCAGCACTGATGAAGGAGGAAAGAGAAAAAGAGGCAAGGAGAGAGCAGCTACGCAAGAGAGTAGCCGAAATTCTCCCCGACTTCCGAAGATGACAGGAAGGACTCTGGGCAACGCTCCCTCCTTGATGAGCAGAGTGGACCTAAGTGGAAGGCTTCAGCTAGTGATGTGAGCTTACCCCTGTGAATGACAGGAGCTCTTCCTGGTTTGGTGCAGTGGGGGGCAAAGCAGGTGTTCTAGGGCCCATGGCCACTTGTGTTTCAAGTGCCACTTTTACCGTTCAGTCTAACCTGAGGATGACAGTGGAAACTGGACTGTTGGTGTCACTCTTTAGCCACAAGGCTGCTTTCCCACAGTGGGAACACACCAGAGCAACACCCCATCAGACAGGCAGTGAGCAGGGCTAGAACACGAGAATCAAGGCAGGATAAATTCCAGGCCAGATGCACTTTGCTTCCAAACCGCCCCAGGGATTTTTGCTGCCTTTAGCATAGGGCTGGCGAAATGAAACACTGAACTTCCTCCCTCAGGGACAGGAAGCGCAGAACCGAAACGTGCCTTTTTGCACTGGAGCAGAGCCCGGGAAGCCTTTCTGTTGTCAGTACTCTTGTCTTGTGGTTTGACACAATGTGGCTGTATCTGCAAATAAAGCAGCGGACATGTTGTTCCTTGACTTTAGCAAAGCTTTTGACATGATCTCCCACAGTATTCTTGCCAGCAAGTTAAAGAAGCATGGGCTGGATGAATGGACTGTAAGGTGGATAGAAAGCTGGCTAGATTGTTGGGCTCAACGGGTAGTGATCAATGGCTCCATGTCTAGTTGGCAGCCGGTATCAAGTGGAGTGCTCCAAGGGTCAGTCCTCAGGCCAGTTTTGTTCAATATCTTCATTAATGATCTGGAGGATTGCATGGATTGCACCCTCAGCAAGTTTGCAGATGACACTAAACTGGGAGGAGAGGTAGATATGCTGGAGGGTAGGGATAGGATACAGAGGGACCTAGACAAATTAGAGGATTGGGCCAAAAGAAATCTGATGAGGTTCAACAAGGACAAGTGCAGAGTCCTGCACTTAGGACAAAAGAATCCCATGCACCGCTACAGGCTAGGGACCGAATGGCTAGGCAGCAGTTCTGCAGAAAAGGACCTGGGGGTTACAGTGGACGAGAAGCTGGATATGAGTTAACAGTGTGCCCTTGTTGCCAAGAAGGCCAATGGCATTTTGGAATGTATAAGTAGGGGCATTGCCAGCAGATCGAGGGACGTGATCGTTCCCCTCTATTCAACATTGGTGAGGCCTCATCTGGAGTACTGCGTCCAGTTTTGGACCCCACACTACAAGAAGGATGTGGAAAAATTGGAAAGAGTCCAGTGGAGGGCAACAAAAATGATTAGGGGACTGGAATACATGACTTATGAGGAGAGGCTGAGGGAACTGGGATTGTTTAGTCTGTGGAAGAGAAGAATGAGGGGGGATTTGATAGCTGCTTTCAACTATCTGAAAGGGGGTTCCAAAGACGAGGGATCTAGACTGTTCTCAGTGGTAGTAGATGACAGAACAAGGAGTAATGGTCTCAAGTGGCAGTGTGGGAGGTTTAGGTTGAATATTAGGAAAAACTTTTTCACTAGGAGGGTGGTGAAGCACTGGAATGGGTTACCTAGGGAGGTGGTGGAATCTCCTTCCTTAGAAGTTTTTAAGGTCAGGCTTGACAAAGCCCTGGCTGGGATGATTTAGCTGGGGATTGGTCCTGCTTTGAGCACGGGGGTTGGACTAGATGACCTCCTGAGGTCCCTTCCAACCCTGATATTCTATGATTCTATTAAATGAATGGAGTCCTTTTACCCTCAAAAATAGCTGCATCATTGAACAACCCATGTCCTGCTGAGCTTTACACGAAGCCCTGCCCCCATAAGGAACTGTTCCTAAACTGTTGTATTGGGGGAGGAGAGGGAGTCTAACCTTTAGAAGCAGGTGTTTTGCCATTGAGTTTGCTAACAGGATTTGAAACACAAACATAGCACTTTATGTAGACACTTGAACATCGTTAAAACCATTAGTTGGATGGGGATCGACCCTAGCAGCAAGTCTAACTTATAGCACAACCCGCTAACTCAAGTGTATAGGCATGAAACTATCTACTCATGGTGCTGAGTGGCGTTTCAAATCATAGCAACTAGTTCCATTTTTAAAAAAGCCCCCTTTTTCCTAGTCTGTTCCTAGTGCTGCTACATCCTTTGTTTGTAACCACACGTAGGCCTTGTCTAGACTAGGATTTAAAGATGTATTGTTAGTTAGATCAAGCTAGCTACCATGATCAGATAACTTCTAAAACTCTAGTCCAGAACAAGGCAAGCTGAACTTTAGCATAAGCTAAAGTGGTGGTGTTGAAGCCTGGGCTCCCCACAAGTTAATTTAACTCTACTAGTTTCGCATGTGCTGAAGTACAACTTGCCTTGTCTCGATTAGAGGTTTAGAAAGCGTTTGCTGGACACTAACTAACATGAGTTACCATCACCCGTTTACATCCTAATCAAGATTAGGCCTTAACTTGTTACAAAGTGTTGCAGCTGAGTTAAGAAATAGTGCTCTAGCCTACACATGGGGATTTGGTTAGTACAGTTGTTTAAAAAAATCTCATGTCTATATTAGATAGTTGTGATTGCTATGCCTGCTGAGATCCGCTAGGGCATTCTTCCTAACAGTCCCCAGCTCTGAACACCTGAGTAATAGACACAGGCATTTGGAGACTGGAATTTGCTTCTCTCTCACTTGTGTAACAAAGCTGGAAACAAGGGTCCTCTCTTCTCAGGCTTTTGTCTACTTGGGTGCGAGGATTGGATGGAGAGCAGGGCGAGTTACAAAGCACACCCTGTACCATGACAGCCTAACAGCTCCTCAGTTCTATCCTAACAAGACTATCGTTCCCTAATTTTCCCTTCCACAGCCTACTTCTCAAATGCTAAGTAACACAAGGCATGCCTGTTGCCCAAATCTTGGTTACAGACCTGACTGCTGTCAAGTCATGTGGGCACTTACCTTGGGGTGGAAAGGAGTTGAAGGTGTGTGGATGGAGGACAGGTGAGTGTGGTGGGAGATCAGCTAGAAGCATTAAGGTCAGATTGTGTGAGAGAACAGCAGCTGGAAGGGCACTGGGGAGATTGCTTGTGTAGGTGGGGGAGAGGGTGGGCACTGCAGAAGGGATAAGATCTCCTTTGGAGAAAGATCAGCAGACTGGGAACATGGGCAGAAGGGAAGAGCGGAGGACCAACCTAGCCAGCTTCAATTCTTCAATGCAATTTAGACTCCCCTCCACCCATTGGTGCGTTCCTGGCTAATGTGTGATGATAGAACAGTAGCAGCAGTGTCTGCCTCTTGGTGCACACTGGACCCGTGGAAATCTCACCAGTGCAGTCTCTACATATTAGGATGCATTAGAGCCAGCCCTTCCGTTCTCAGGTTACCGGCCTCCTTTTTATAGAGAGAACATTTTAATCCTCCCTCATCCTCCTGTATTCGTGCACCAGTCAGGAAGCTGTCATGTGGGAACGGTATGTTCTCCCGCTACCCCCCTCTAAGGCTGGATTCCTGGTATAGGTAAAATTGCAGTTAGTGAGATGAGAAACCCAATGTGACCCTGCCTTTGTCATCAAGGTAGAGCAGCAGGCAGCTGGTGACGGGACAGTTCAGGGCTTTTCCAGGGACAGCTGTGGGAACATAGGAATTGCCATACTGGAGCAGGACATCATCCACCGCTATCCTGTGTCTGGTACGGGCAAAGGAAGATTCTGGAATAACCTTGCCCTGGGGGAAGGTTCTTCTGAACCAACCCCTCATATGGCTTGAAACAGATGGGTTCAATTTTTGGATGCTAAATTTGTGGCACCTTGGGTTTGAGCTGGGCATGCACAGCTCTTACTAACTTCAATTAGTGTTTGCTCAGCACTATCTCTGAAAATAATGCATCTTAGATAGAGCACACAAAACATGAGGTATCTCAAACCCATGGTTATGCATGATAGATGGGCCCTAGGTGCTCTTCAGCATTCTCATCCTCCCTTTTCTTCCTGCTAGTTTATCAGACCCACCCACACTCTGGCAGACTTCCTAGTTTGGAGGATTCCAGCAGAGACCATGTCACTGGGTGGTGCTTAGCTTTTTTGTCAGATGCCTGTGAAGGCCTGGACTGCTGCAGTTATGTCCCTCACAGTCTAGGATTTAACAGTTCAGATAGGTGCAGTTTCTCATGAATTTAGTGCTAGTGAACGGGTTAGAAATGCAGCTCTTGGGACTAAAGTCCACAGGGATGAAACTTTACCATAACACCAGTTTTCTTCTGAATCAGACCTTGCCCCCGCTGATTTCAGCCAAACAGCTGAAATAATCGCACACAGAGCAGCCAGAGCCCAGGCTCCTTCTGATAAGGCTATTGGCAGATTGTACAGGACACCTGTAAAACATTCTGAGTGGATGCTATGGTTTTCCAAATTTAAGATTTATCCCATCAAACACTTACACCTCACCCCCTTGATGGTAAGAGATTTTGGCATAATGAGAAAATAGATTCAGCCTCAGCTGGTGACTGTTTTAGAGTTTGCCTCCAGCTTTCAAACTTGAATTGATGCAGAATTTAAATGGTCAAAACCTATGTCCTCGAGGTTATGAGGAAACACTTGGGGAAGTTCAATCCTTTTCCCTTTGAGACTAGGAGTGACAAGGCAATACCAGATGTGATGATGGTGTCGTACTATGGCTGCTTACTCACTGGGAATTGGGCCATCTCCCCCCAACATCCAAATTCATTTCACAGCCCCTAGATGGCGGTAGCTTTCAGTCACTACTGACCTGGCTGGATTTGATTAGAAATGCAAGTCTCTGTAACCCAGTACGATTGCCCGGAAGCATTCAGTTAATCTGCACTGTAACATAGTATAAATTAATCAAGACCACTCTAAAGATAGTTTTTATTTATTTGAACTCATAACTACACCCCTCTGAAAACACTGGGCATGTTACAAAGTGGCCACCCAACACAATCCTTTTAATAAAGCTCACACAACAGCATTTTATATTTAGGGTTCCTCCTGTCATTTACGAAAAAACAACCAGGTTAGAAGCAATTCTTCTTTCAGACACTATTTTTCATTTTATCATTAAAACCATTTCCCTAATGACGTAAACTCTTGGGAAGTCAGATTCCTGATTTCAGGAAGGATCTCACCTCGTCCCTTGCAGGGTTTTCATTTGACAAACATCCTTGCCGGTGCCTCCATTGAAAACATAGCAGAGATAGGGAAAATACATCCATAATCACACACACACAATCCTGCTCTAATGAGGCAATATGCATTTACACAGGGAAGGAAGCCATAGCACATGTGATTATTAAGACACTAGGCAGAATTCGTTTGTCTAGAGAAGAAACCTTTAAAGCGCATGATTTTTTTTAAGACACTCGAAGCAGTCTGTTTCGAAGGGGGAAAGCACCATTACAGCCTGGAGTCTGAAATAGGATTGGAATCTCTGGCATTTCTTGGTTAGCAGGGACTTCAGTCATTTGGGTAAAGGTGAAAGTCAAGAAATGGTCTTCAAAAAAAGGTCACTCATCTACCAGAGCACGAATGCAAAATTGAGAAGAGGCAGTTATGGCAGAGTGCCAAGTTATCGCTCGTATCATGCATTTAACGCTTTCACTAAAATTCACCAACCAGGATGCTAGTATCTGTGCAATTTTAGTAGTATTATGACAGTCCTAGTCCTTTAAAATTCTTCCTGGTGTGTAAAGTGAATCCCACTGAATAGCACTGAAAGTCTCTAAGAAGGATGCTACCAAAACGGGATAAATCTTTTTACATTTCAAAATGTTGAGGCAGAAAACCAGGAAAAACAATTTAAAAATTTGCTAGAGTCCCCAGACTTTTACCAGCTCTAGACACTCCTCTTCTGCAGCTCAGGAGAGCCTTTAAAGGGCCAGAATGGTAATGATTTTGTGATTGTTATGAGCATGCATGACTATTTACAGACAAGTAAGTGACTGCTCCCTGCCCCAAGGAGCTTAGATTTAAGTATCTGTTGGATCCAGCTGGGTGCCCAACCTGCAGCTCATCTGTCAAATGCAGTGTGCTCCCCATCTATCCCTCACCAGCCTGCCTTCCTTTATTGCACGAACTGCATCTCTATCCCTTTTTCACAGCCCCAAGACTCTCTCTTTATGTCCACTACTGTGGTGGATTTTAACATTTGGCTGGAAGTTTAACCTTGTGTCATTGGACTAAGGGTGGGCAAAGCAAAGAATGTGAGATAATCCACCCTCAATAGAAATGAAAAGGGGGGCATTGCCCTTCTTGGACTTTCTGCTGCACTGTAGGTACTCAAAGGAAGCTCCAAACCCCAAAACAGAGTAAATCTGAAGCTCTTACCATGAAAAGGACAGAACAGCATTACTTCCCGATATTAGTATTTATATCACTATAGTGCCTAGGAGCCCCAATCATAGACCAGAACCCCATTGTGCCAGGCACTGTACAAACAGAGCAAAAAGTCAACATTGTGCTTTCCCTCTCCAAAGACATTCATGAGGTAATCCTCTCTCAGGAAGGCTAGGACTGTAAACAAGAAGGTGGCCATTTAAGACAGTGCATTTGCCACCAGAGTGCATTCTATGGCCACTTAGAACTTCCCATGCAGTAGGAATAAAATTCAGATCCTCCTGCAGCAAAAACACAGGCCTCTAACCACTTGAAGCTGTTTGGGCCTGACACACAGTTGAGCAGCTCCAATTCCACCCACTAGATGGCACTGGTAAACACACCAGTTCAGAGTTTTATTCCCCCTTCACAGAGGGGTTAACAAGCATAGAAAGGTTAGGTGACTTGCCCAAGGTCCTAGCTCCTAGTTCTGTGCTCTACACCACATGCCCTCTAGTGGCTTTTTTCTGCCCAGAAGGCAACATTATCTCAACCTTTCCAAGTTCCCAACAGGACAGAGGTTTGAGAGAGATCACTGTATGAGGCAGAACTCTTCCATCTAGGCTCCCCACAGCCCCACTAAATGTATTTCTGCTACAGACACATTTGCAGTTAAGTAGCATTAAGGCAAGCTCTTGATATGAACATAACTCCAGTCCCAGGAGAAGTGAGATCATCATAATCATGCCAGGTTTCAGAGTAACAGCCGTGTTAGTCTGTATTCGCAAAAAGAAAAGGAGTACTTGTGGCACCTTAGAAACTAATCATGCCAGTGGACGAGCAGTGTGATCCATGTGACTGCTTTCTCATTGAAATGGGGATAATAAAGGGCCAGAGGTCTCCACATCTCTTGATTTTCTTCTTTCCTTCCCTCTGACTGGAGACAGAGGTTTCTCCCCTTTAAAGTGATCACAAAAAGGGGACTGCACAAGTCAGCAGCTCTTTCCATGTCACTGGGCTCCAAGCACAGCAGTTCCTAAGGCTCATTAATTATGCTGTAGGGCACAGAAGTTGCATATACCACTTTAGCAAGCAACAGAACAGTGTAAAGAGGGGCATATTGACTTGAACTTGGGCATTGTATCTTGAGCGGTGATGGTGACAGGTGCCAGACTAGCAGATTGGGGGCTGAATGTACAGTAAGACGGGGAGGGGAAGCTTGCCTTTTTGCTCTCTCCTCCCCCACCCCACACACACCCTTTGGTAATACACTTTATCAACCCTGCCCTAAAGAGTTGACCTCTAAGCAAGGAGAGGGGAGTTCAAGTCTCCAATCAGTCCTTGGTCTGTCTGCCACCAAGGGGGCTACTCATTGATTGTTGTTTTTGTGGAGTGGACACATATTAATAATTACAGTGAGATTCCTCTCATCTCTGCCGGTGCATCTCAGTCTGGATCTACAATACTCCAATGCTCTCTGAGCCCAGGGCTTGTCTAGCCAGGCATATCAAATTACAGTGGTGTTTACAATGTGCACAAACAGGGATAGACATAAGATCTGCAAATGACATCCCTTGTGATTTCAGCTAAAACTGGAGCCCAGGTAGGTGTGGTTGAGAGGCAGGTGCACTCAGTCCTCACAGGCCTCTAGCAACCCCGCTGTAACCCCCGCCAACCATTTCACTTGAGAGACACGGTGAGGGAGGTAATATTTTTCATTGGATCAACGTCTGTTGGTGAAAGAGACATGGTTTTGGGCTTACACAGAGCTCTTCTTCAGATCACGCGAGCCTGAAAGCTTCTCTCTCTCACCAAAGAGAAGATGGTCCAATACAAGATATTACCCCACTCACCTCGTCTCTCTAATATCCTGACTATACAACATTGCAACCAACATTTTCATTTAGCAGTCTTCTGTGAGGCCCAACAAACCCTCCCCTCATCCCCAGACCTCCGAGTTAAATCTTGCCTTTCCAGTTCCTTTGAGAAGCAGGTCTACTGGGGGTAGAGCACATTCTCAATGATTGGGGGACAGAGATCTGGGCAGCTGTACTTCAGCTGTGAGCCATCTCCCAGGAGTACTATTATTCCTCTCTCATCACAGGGAGGGGGGGAAATCACAAGCCAGTAGCAGCATCAGACAAAGGTCTATTTACTTCCCACCTGGGCCACTGCCCCAGAATGAGTAACAGCTACTTGGGAACTTAAAGCTTTCTTACTTGAAAAATATTTACCAGCTGTGTGGTGCTAGCAATTGCTAATGGAACAAAAATATTTCAAGGGAGTCAAGCTCTTGGATCAACTCAGAGAAGCAGAGGAAAGAAATCACTGGCACAGGAGGGATCAGTCCTCCGCTCACACACAGATGGAATAGCCCCTTTGGGGGCGGCTAAGAGAGGACAGGACCTCAAACAGCCCTATAGCTGTACTGCTCACAAAGGCACTTAAGAGAAGCACTAATAGCTGATGCAGCTTTATGGATAGGTTGGAATGGAAGATTGAAAAATATGCCCACAAGAGAGAAGAGTGGTCCTAGTTAGTTCTTAAAGCTACCACAAGACAAAGCCCCTTTTAAATATCTTCCGCTTAATCCTTTATGATTGCGATCCTGTCTCTTGGAATGGCTTGCTCTTGGTACACATTATAGTTCGCCTCATCAGCACAAGGCATCACATCATCTGTGAAATGCTGCACATGGATAAGAGAGGGAAGTCTGTCCTGAACCCTGCAGTGTCCAGCTGAGGCCTGAAGCCTGGCATTTGATTATCTTGGCTCTGAAATCTAGACATGGAGCATCCATGTTCTCAAAGTCTTGTGTTGTTAATCTTCCTGAACTGTGCATAATTTCTTTGTGTGGAGACAGGTGGGGTAGGAGTGTGATTTCATCTCTCCTGGTTGGTGCATATGGCTTAATTCATTCTGCACCCTACTTTTGGCCTTTGGTGTACAAGAGCTATCTGTCCTTTAATGCCTCTTCAGACACCGATGATGAGATGGGCACAGCCTCCAAGTTCGTAGGGAATGGCAGTGGGATCCCTGTGGAAGGAGCCATTCACCTCCACAGAATGTCACTGCGATCAGTGGGAAAGGGATTTCACACAATGTCTTCAGCAGAGTGCTGAGGAGTGGGTGACCCCAGGGTCAAAAACTGGCCCCAGTTGTACAGGAAGCCCTGGTTATACTTGCCCGTGTCTACCACAATCCCGCCCAGAAGCCTGCGCCCGGTGTCCTCCCGCAGAGCCAGCCGAGCTTCCCTCTCGGTCACGTTGTAGCTGATGTTCAATAGCTGGATGAGGAGGATGTAGCCCATCCCGGCCGTTACAATGGCACAGTACCACACACACGTGAATGACAGAGCGGAGCTGGCAGTGGGGAAAGAGATGGGAAGGAAGCCATTTAATGTGGGCACAGCTGCTTTAATCCGTAGCTTCAGAGATTGAGAGAGAGATTTCCCCTGGTAACAGATCTCCCTTCTGTCCCTTTCCATATCTGCTACAACAGCCCCTTTCATCAGGTGATCCCAAAGGGTTTTACAGACATTAAAGCCCCACAACATCGCTAATAATGATGCTTAGCACTTACACAGCCATATACATTTCCAATAATAAAAAATAATAATAATACCCAGCTCTTATACAGCACTTTTCACCAGTAGAATGCCACATGTTTTACAAAAGCCAGTATCATCCTCCTTTTACAGGTGGGGAAACTGAGGCCCAGATTGGGGACTCATAATAATAAAACTAAGCTCTTATCTAGTGCTTTTCATCAGTAGAACTCAAAGTGCTTTACACAGGAGGGCAGTATCAATATGCCCATTGTACAGGTGAGGAAACTGAGGTCACCACCAGAGCCAGGATTTGAACCCGGACCTCCTGAATCTCAGTCCAGTGTTCTAGCCTCTGTTTCAGCACTGTATAAATGTTAATGTTTTTGTCACCATGCCTGGGAGAGAGGCAAGCACTAAGCCCTTTTTATAGCTGGACAAACTCATGCAGAGATGTGAAGTCACACACTCAGAGTCACACCAGCAAATCTTTGGTGACGCTGGGTAAAGGAGGTCTGACTCACATTCTACTGCCCTAACCACTAGATCACACTGTTTTACAAACTCTAAGGGGAGCTCAACTTATACAGTCACAGAAGGAAGCAACTGCAGTCTGGGACCCACCAGCCCTCATTCCCTGTCTGCTCATTGAATCTAGCCACTCAAATGCTCTAGACACTAACAGCCTGGTCCACTCTCCCACACCAGTTGCATGGGAGTAGAAAGGGGTGATCTTTCAGGACACCTTATAAAATCCGCTAGACTATGAAGGCCAAACTCTGCATGGCGGCAACCACTGGATGTCCTGACCTACACCTAACTTGGACTGGTTAAGTCTCTGCTGCAGTCACAAACACAACCTCTCCATTGCCCTCCCACCTCCTCTCCTACAACTCAACCTCTTTCCTTCCCTACATCACCGCCACTCCCCAGCTACACACCACCCAGTAATCCCCAAAACTCTTGGACCTGGCATTTCATCTCCCAACCTCCCTGATCACTTGCTTGTATATTGAATTCCTTCTCCCCACTCCCGATCTTGTCTATTTAGACTAGGGGTGGGCAATTTTTTTTGGCCCGAGGGCCACATCTGGGTAGGGAAATTGCATACAGGGCCATGAATGTAGGGCTGGGGTAGGGGTACGGTGTGCAGGAAGGGGCTCAGGGTGCAGGAGGGGTGGAAGCTGAGGCAGGGGGCTCAGAGCAGTGGGTTGGGGTGCAGGAAGGGTTCAGGCTCCAACCTGGCGCTGCTTACCTTGAGCATCTCAAGGGTGGAAGCAGCGCGCAGCGGGACTAAGGCAGGCTCCCTGCGGCCCCTGGGGGAGGGGAGGGCAGAGGGCTCTGTGAGCTGCCCTCACCTGCGGGTAACTCCCACAAAGCTCCCATTGGCCACAGTTCCCTGTTCCCAGCCAATGGGGGCTAGTGCCCGCAGGTGAGGGCAGTGCTTGGAGCCCTCTGCCCCCCCACTCCCTCAGGGGCTGCAGGGACATGGTGCCGGCCACTTCTGGGGGCGGCATGGGGCCAGGGCAGCCAGGGAGCCTGCCTTAGCCCCATGGCTCCACTGGGGTGGCAATCCCGCGGGCTGGATCCAAAGCCCTGATGGGCCGGATCCGGCCTGCAGGCCGTATTTTGCCCACCCCTGATTTAGACTGTAACCTCTTCAAAGCAATGGCTGTCAGCTACTGTGTAAGCTGTACAGGATCTAGTCCAAAGGGGAGCCCATCCCAATAGGGGCTTCTAGGTGCTACTGGATAATAAAAATAAATCTTGGAACTACAGGACAACACAGAGGCAGCTGAATGGAAGGAGGATCTGTGGAGCTGATGAAGGGGTGGCAGGATGCAGCCAGGCAGCATGAGAGCTCCTAAGCACTGGAGAGGCAGCGAAAGGGAGCAGGTGAGGATCTTTGAAGGGAGCCAGAGAGTAAGAAAGGAAGTCTGGGGACTCAGGCAGCAGGGATTGGTGGAGGGAGTCAGATGAAGAAGCAACAGCTTGGAAGACTCATACACTGAGGATGAGGTGAAAGGACAGAGATGGAGGGACAAGTAGGATGGTCTTATGTTTAAGGCACAGGAGTGGGACATAGGAGAACTGAGTTCCAGTCCTGGCTCTGCCACTGACTTTCTATGGGACCCTGAGAAACTAACTCTGTGCCTACAGCATCCCTTGCTGTAGAATGGGGACAGCACTTCTCAGTCTCCCAGGAGTTGTGAGGATAAATTCATTGTTTGTCAGGCATGATGCGGGCCATAGGAGATGGACTGGGGCCTCCGGAACTGGAAGCAAGTAACAAGTGGGAACTGAGCTACATGATCTGACCTCTGAGGAAGGACCCATGTCCCCACCCCGTGCCCTGTCCCTGAGAAGATTTCTCACCTGTAGTCTGCATAGGTCCCTGGGCAGTAGAACAGCGCTATGAACATATTTTGGCCCCTACAGATGGTGTCCAGGGTCAGTGTAATTCCATAAATGGAGGTGAGCAGGAAGAGTGATAGCACAAGGATAAAGGCTCGGTGGTTCCACTCCCCTACGCAGCTGTTAATCCTCCAAAGGAAAGAACATTTTATAAAACATTTTTCTTTACTTAAAAAAAAAAAAGTGTCTCTCTCCCTTGACTGGCAGAGAATTTGGTTCCAAGGTGTGTCTGTATAATACACTCACCAGAGTGCACATAAAGCCACTCAAGGGCACAGGCTAGTAATTTAGGCCAATAATTAAGGAAATGTAAAAACAGCATATTCAGATCCTGCCAGTGTCAATATAGCTCTGGGAGAGCCTCCCACATCCTGTCAATTGCCTGCTGGCAGGCTCTTAGCCTTTCCTAAAACCCTAAGAAAGGTGACGTCTCTTTGCTTGATATATCCACACACCACCATCCCTGGGATCTTGGGCTGCATTTACACTGGCAATTTTAGTGACTCTCCCCCTGCTGCTGTAGCACCAGTGCGGCTCCAGTGGTGGAAGCAATTGCAGGAGTGCTAGCATGTCACAAAATTTATACCTGCTTAGAGCATATTTAAACATCATGGCGGTAAAAAAAACCTGACCCCTTTCTTACATCACTAGCACTCCACTCAGTGGAACTGTACTGGTTCTAGAGTCACAGTGGGAAATTTCCCTAAAACTGTCATTGCAGACAGATTAGGACCCAGAGACCAAAACCTGGTCTTGAAACATAGATCTCCTACACCAGAGTTGGCTAGTTATCAGGTCACCCTACTTAGGGCAAATGACAGCTCTCTGTACCAAAATGAAAGGCACCAAATCCAAGTGGCAGCCCTATTTGACTGCTAGCATCTGGATCAAAGAGCAACAACTTCTTTAACCTTAAACAACAACCTCAGAAGTCCATGGCACCTACCAGACACAGTGATGGTCCAGTCTCCTTACACATATGCCACACAACCGGCAATGTCCAGCCCGAGGTGGCCTAATCAGCTGACATTTGGTGCACCAGTCCTCCTTTGCTCTGTCTAGTCCCTCGGCCAACATTCTAGAATAGCCCTTGGCATCACTGTTCTTAGCATGACAGCTGGCAATGCCAGACACAGCTGCTCCGTGAAGCCCATTGGAACTCCCCAGGATTTTCCTATTTGGCAAGTCATTGCTGCCTTGGCATGGTGATTTGTCATTGCTCATTTGGCTGGTAAGGTAGCCAGGGTCTCTCTTGGCTTGAGACAGGGCCACAAGCAGGAGAATTAGCCCACAGGTGAGAATAACCACCTGAGTTTGCCCCACATGGCCTCGGGGAACCACTTCCCGGAGGAACACATAATACATGTACCCCAGAGAGAACAGCCCCAGGCTCAAAAAGAAGAGAGTCCGTCCCTTTCTTCTGTGTGTGAGGTAGTAGTACCACAGCACCACCACAGGAAGGGATGTCAGGATAACAAGTGCCAACAGGAAGTGCAGAGCTGCTACGTGGAGGAAGACTGGCAGCAGGACGAGTGGTGGGAGCAGGCTGATATTGATCTTTATGGCCCCCTTAAGCCAGGGGATGCGGAAGCGATCCAAGATGGTGTCTGCAATTCTCTCTAAAGTCCCCGGGGGCAAAGATCTGCACGTCAGCCACCTGTTAGGGAAAAGCACAGATTTTGCTCACATACATGAGACACTTCTGTGCTGTCTACTCCCCTCTTAGTTCAGTCTCTCCTTACAGTCTAATCAGAACCCACAAGATTCAATCACTTCACATCAATCACTTTGACTCACTCCCTATTTCCCTTCCCATTTCTTCCTATTCTATGCCTATCTGATGTAACCTGTAATCTTTCTCAGACAGGACATGTGCCTTTTTAAAGAAATTTCTAAAGACCAAGGCAAGGTTATTCTATTAATATTAAGCCTTTCACTCTCTAACTTCTGTGATTCCATCTACCCACTTCAACAAAATCTGTCCCTGATTCAGAAACCAGATAAATAGCAGCTGTGAAACTGACAAGAATCAGGTCTGGGTGTCCACAGATCTCTGGCTCTGGGGCAGTCCACACTGTGGGGCTTACCCTAATGCTGCAGACCCTGGAAGTCCTGGGTCTCTAGCAGCCCTGCATGCAAGCTGGCAGGAAACCAGGCAGGCAGGAACCCTGCCTGTGCTTCAGTGAAAGTTCTTTGAACCCAGTAAGTTTCCACATAACATTTTGGGTTTAACAAACAAGAATTTTCTGATGAAATCCTGTTTTGCTGTGAAATTCCCAGCCTGCTCTATTACCCCAGCCTTTATCCCAACCAGGCAGAAGGCTTTTGACATTCCCAAAATGCCCAGTCCCTTGTCAATTGGCACTTGACACAGACAACCACTCCTATCTGACAGGGAGATGTTTAAAAGTACCAAATGGAGCAGCTATGCGTAGACTGGGTTTCCAAAGCTGAGCCTGACCACACAGTGCCCCTTTCTAAAGAAGTTGGTTAAGGGGGGGGGGGGGGGAGACACTCAAGATACCACGGTAATGAGCGTGGTATGAGCCCCCCTCTGTAAAGGCAGATTAGAGACTAGGCTCTTTACCTTTCACAGCCCTCATCGAGGTCCTCGCAGTCACAGCAACAGGCCACTAGATGGTTCTTCTCCCCCCTCCGGTCAATGTACTCGCAGCAGCAGAGCGGCTCCTCCATCTCAGACCCTTCGGCCTTCTTCCTCCTTTTGCCCGGTTTCCAGCCGCTGATTCCTCAGGCAACTGAGGCTCCCGCTTGCTCCGGCCGGCGTGCGATGGCGACTCCTGCGGGGGGGCAGCGGGGAAGGGCACAGGGACCCGGCTGCCCCGGCACTGCCTGCTGGGGTCCTGCAGAAGCGAGTGGCCGGCTATTTCTGACACAAAAGCCAGACGTGAGTGGAAAGAGGGGCGGCGGGGCTTCAGGGGCAACTCCGCTGCTCCCCGGCTTAGACCAGCAGCCCCGGGCCCCCACGGCTCTAGCCCGGGCCAGCCCGTCGGAGGGAGAACGGGGGGGGGGGGTCCCAGCTGCCCCCTGAGCCCACCCAGGTGCTCAGCCCGCCCTCCCCCGGCCCCGCACACCCACCAGCCCTGCTCCACCCGAGCCCCCTCCTCCAGCCGCCCCCCTGCCATTCACTCCGCACACCCCATCCCGGAGAACAGCTGTGATTGGCTACGCCCCCTGCAGGCTCTCACCGCCGTCACTCACCTCACGTGAGCAGGGCGCCCGGCTGAGGGTGGGCAGCCGGCAGCCTCCCCGCCCGCCGCTTCCGAACACCTCCGTGCCAACGTCAGCCGGGATGGCCCAATGCCGGCGCGGGCGGGGCGGGGCCAGCCATGACGTCACGGCAGAGGCCGGCCTGCTTAAAGGGCGAGGAGGGTGGCGACAGGTGGGGGGCGGAGCCCGGCCGCGGGAACGGTGTGCTCCACCCTGCCCGCCGAAGCCTGGCACAGAACGCGGTGCAGACGCTACGTCACAGAGCCGGCCGCGCGCGCTCCCGGCCCGTACCCAGGCATTGCCGCGCGCGCGGCGGTAGCTTTGCCCGGCCAGGCTGGGGCGCTGCGCTCGCGCCCAGCGAGCCCGGCTGGGGCTAGAGGAGCCGCGAGCTCCCTTGCGAGCCAGCGCTGCCGTATCCGCCCCTTCCCCCAGGCCGCGCAGCCGTGGCATCGGTTTAACGAAGCGGGGGCCGCGCTTGGGTGTGTTGAACTGGTGCAACTCCGCGGGTGGCCGGCGCCACGCACGCTTGCTCCGGTTTAACGTCGCTGTCTCCTCGCACCGCCGCAGGCCCCGCTGGTGGCTTTTGAAAGGCGCAAAGGGGAAGGATCTGCCCAGCAAAGTAGCAGCTGATGAGCAAGACAAAGCACGTCCCTGCGGGTACCGGTTTGCCAGGGGCAGCTTGCAAAATCAGAACTGTTCAGCGGAGGTCTGTAGCCAAAAGGCTGTCGGTGAATCCGACTCACCAGCAGCTGCAACAGAGACGAGCAACTACAACTATCCTTCCTGCTCAGTACACGGTCCTGGGAAGTTCTTGGTTCCAGATATTCATAGTGTGGCCACAAAACACAAGCCAAAGTATTTCAGTCAGTAGTAGACAAGCACCAGTCTTGCATCCTAACTGCTAAAAACTAGCTGCCTTTACCCATATGCTTACCAGATGACAGGCAGGCCGGCCGCCAATAGATAAGGAGGGGGAGATAATGCCCCAGTAATTTGTCACGGACTTGGCTCCCTGCAGCTAGTGGATACAGAGCAAGGCACTGAGCTCACGCTTTCATTGCCACACAGCGTACACGTCTGCAGCGCCATCTACGCTACAACTGCATCAGGGAGCTGGTAACAACGGTGGTCCTTTGGTTGTAACAGCTCTAGTTTACAACAGAGACAAGACCATAACTATTAGGCTGCTTATAAAACACTCAGCATTCCATCTACACTGGAAAATAGACTGGGTCAGGGACAATTATAACCAGGTCCCCTGACACAGTTCATAATTGTAGTGTAAACAGGACGCTAGTTTTTGCAGGCTATAGTCCTGTTTGAAAGGAACTCCAAAATACAACATACACTGGTCAGTAAATGGGTTTGTAGCACAGTGATGCACTGCATACACTGGCCAGGGAAATTGTGGCCCTTCCTCCACAACAAAACAGCCAATTTTCACATACTTGTAACCCAGCCATGTTATAATATAGTTTCTTCGTGCTTGTATGAACATAAAACCAAAACCATGACAATCACAGCAGGGAACTACCTTTGAGGGTTAAAATACACTTCCCTCACCTATTTAATGTGTTGTTTTGCTGTCCACAAAGACATGAAAACCATAACACAGCTGGGGTACAAGCATGTTTTTCAAGCATGATTAAACATGCCAGTTTCTGTAATGTAGAGTTGGCAATGTTGTAGCAGCAGCCATGGTTAACCCTGGTTTAGGTTTTTTAGGAAGTTGCTAACAGGGCTTCCCCCAACCAATATAAGGGCCCCCTCAATTTTGGTTTCTAATCTGGCCATTTCCCAATGGTCTGTTATCATTTCTGGGTATCACACCAAGGATTGAAGGAACAATTTCTTTTGGAGTGCCGAAATTTCATTAGGCAAGCTGAACAGATGTGGTGTGGTGGGGTGGGGGGGAGGAATTAGCAGAGCCCATCAGTGTGCAGAACAATTTAATAAGAGATTAAACATGGAGCTCTTTCATTTTGAGTGAAACAGAAAAATGCAATCTTAAAAAAATAAATATGGGTATTTCAAACTGCTGACTTGTTTTACACAATATGTATGTCTATGAAGGAGCATATGAATATCCTGGATATGTGAAATCACTGCCTGCTGTTATTTCTTTACAGAACATCCCCCGTCCTGCCCCCGCTGTAGCTTAGTGCCACTGATTCTTCAAATCAATATAAAAGAGTTCAGTTTTCATTAGATACAGTCATTGCTGTGCTGAGGTTGCACTTCTCTGTAATTTGCACATCACAGTTACACAGTACAGTATAATGTTCTCACTCATTCACACCTCTGGCTTGTTCACAAGAAAACCAGATGTATGGGGGTGGTGGGTAGAGATTCTCAGAGTTACAGGACCTCAGAACCTGCCCTGTTTTATCCAGAGGTCTGTATTAGCTGCACCAGGAGCTGCTGAACAAAAAATAGTAAAAAGCTCTGAGGCAACAGAATGTCAAAACCCCCACCCCCAAACAGATATGCAGCATCTTCATTCTCATGACATCTTGAGTTGTGGGTGTTGGTAATGTTAACTCTCAGTCTCATCACTCTTGGTCTTGTTCAGGTGATCAAAGCTTCTCTGAAGCATAGAAAGGGAGCTCTTCAGCTGTGGAGATACAACCCCCGGCCCCCAAAAGTATATAAATTATGCTGCTGCAAGGATGAGATGTAAATGTTTTATTTTTACATTCAGAATAATTCCCTCCCACCCTTTCATATTAACAGTAGTTTGCAGTAAACCATTTAGAATCAACCGTAGAATCACAGAATATCAGGGTTGGAAGAGACCTCAGGAGGTCATCTAGTCCAACCCCCTGCTCAAAGCAGGACCAATCCCCAACTAAATCATCCCAGCCAGAGCTTTGTCAAGCCTGACCTTAAAAACCTCTAAGGAAGGAGGTTCCACCACCTTCCTAGGTAACCCATTCCAGTGCTTCACCACCCTCCTAATGAAAGAGTTTTTCCTAATAGCCAACCTAAACCTCCCCCACTGCAACTTGAGACCATTACTCCTCATTCTGTCATCTGGTACTGCTGAGAACAGTCGAGATCCATCCTCCATGGAACCCCCTTTCAGGTAACTGAAAGCAGCTATCAAATCCCCCCTCACTCTTCTTTTCTGCAGACTAAATAATCCCAGTTCTCTCAGCCTCTCCTCATAAGTCATGTGCTTCAGCCCCCTGATCATTTTTGTTGCCCTCCACTGGACGCTTTCCAATTTTTCCACATCCTTCTTGTAGCATGGGGCCCAAAACTGGACACAGTACTCCAGATGAGGCCTCACCAATGCCGAATAGAGGGGAATGATCACGTCCCTCAATCCGCTGGCAATGCTCCTACCTATACAGCCCAAAATGCCGTTAGCCTTCTTGGCAACAAGGGCACACTGTTGACTCATATCCAGTTTTTCGTCCACTGTAACCCCTAGGTCCTTTTCTGCAGAACTGCTTCCTATCCACTCGGTCCCAAGTCTGTAGCGGTGCATGGGATTCTTCCGTCCTAAGTGCAGGACTCTGCACTTGTCCTTGTTGAGCCTCATCAGATTTCTTTTGGCCCAATCCTCTCCTCCCAGTTTAGTGTTATCTGCAAACTTGCTGAGGGTGCAATCCATACCATCCTCCAGATCTTTAATGAAGATATGAACAAAACTGGCCTCAGGATCGACCCTCGGTTTGATACCAGCTGCCAACTAGACATGGACCTGTTGATCACTATCCATTGAGCCCGATGATCTAGCCAGCTTTCTATCCACCTTATAGTCCATTCATCCAGCCCATACTTCTTTTAATGTGCTGGCAAGAATACTGTGGGACACCATATCAAAAGCTTTGCTAAAGTCAAGGAATAACATGTCCACTGCTTTCCCCTCATCCACAGAGCCACTTATCTCGTCATAGAAGGCAATTAGAATAGTCAGGCATGACTTGCCCTTGGTGAATCCATGCTGACTGTTCCTGATCACTTTCCTCTCCTCTAAGTGCTTCAGAATTGATTCCTTGAGGACCTGCTCCATGATTTTTCCAGGGATTTATATTACAGCTGCTAGGCAAGCACAGTACACAGCATAGACTGTCATTTCTACATAGTTACAGAGCTGTCCTAAATTCTGTTACCCTGCTAGACTATGCTGCACTGGCTACATTGCAAGAAAGAAACCATTACATTGCCATTTTTAACATAGTTGCTGCATATGGCAAATACTGAAAGGAACACCCCAACAAGATGTGCACTATAATAGAGGCATGATGCCTTCAGTGTGCTCTGAGGACAAGGATGAATGCAGAAAACTGCCAGCACTCAGAAAGGGCACAATATTATAGCAATCTAAAGTGTACCATGACTTGCACAGGAAAAAAGTGGTGAGTGATTTTTTTTTTTTTAAGATAGGAAATGTGGTTAAATTCTCACTCAATATAGTTCAATATTTAATTTTCTATGTTCTTTAAAAATACCATTTTAGCTATTTGGAATTAACTACTGTCAGAATGGTAGGAAGTTAGGAAAATAGGAGAGTCGGAGTCAGAAAGAGAAGAAAAAAAATAATTAAGTTAAAAACGTTAATAGGCTAAAAAGTTTTAAAAAATGAAATCAACTAATTTTGCAATCTTTCATTTGCTAAGCCATGGCTTCTCAATCCAGAGGTCAGAAATGCATCTGCACCCTCCTTGTTTTTATAGCTAGATGGAAGTGGGGCAGGTCCCCAAACTTTTCCTGTTATAATATAGGGTCATGGTATGGAGAAAGTTTGAAAACCACAGTGTTATGCATCTGGAGGAGCCTGGAAAGGAAGAAGGATGAAAGGAATGATCCCACAAATATCTGCTCTCCCTCAAACTCCCTTATCAGATATTTTTAAAACGTGGAGTTTTTAAAATAAAAACTGAAATGGAGACAGAGCCAAATATCTGCACACTGATGCCATTGCAGGTGAAGCCAGCTCATCTTCGCCTGTTGCCATCTTACATACATGTAGAGCAAGAGGGATGACCACTTAAAAGCCTGTGGCACGCTACACAAAAAAAAATCCTCAGAGCAAATTGAGCAATTGCCCAGTTCTCTCAGAAAGAAGAGAATGGAGCCATTCAAAAGTAATCCTATCTTAGCTTTTCATGGGTTCACAAATGCACCAAAGCCACCTCATAACCAACATCAAAGGTATTTGATAGATGTAAAAGGATCAGCATGGACACTTGATCTTTGTCCATCGCAAGGGGGAGATCACAGAATCATAGAAACGTATGACTGGAAGGAACCTTGAGAGGTCATCAAGTCCATCCCCTGCTCAGAGGTAGGACCAGGTAAACCTAGACCATCCCTGACAGGTGTTTGTCCAACCTGTTCTTAAAACCTCCAATGATGGGGATTCCATAACTTCCCTTGGAAGCCTACTATAGAGCTTAACTACCCTTTATAGTTTGAAAGCTTTCCCTAATATCTAACCAAAATTTCCCTTGCTGCAGGTTAAGTCCATTACTTCTTGCCTAACCTTCAGTGGATATGGAGAACAATTGATTCCTGTCCTCTTTATAACAGCCCATAGCATATTTGAAGACTGTTATAAGGTCCCCCTTTGGGTTTCTTTTTTCAAGACTCAAAACAAAACAAAACAAAAAAACTAAGTATATTTAACGTTTCCTAATAGATCATGTGTTCTAAACCTTTTATCATTTTTGTTGTTCTCCTATGGACTCTTTCTTAAAGTGTAGCACCCAGAACTGGACAGAGTACTCCAGCTTAGGCCTCACCAGTGATGAATAGAGCAGAACAATTACCTCCTGTGTCTTACACACAAAACTCCTGTGTCTACACCTCAGAATTATATTAGCCTTTTTCACAACTGTATCTGAGGTCCTGGCCACACTGTGGCTTTTAACAGTGTTTGAAACCATTCCCAAACAAGCTTACAGCCAATGGCTTCATTTATGATCATCTTCCAGCAAGACCAACACAGTCTCTGTACTCTATTCAAGCTTAAAATGAAACTGACAGTGGTCAAGGAAGTCTGTGGTCTCCAGGTAACACTAGGGCTGCCTCACCACAACTTTCACCAAAACAAGGGAGCAAAGTTAGAAACAAAGATGTCATTGGAAAGGATTATCCGTATCAAGAGGGGGTTCTTAAGTGTGGGCGTAAATCACCAGTTTGTGAGATGCTGGTGCCTTTCCTGCCTGATGGTCTCCCACCAACAAGCGGACCAAATATTCTTCCACTAGGATGTGCAGTTCAAAGCCCCCGGGGCATCCTAGAACTTCACTTAGCAAAACAGGCTGAGTTTCAGCCTGAGAAGACTTCTTGTTTGTCTCCACTCCTGCATTGATTGCTCTCAGAAAGGCAGCCAATCCAATCTGAATCCAATTATCTTGAGGTAGGCAGATAACTCCTCACAGCATAAAGAAAAGGAGTACTTGTGGCACCTTAGAGACTAACCAATTTATTTGAGCATGAGGGTGAATTTGTGTGGGGGGGTGGAGGGTGAGAAAACCTGGATTTGTGCTGGAAATGGCCCAACCTGATGATCACTTTAGATAAGCTATTACCAGCAGGACAGTGGGGTGGGAGGAGGTATTGTTTCATATTCTCTGTGTGTATATAAAGTCTGCTGCAGTTTCCACGGTATGCATCTGATGAAGTGAGCTGTAGCTCACGAACGCTCATGCTCAAATAAATTGGTTAGTCTCTAAGGTGCCACAAGTACTCCTTTTCTTTTTGCGAATACAGACTAACACGGCTGTTACTTTGAATCCTCACAGCATGAAATTTTCCACTGTGTATCCAAGTCCCACTCTTCTTACAAACACCTTTCATTTGGAAACAACTTGAAATCCAGTGGCTGTATGAGTCTTCCTGCCAGGACTTTATCGCTAGGCCATACTAGCATAGAAGCAAACTCAAATCTACCTGCCTACGTTCCCTTTTTAAGCATTTTAGTATGATATGCCTCAAGCTCCTGGACTCCCAGAGTTAGCTATCCTGGCAAATATGATTTCTGCCTTAGCACAGGGTGATCCAAAGAAGCAGAACTATACATTATGGGAGAAAAAAAATTAAAGGAAAATTTAGACAATGAAGATTTGCTATTTGTTAGATTTACCAGGCTGTGGAACAGTCTCCTAAAAATAGTGTTGAAATCCGGTCATAGGAAGCTGAACTAGGCAAACCAATGGGGCATGCACTCTAGGGCAGAATCCAGCACTGGCAGGAGGAGGGACTAAATTATTTAATAGGTGTTCTCCGCTTCTAATTTTTATGATTCTTCAAAGTGCAATGAATATATCAAATCAATGTTTTTTCTATTTCTTCTTCTGCTCTAGGCAAACAGAAATACGGAGTGCTCAGGAAACAGGCAATTTGTACAGAAAGACAAATGAAGCCCAGCAAAAGAAAAGGGGCAAGGCCTGAAAATATTGCCACTTTCTTACACATCCTGCTGCAGCTTTGTTCTTCCTGAAGACAGGTAGCCGCAGACCGGCTCATTTATTTCATAGAGCAAGACATTTTTTAAAGGGGATTTTAAAACTTTTGAAAAATGACCTCTATTTTTTTGTTTCCTCACAGCTACCTCAGAAGCGACAAAAGCATGTGTGGGAAGGAAGCCTACCTGTTCAAGCATTGCAATAGAGTCTTGCAGCACCCCCTTCACCTGCTGGACCTGTTCCTTGTCACGCTGAGGGATATCTTCTCTGGACACCATGTCAGGGACTAAGCTGAAAAGGGAACATGATGAGAATCATCAATACCATGGAATAAACATCTGTACATCCATACCCAGCAAGCACTGATCTCTACCTGCACTCTTTAGCACTTTTCAAGCCAGGACCGCATTCAGACTGTGTACAGTTACATTTGAAACTATGTTACCACTTTCTTAGAGATGTTGCCTTAGTGCATTTTTATACACTGGACACTAAGAGGAAACATGCATTGTAATTAACAAACTGAATTCCTCAGGCTTCTAAACAGGAGTAAAATCTTTCATCTGAAGGAAAGTTAAAGTGATCTAGTTCTTTTGCCAGTCTTATGTTGCAAAGGTCTGTCCTAGCACAAAATTAGAAGGACTGCCATTCTCTGTCCCTGCTAAAGATTAGGTTAGATTTTGAAACTCTGTCTTTCAATGCTATGTCCAACAGAGGTGAAGCAAGACAGGTATCAAGGTCTGCATTAAACAAATAGAAGCGGGGTAGCCAAAGGCGTCAAAGTCATGAACATATCAGCCCTCACACTAAAATCCTTTAAATATAGAGACACCGCTTCCCAAATTGTCTCCTTCAAGTCAGATACACAAACCTAGTTATTGAGAATATCAAGTCCATTTGCAAATGTTGTAATGCATTTAATTGGATAACATGTTCACAGTGTTGGAAGATGTAAAGCACAACAGAAGTGCAAAAATGTTAAATTACATCACACTCCAAAACTGGTACTTCATCCTTTTAAAAAGTGAGCGGGACATGAACTTTGAGATATTTGTACCTTGCAGGGATCAGCAGAAATGAGGAGGCTACAATTCTGTGTAGATCTCCATGAGACAAGATGGAGAAAAACAGCAGAAAAAGGGCAGGCTAATTCTAAAATATCTTGGAGAGGAAGAAAGCCAGTGGTGCAATGTGAAGCCATTTGCTGGACAGCAGTGTCAACTGTAAAAGGGCTACAGGTTACAAAAGTATTTAAAGATTTGCCTCCTGAAATCTGCTTGTTATGAGTCCAATCCAAGTTATCAGGTTCTTATATCTGGATGAAGATGAGGAATTCACTCACTTTAAAGACTTCTCATCCTGAAGGTGGACCCGGTAAAATGACTGAGCTGCACGCTCTATCTTTGATAGTTTAAGGAAGAGAGTCACATTCAGCAAAACCAAGAGCAGCAAACTGTGTAAAGAAAATCAGACTGGTTTAATCATTGCTATCATTTTGCTTCTGCAGTGTTACTTGGGCCATGATGGCCAGAATGAATAATGTTCTATCCTATCTGAACAAACCCTCAGGAAAGAACCTGAGAAAGCATCATGCAGGACTTTAAGGTATCAAGAGCATCTGAGTGGGATGTATTAGGCTGTGAAACAGTCTTTCAAAGGAAGTGGTGGAAGTCTCACCCTTTGGCATTTTTAAAACTAGAGTGGATGAATACTAGAAAATGTACTGCGTGAACAATCATGAACTAGCAGCAGCACCGACTAGTTCAACCACGCACATTTTTCATTCTACATACAACGCAGTAATTGAGCTCCTCCCCTGGAGTCTTCCTCCCATTCCCCTGGATGCCAGGATGCACGGTGACCACCCTGATCGCCTGCCCCTCGGGCCAGCCATGATTAGGACCCCACTGTGCTAGTGCCATGTAAACACAAAGAAAGAGAGTCCCCTTACAATCTAAGAAAATGATGAGTAACAAAGGGTTCTACTCTGAAGACCACTGAAGTTGACCTCACTTGGGGCCCATATACCACAGGCTGCATGAATCGTCTTTTTCTGCTCCCATATAGGTGTAAATACGATTAGCTCTCAGACATCAGTCAAATTGTGGTTTAACCTCAGTGAGTACTTACAAGATGCTCATTATCACAATGATGGCTGTGGTCTTCCTTGCAGCATCCCTTTTCCTTCCTGTAGGGAATGGAAAAGATCAGGTTAGAAATGCGCAACATTAATTCTCCTAAAGAGGAGTCTACAGTGCACAGCAAGTGGTGGATTAGATGGCAGCCCCGATGGACAGTCACACCAGCTGTGTGCAGTCTGGGATGCCCATTTATGCACATAACAGAAACTATTTCTCTGTCCATCCCAATGGAGGAATCAAGTTTATATGTCCATCTCTTATGCTAATGCAAAGCAGTGCTGTGAAGTATGTTCCTGAGTTAGGCTTGTTCTACACTTAAAACTTAGATTGACCTAGCTACGTTGCTCAGGGGTGTGAAAAATTCATGCCCTTCAGAAACACAGTTAAGCTACACTAAACCTTGATGCAGACATCGCTAGGTCAGCATAAGAATTTTTCTATCGACCTAGCTACTGCCTCTTGATTGGGTGGATTTACTGTAACGACCAAAAAAACCCTTCTGTAACTGTAGCAAGTGTCTACTCTACAGCAGCACAACCGCAGCTCTGCTATGTGGACAGCCTTAGACAAAGCAGCTCCCAGTGGGTACTCACTTCCATATGCCTACCTGATCACATTGCCAATGCTGCATACCAGTGACCATTCTGGTCACATGGCCAATGCTGCGTACCAATGACCATTCCAGTTTCTTTTCTTGTCTATCGAACCAAACGTCAACCTGGTTTCAGTAATTATCATCCTGCAGAAAACACTTTAAATTCAGCTGACTGCAAAACCATTCCCCATTGGACACCTTTGGGAATTTGATATTGGCATAGGGCAGGATGAAGTGTACATTTTCTCTCAAACAAAAAGGTGTCACCCACCACTACCGACTGGTTAACCTAGAATTGTGTAAGTTACCTGATCTCCTACAATAGTTCCTAACATTCAGATTTCCTGGCCTGGTAAAGGGACATACATTAAGGCTGCAACATGCACGGAGACAAAAGCACTCACCTGGAAAGCTGGAGCAATGGTGGCAGATTAGGAATGTGGGAATTAACACAGTTACATATGCTACTAACCCAAGTTTACTCTGGTATTCTCAAGGGCTTTTTTCCTGGTTTAAGGTCTGTGTTCTCCGTTCAGTGGTTACAATTTAAGTTGTTTCATATAAGTCAGAGTTCTCTGGCACTCATTATTGCACAGATGTTCCTTTTCTCTTTCAAAGTAGTTACTGTACGCCATGGCGAGTCAATCTGTCACGTCTAGTGGCAGGAAGGGGCAATAATGCTAGATGAGCTTCAGTGCCCCAGAAACGACTGAAGCAGCCAGAAGATTGACAAAGAAGTCAGTTTAATTAAAAATACAAAACAAGATGATCATTTGGGATGATGAGTCCAGGGGGCAACTGTAAAATTGTAACTGTTTCAAGGACTGCATTCAGTTACCTGTTTAGTCAAAGTCCAAAAATTAAATGCTTTGGGATTTTGTGCAAGTTCTTAAAATCAGGTTGCATTGCTTTTCCCATGCAAGCTTTGTGCTGTGTTTAGAGTTACCTTGGAGCAGAATACATTATAGATTGGACTTGAGTTCAGCAGATGCTTGTCACTGCAAAGAGGATCAGACATGCTCCAGATCCTGTATATCTAAGCTTTAATAATGTAAAATAAACATAAACTATTAATCCAGCTGTCTTTATCTAACTGGGTCTAACAAATACACATAGTGGCATCACATTTGTTCTGTTTTACTAATTAAAACACCCTCTCTAACTGCTGCTATACCCACCTACTACGTTGCCCTGGGACTCTAATCCAATGTCCCCAGAAGAGTGCTGTGAAGAACGCTTAGGAAGCAGCTCTGCCATATTCCGGTGTAAATTCCGTCGTCGTCTTCTTAGGGCAATAAGTTTCCCAGGATCTTCTATAGATTGGGTTATTGCATATTCTTCCATTAGCAGATCTGATTCTACAGTTGAAAATAAGTATTTATTTTTCCCTTTGCTTTTCAAATGGAAAGCTCACATTATCTGGCTATGATAGAGAAAATAACAGGCAAGGCAAACAAATCAATAGAGGCTGTTGTCTTCTAGAAAATATATATATGATACATAAGAGAGATTCCTTAAACTGTACCATCGACTTGTACTACCATCATTACACTCAGTACTTTACAGGTATGAAATGTATACTTTTCCAGCACAGTACAGCTCAATGTATTTGCCAAGCGCTGTTGCTTTCTTTCTCATAGCTACAACCAAGGAAGCACTTTGATTTAAATGGGAAATCAAATTAATGGATTTTTTTTTTTTTTGTATCCTCACACCTCCTCCTTGGGAGCTGACCCCAATCCCCTGGACACAAGACTATTGATTGCTAAGTGGAAAATGTTTGTAGGAGCCCTTTGATAACATACTGGAAGCACAATACAGTGGCACCCCAGAGTTAGCAATATATTGACCTAGGGCAGGGGTGGGCAAACTACAGCCCGCGGGCTTTGGATCTGGCCCGTGGGATTGCCACCCCCATGGCACTGTGGGCCCTGGCACCACATCCCTGCAGCCCCTGGGAGAGGGGGCCAGAGGTCTGTGCACACTGCCCTTGTCTGTGGGTACCTCCCCCTGAAGCTCCCGTTGTTGGATCATATTAAAGAAGTTCTGTATTAAAATCACAAATAAGTTTGATTCCCCATAGTTTAAATTCCAGGGTATTACTAATTAAGAGGTCTCTTGGTTTTTGGTACTGTTTCTCTCCCTCTCTTTGTGAAACTTGCAAGCTGCTAATTATGTTAGTACGTTCTAAGACAGAGACAGTTCTCAAAGCAATTATTTGTAACAACAACTGCTCACACAGATTTCAGAGTAACAGCCGTGTTAGTCTGTATTCGCAAAAAGAAAAGGAGGACTTGTGGCACCTTAGAGACTAACAAATTTATTTGAGCATAAGCTTTCGTGAGCTACAGCTCACTTCATCGGACGCACAGAGAGAGAGACTCAAAGCAATACTCTGTAACAACAGAAACAGCACCCAGAGACTCCCCGCCCTTTTGTTGTATTCATCTCGCTTTGTTAACAATTGTGATTAAAATAGAGATAGAGGATGTATGTGGATGGTTGATTGGTGTGGATAATAACTGAATGATCAGGGAGGTGCCAGCCTAAGAATCCAGTGTACATCGGCTGAAGAAGGCGTCAAGTGGAAATAACCAGAGGACCCCCGGAGGGCAGACTGGAATCCACCCAACAGCCTCAAGGATGGGAGAACCAAAGAACAAGATAACATCTAGCAGCACGGAGCCGTCAGGAATGTGCCATCTGCTGTTTGATTCAGCAACAGCATGATGAAGCAATTCCCATAGACTGCCATAGGAATAAATTCCTATAAAAATGGACTCTAGAAAGTGAGAACTTTGGGGTCTGATTCTGCAAACCATCTTCCAGAAGCATCAGATGAGCATCTGACAAGGCCCTGCTCCTTCCTCATATCCAGGCCACCTGGCCAGTGGCTTGGCATGAGCAATTCTAAGGCTGGTAACTATGATAACAACCTTGCAGAACCTGTGTGTGTGTGTGTGTATGAATGAATGTGTGAATAAATAGGAGATTGAATGGAATGTTATAGCTATAACTAACTACTTACTATGATTCTTTCTATATTCACAATAAATGTGGCATTTTGTCTTTTCCCCTTTAATAAGATCCTGCTAGTTTTTATTTTATTGGTATAACACCATTGCCCGGGCACGGGGAACCATGGCCAATGGGAGCTTCAGGGGAGGTACCCACAGGCAAGGGCAGCAGGGGGAGCCCTCTACCCTCCCATTCCCCAGGGGCCACAGGGACGTAGTGCCGGCCGCTTCCCGGAGTGGGGCTGGGGCAGGCAGGGAGCCTGCCCTGGCCCTGGTGCATGCTGCTGCCACCCTGGAGCCGCTCCAGATAAGCGGCACCGGGCCAGAGCCCGCACCCCGAACTCCAACTCCCTATCCTGAGCCCCGTGCATGCACCTCAACCCCCTGCCACACCCCACACCCCTCCTGCACCCCAACCCCCTGCCCTGAGCCCCCTCATACACCCCGGACCCCTCCTCTGCCTCAACCCCTTGCCCTGAGCCCCTTCCTGCTCACCGCACCCCCTCCCACACCACATTCGCTCCTGCACCCCAACCCCCTGCCTCAGCCCTACATTCATGGCCCTGCATGCAATTTCCCCACCCAGATATGGCCTTCAGGCCAAAAAGTTTGCTCACCCCGACCTAGGGGATCCTCTGATTTGAAGGACACACGAAGAGAATCTCACACTTTGTAAATTTATTTCTTGTAGAATCAGTTTCATGACCACTAAAATTTACCAGATCCATCCACAAAAAAGATTTCACCCTGTTACTACGAAAAGCAAATCCTCACCAAGTTGTTTGAAATTCTCCTCTATCCCGCTCCAGGTGTTCTTCTCAATCAGAGACTTGATGAGGCCCCATGGCTGCTTTTTGTATTTCACATCTGTGGAAAGCCTGCCACAGCACAGAATGGAATGATAAAGTGAGTGATCAATGGTAAAGTTAGTGGTTGTCCATAATCCAAAACAGTCACTATTATAAATAGTCAAGACTTTGTCAGGTGGCAGCACTCACACTGAACAGGTAGGGATTAGACATGGGTAGAGAAAAACTATAAACTGCATTGCAGCTAGAGCTCTGTGGGAACTTGAATTTCCATTTCACAGGACATTCCACATTTCAAAATTTGCTTTAGTTCCCAATAAGAATAAAAACAGATGTTTATATCTCACAAAATAAATGTCAGGGGAAAAAAAATCCTTTTCAGGTAATTTGTAATGTTTCATTTTGACTTTGACTTTTTTTATATAATTTTAAATAAATTTCAAAAAACAAAAAAAAAAGTTAAAATGTTCCATTCTGAAAATGTCAAAATGTAATGTCTTTGACCTTGTCAAAATGCTTTTCTCTCCCCCAGTTGTTTTAAACAGATTTTTGTTGCAATTAACACGTTCCCTTGGGAAGTTTCTGGTTTGATGAAAGCATTTTCCAACAGAAGAAACTGTATCAGAAATGTTTCAGAGTAGCAGCCGTGTTAGTCTGTATTGGCAAAAAGAAAAGGAGTACTAGTGGCACCTTAGAGACTAACCAATTTATTTGAGCATGAGCTTTCATGAGCTACAGCTCACTTCATCGGATGCATTCAGTGGAAAATACAGTGAGGAGATTTATATACATACAGAACATGAAACAATGGGTGTTGTCATACACATTGTAAGGAGAGCGATCACTTAAGATGAGCTATTACCAGCAGGAGAGCAGGGGGGGGGGGCGGCGGGAGGGGAAGAAAACCTTTTGTAGTGATAATCAAGGTGGGCCATTGCCAGCAGTTAACAAGAACGTCTGAGGAGCAGTGGCGGGTGGCGGAGGGGGGGGATAAACATGGGGAAATAGTTTTGCTTTGTGTAATGACACATCCACTCCCAGTCTCTATTCAAGCCTAAATTAATTGTATCCAGTTTGCAAATTAATTCCAATTCAGCAGTCTCTCGTTGGAGTCTGTTTTTGAAGTTTTTTTGTTGAAGAATTGCCACTTTTAGGTCTGAAATGAGTGACCAGAGAGATTGAAGTGTTCTCCAACTGGTTTTTGAATGTTATAATTCTTGACGTCTGATTTGTGTCCATTTATTCTTTTATGTAGAGACTGTCCAGTTTGACCAATGTACATGGCAGAGGGGCATTGCTGGCACATGATGGCATACATCACATTGGTAGATGTGCAGGTGAACGAGCCTCTGATAGTGTGGCTGATGTGATTAGGCCCTATGATGGTGTCCCCTGAATAGATATGTGGGCACAGTTGGCAACAGGCCTTGTTGCAAGGATAGGTTCCTGGGTTAGTGGTTCTGTTGCGTGGGGTGTGGTTGCTGGTTAGTATTTGCTTCAGGTTGGGGGGGCTGTCTGTAGGCAAGGACTGGCCTGTCTCCCAAGATTTGTGAGAGTGATGGGTCGTTCTTCAGGATAGGCTGTAGATCCTTGATGATGCGTTGGAGAGGTTTTAGTTGGGGGCTGAAGGTGACGGCTAGTAGTGTTCTGTTATTATCTTTGTTGGGCCTGTCCTGTAGTAGGTGACTTCTGGGTACTCTTTTGGCTCTGTCAATTTGTTTCTTCACTTCAGCAGGTGGGTATTGCAGTTGTAAGAATGCTTGATAGAGATCTTGTAGGTGTTTGTCTCTGTCTGAGGGGTTGGAGCAAATGCGGTTGTATCGTAGAGCTTGGCTGTAGACTATGGATCGTGTGGTGTGGTCTGGGTGAAAGCTGGAGGCATGTAGGTAGGAATAGCGGTCAGTAGGTTTCCGGTATAGGGTAGTGTTTATGTGACCATTGCTTATTAGCACAGTAGTGTCCAGGAGCTATAATTAGAGCTGGTAGACCATCAGCCTTAGCCTGGACCAGTCCACTCAAGTGATCCACTTCCTGGACACTACGGTGCTAATAAGCGATGGTCACATAAACACTACCCTATACCGGAAACCTACTGACCGCTATAGTTACCTACATGCCCCCAGCTTCCATCCAGGATACACCACACGATCCATTGTCTACAGCAAAGCTTTAAGATACAACTGCATTTGCTCCAATCCCTCAGACAGAGACAAACACCTATAAGATCTCTATCAAGCATTCTTAAAACTACAATACCCACCTGCTGAAGTGAAAAAACAGATTGACAGAGCCAGAAGAGTACCCAGAAGTCGCCTACTACAGGACAGGCCCAACGAAGAAAATAACAGAACGCCACTAGCTGTCACCTTCAGCCCCCAACTAAAACCTCTCCAATGCATCATCAAGGATCTACAACCTATCCTGAAAAATGATCCCTCACTCTCACAGATCTTGGGAGACAGACCAGTCCTCACTTACAGACAGCCCCCCAACCTGAAGCAAATACTCTCCAGCAACCACGTAACAAAAACACTAACCCAGGAACCTATCCTTGCAACAAGCCCAATGCCAACTCTGTCCATATATTTATTCAAGAGACACCATCATAGGACCTAATCACATTAGCCACGCCATCAGGGGCTCGTTCACCTGCACATCTACTCATGTGATATATGCCATCATGTGCCAGCAATGCAGCTCTGCCATGTACATTGGCCAAACCGGACAGTCTCTACGCAAAAGAATAAATGGATACAAATCTGACATCAGGAATTATAACATTCAAAAACCAGTAGGAGAACACTTCAACCTCTCTGGACACTCAGTAACAGACTTAAAGGTGGCAATTTTACAACAGAAAAGTTTCAAAAACAGACTCCAAGGAGAAACTGCTGAGCTTGAATTAATATGCAAACTAGATACCATTAACCTGGGTTTGAATAGAGACTGGGAGTGGCTGGATCATTACACATATTGAATCTATTTCCCCATGTTAAGTATCCTCACACCTTCTTGTCAAATGTCTAAATGGGCCATCTTGATTATCACTACAAAAGTTTTTTTCTCCTGCTGATAATAGCTCATCTTAATTAGCCTCTTACAGTTGGTATGGCTACTTCCACCTTTTCATGTTCTCTGTGTGTGTGTGTATATATATATATACACACACACACACACATATATACACACACACACACACACACACACAAATATATATATATTGTGACAGGGTCGGACCAGATGGCTATAGGAGAGTAATAGAAGGCAGATATATTAGCCCCAGGCTAAGTAGGTCCCTTTTCCCTGAGTAAGGTAACAGGGAAGGTTCCAGAACAATCAGGAACCTTCTGGAGACAATTAAGACAAGCTGATTAGAACACCTGCAGCCAATCAAGAAGCTGCTAGAATCAATTAAGGCAGGCTAATCAGGGCACCTGGGTTTTAAAAAGGAGCTCACTTCAGTTTGTGGTGTGCGTGTGAGGAGCTGGGAGCAAGAGGCACTAGGAGCTGAGAGTGAGAACGCGGACTGTTGGAGGACTGAGGTGTACAAGCATTATCAGACACCAGGAGGAAGGTCCTATGGGGAGGATAAAGAAGGTGTTGGGAGGAGGCCTTGGGGAAGTAGCCCAGGGAGTTGTAGCTGTCACACAGCTGTTCCAGGAGGCACTCTAGACAGCTGTATTCCACAGGGCCCTGGGCTGGAACCCGGAGTAGAGGGAGGGCCCAGGTTCCCCCCATATCCTCCCAACTCCTAGTCAGACACAGGACGAGTCGACCGGGACTGTGGGTTCAGAAAAACAGCCAAGCTGAGGGCTGCCGTGAAGTTCCAAGGTGAGCCAATCCGCCAATAAGTGCCAGACCCACCAAGGTAGAGCAGGAACTTTGTCACTATATATATGTCACTACTATATGTTCCATTCTATGCATCCGATGACGTGGGCTGTAGCCCACGAAAGCTTATGCTCAAATAAATTTGTTAGTCTCTAAGGTGCCACAAGTACTCCTGTTCTTTTTAATTATAGCTCAGTGTTACATATGGTGTTACATACTGTATTTGCTATTGTCCTACACGTACACTCTACGTGCATTGCTTGTATATCCCTCTCCCCTTGACACGTTATGATCACCATACATCTGTATGAGAAGGACCAGAGGAGTCTCTCTTCAGAGCCAGTCAATGCTGCTTCGTAGGCCAGGTTTACACTACAGACCTATATCAGTATAATTGTATTGCTCAGGGGTCCCCTGAGTGAAGTAGTTATACCAACCTAACCCCCTGTGTAGACAGCGTATGTTGACGGGATAGCTTCTCCCAGACATAGCTACTGCCTCTCAGGGTGGTGAATTAACTATGCTAACAGAAGCAGCTCTCCCACTGGTGTAGTAGTGTCTTCACTAAAGTGGTGCAGCTGCGCTACTGTAGCGCTGTACATGAAGACAAGCCCTTACATCAGCTAGGAGGGTTGCTCAAGGCATTCAGTTTTCCCCAGGCACAGAGTTCACCCCTTTCCCTTCATACTCCCAGTGCCAGAGATCCCAGCCTAAAATCAAACCCGGGTTTCCCACACGGCAGTGTTGAGCATTAGCTGCTACTAGACCTATTCTCTTACGCAGTGTGCTTCAGCGCCAAAAAGCGACTGTAAAAATGGTATTATGAGGGTTCATGTTCATTGTCTCAGTGATTTTCACATCAAATGTGCTCAGTTTATAAGATGATTTTCCTGACTCCCAAGTCTGCAAAGTCAGCTTGGGATCTGAGATTCAAGCTGGGTTCTCTCTAGTGAGCACCATCCCCACTAGTAGAGCAGGCCAAATTACACTTTCACTTACACCTGGGCAATTTAATAGCTTCAAGTTATGCCTTTGGCAATAACTGTGCAGGAGCATGCACAGGTGTAATTTGTTGTTTCTTGGTAAACAATTCCACGGAGAGTTCCCAAAGAGGAGGAGTACAACCCAGCTCATTCTCTTGAAACTACGTTGGCTGTGCAGGGCAGAAGAGTAAAACCTTATTTTTGTCACTAAAAGCCACCAGAGCTGACTAATACTTGCAGGAAACACATACAGTGAATGAGAAGGGGCCATTTTTACATATTTTTCACAGTGGAACCACACTTCAATGGAAGAAATTTGTGCAAAGAAATGCAACTTTTCCATGCTGTAGACACCTCTTTTAGTAAGTATATTTCAGTGCATACAGCATGGCTCTCCCGCCCCACCTGCTCCACACCATTCTGGCTCACCATAATCTGCATTTCTGATTGCATGTGCGGGTGATGGAATATCTGTTCACAGTGTAGAAGTAATCATGATATGGGACATCATGCGTCAGCACCTCTGCATCTACGCGATAAGACTGACCTTTCTGGCTCTGTTTATTCAGGGTCTACCCATAAAAAAAGAAGGGGAAAAAAGACATTTTAAATACCCTGTCTCAGTTCTCTTTCATTCAGTCTTTGGGTTCATCATGCCAGCATAACTACCACCTAAAAGCTACTGGCAGTAGGGAAAGAATCTGAAATAGTTTGAGAAAATGAGACAGGTGGAGAACTCATGATGGTCACAGATAGGGGTCGGGGGTTGGCAACCACTGTCCTTCCCACATTGCCAAATGGGAGAAGGCTCCTAGTTAGCTCCCAGCAGGACAGGACAGTTTTAGTATGAAAGAGGAGGAGAACCACTGGTCTAGAACTCTCAGCGTGGGCCTGGGGGGGGGGGGGGGGGGGGGGAGTAACTTCTGAGTTCTAGTCCTGGCTCTGCCTCTAACTCACTGTGTGACCTCTGAATAGTCATTTCACTTCACTGTGTCTTAGTTTCCTTGTCTATAAAATAAGGCTCACACTTACTCCCACAAGGATTGTGGGGAAGAAGTAAGGTTTACTAACCTCTCTGAAGATGAAAGGCACTATATAAGTGTTTATTAAAGATGAGGAGGGCAGCTGACCATCATCATTTAACTGCTGAGCCACATTCAAACTCCTAAACTCTGCAGTGTGGTCATTACTGTAGCAGATACTGAAGTGAGGGTTTCTCTCATTTTGGCACACATTGTGAATGCACACAGTACCTGCTTTTCTGTTGCAGTTGTGTACTTCCCAATGAGCGGATTGTTAATCATTATAGTGTAGGTGAGGGTCCTCAACTGATTGCCACTGCTGTCCATATTCCAAGGGGTCGATACAGCATCTAGTCACAAAATGTATAATTATTAACGTCCAACAATTGATAGGGAGTGGTCTCAATCCTTAACTTAGTTGAAAGTGGTTTCAGAGTGAACAGGTTAAAGGTCTGCTCCTCTCCTTCGTGAGTCCCTGTATGTTTACTATTTAACACAATGTAGAATCAGCTCATGTTACTCACTGAGGGATGCCAGAGAGCCTGATTCTCCCTTGCCTTGCACACCTTGCATCATCATTCACACCTGTCAGCAAAACACCATCACTCTGATCAGAGACCATTTCACACCAACTCTGAATAGGTGTAAACAAGGACATGAAGGTAAGGCAATGGAGAATGGGGCCTGAGTGTTTAGAGGTCAGAATTCAGAAGTGTGCTGGGGGAGGAGGGAAGGAATACTTCAACACACACTGTCTTGTCACTTTCTGCTTGTAACTCCTTCCTTGCTGTTGGACATAGAAGTTTTCCAGTGGAAAGGCCCACCTGGAACCAATCCAGATGGTTGGTAATTTACAAGAAGAGGGAAAAGTGAGAGAAGCGCTGGCCAGTATTTCTGGACTTTTATGTCCGCTAGATGCTAGGAGAGCAGAATAGACCATGGGAAAAATTAAAGAAAGGCTTTAAATGAAAAATTACACTGTGTTCTATCTGCCTAGGATGACTATAAGGTTCATTAGCATTAGTAAAAGAGATAGTTCTTGCTGATTAGCCTTAAAATCGGACACTGAAAAAATATTACTCTCTTTCGGACTTTATCTTCTGTTTCTATGATCCCAATGAATAAAATTTACTTGCCCAGAAAATTAAAGCCTGTGAATGTTATTTAGGAGTATGCAATGATTTATTCTATGTGCAAATTGCATGGACTTTACTATTATTTGAGTATAACATGATTAAAAAAAAAAAAAACTATTGAGCCAATACCCTAATCAATAAAGCAGAGACTTTAAATAATTTAATATGTGATTGATTTTAATGTTGTAATATTACAGTGTACGGTGAATGTTCTACTCCGAAAAGTGAATATAAAGAGGGTATTGTTTCTATGTTCATTGTCTCAATAACTCCAGAACAATCATGCTCAGTTTATAAATAAAAATTGTTTTTCTGACAGTCTGACAATCTGCACACTCATATCTAAAAGTCAAGCTCATTTCTTTCTGACTCTTGTATAACCATTATTATTTTACAGCACCAAAAATATGCTAGGCAAAGTGCAGCACAGATAGAAAGATATGGTCCCTGCTCTAAAGAAACTAAGATTTGATATTATCTAGGACACAATGGGTGGGGTTAAAACAATAAAAAGGGTGTGGGGTGAGGACAGACACAGGTTACAGCAGTAAAATCCATGAGGTTAATCAATCTAATCTTGTACACACCTTGGTAGTTTAGTTACATCTCTTTTCATTTTGAATAAGAAAGATTATGTGAAAAAGATCCTGCCATTATTACTCCTGGCCAACCCTATTACCTTCACATTCTTCCCTCAGTTACGCTTGTGCTAGCTGTTGTCGTCAGTGAGGCAGCACAGGTCCAACTGATTAGTCCTGTCACTGGAACATAGCTAACAATTCTGATGCTGATGTAGTAAGTAGAAAAGACTCCAGCTCATTGTCCTAGAGCTGGACTTGGCAAAAAGTAGTAAAAGCGTAAATACTTATTACTTCAGTCAGAGCTTTGAGTCTTGACACACACAGAGAAGGAAAGGGCCCATCTTACGTAGTCATTTTCAAAGCAGAACCTTATCTTTAAAAGCAGGTTTAATTCCCCCTTTATGGGCAGAATCTGTTGAATTTTGGTTATTCATCTCCAACTACATTAACACTTCTCTCACCAAGATTGAGCATGTAATTTTTTCTAGCATAAATCTTTACGTGAACTGAAAGGGGAAACTATATTACCTACTATATTCCTGGTGTTGTGAAATTTCTGCACAAAATGGGAATTGGTGAAAAGCATTTCAAACATCTTGTCTGCGCTGATATTGAAAACTCTATTAATAAAGAGTCTCCCATGCAGGTCATTCTCAGGCACAGTCTCCTTGGCTGATAAGGAAATGGAGAGAGAACACGTTAAGGAAATGGATGGGCCCCATCATCTGCCCACAGTAAAAAAAAGACATTTTTATGCTTGATCCTCTGTTGTGGCTCAACCAGTTACCAAACATTAATCCACACTTCTCTCCCACTCCCACAAACCTAACAGCACAGTATTTACCATTATGAGACAGCCCAGAGCTGGTCTTCCAACCAGCCCCATCCACTATCTTTTCACCAGTACTTTTCCAGGTAGAAAGCCTCAGTTGGGGACAATCAGTCCCTTTCAATAGCGTCACTTACTCCTTCAATAACATGGTCCCTGTCAGGTTAAAAATCTTTCTTAAATGCATTACTAGCCCTCCAAGAACCATCTGAGGGGATTAGAACAGAAGGAACACTATGTTATTGATTTACTTGTCACTATTCACTCTAGGCCAGCTGTTTGCCTTGTATACATCACTCAACTGGACAATGAAAATAGACAAGTCACTTTCATTTTTGTTGGTAGTCCGTTTCTAGTCAGTTTGGTTTTCAGCTTGCCATACTCTTGCAGGATGCTACCATGTTTGCTGTGTAAGTGCTGCAGGAGACTACTTGTAAAAACATATATTTCATTGGCTTTTTTTTTTTTTTTTGTAATTTGGAAAAAAAAAATATTGCTCCTAACAAAAAATACCTTCCTCACCTACCATCTGTCTCTGTATGAAGGGAATGTAAGGGGGTATGCTCCCACACTGTAATCCTGGGTAGGGCACTGGTACCTGCCTTACCCTCCTCCCCCATTAACACAGAGCTGTGAGGAGATGCTTTCTCCTGCGCCTGCATCCACTCCTGCTGTCTCTATGGAGACCCAGTGCTGCTCCACTGCAGAGTTTCATTCTTTAGCTGCTGGGCTACTTGCTTTTGCCTTCACCCTCTGCTACCAGGCAGGAATGAGCTTTTGAGGTTTCAGATGTGATAGCGGGTGGGGGGGGAGGTGTTGTTCCTCTTAAGGGAGTCTGGTGTCCTTGGCAGCTCATAATCTATTCTCAACTTCCCGTCCCCCATGCCCTCCCCCTGAGGATGCTTTCAGCCAGCTAGTATTCTAGTCCTGTATCTGTCCCATTCAAAACTTCCAGTTGCGATATGCAGACAAGTGATCCAAAACAAAAATCACCTTCATGATACCATCACATTTTCACTTCTGGGGTCCTGAATTCAAAGTTGAACATCCTATTTACATCCCAAACAGGAGACTAAAATAAGGTATACATAAACACACGCACTTCTCTTCCTGTGGTATGTTCTGATTACAAAATATGCTTTTCCATTTGTAATTATAGGGTGGACCCAAAGATCAAGACTATGTTTACAGAGATGCCTAGTTAGCCAACCAATTCCGTAAAGTGATTACTCACTATGGTAAGAATTTTTCTGCGTTGAAATACATTACAAGGAGCCAGGACTTCGGGGAGTGTTTACAGCCTACACAATGACATTTACAATATTTACTCTGGGTAGAGGCCCACGTAAATGCCATCAGGGTCCAGACTTTGGGTGAGCTTTACAAGTATCATGTTAGCTCTGACAGCTTTAACATCTAACCCTAACCCACTTCTAGCCTTTTGTACTGCCTATTTACCGTCCTCATAGACAGAGAGCAAGCTTTATACAGTTTGGTATAAACATCCATTTTGAACAACTGGGTGCCAGCTGATTTACAGGGAGTCAGATACTTTATTTTATTAACATCTCCCAGAAAAAAAAACTACCTAAAATTTGTTGGTGCATAACAACTCATACTACTTATGCTGGTTACGAACCCTCATCCTCAAATGGTCTATATCATCCTTAATTAATCACCACTAACCAGCATTTTACATTGATAGTGTCCCTTTCATAAATCTAATCATTTTTTTTAAAGAGTAAGACGTAGTTTTAGTTATTGTTTCTGCCCCCAAATCTCTGACAAATTTACTGGGTTTGTATAATTACATGTAAAAGTGTTTCTCCCCCATTGCTGTGTGAATAAACCCACACAAACCCTGTAAGACTTGCGGGCTGTATAGGGAAACGTGAAACTGATGAAGACACAAAGTACAGTCAAAGGGACAAAGTAAACAGCTATGAAAACGGAGAGAAATATTTTTACCTGCAGTCTCTCTGAACTCTTTGGAACACTTGGTGTTACAAGTAATGGTACTTTGTTGAAAAATTAAGTGTTGTCATTAATTTGAGGGATTGATAGAACATGAAGCAGAAGTCACTTTCTGTGTTAGGATTCAAACCTGATTCCTCTTTAAACACAGCTGCAGCCCTTTTTTTGCCACAGATTTATTTTTTGTTAATGCTCATATGGAGTTGATGCCTGTGAAAATGAACTCCTGTTAAAACTGGTACAAGTTAGTAACAGTGGAAGCAGATGCTGTGCAAACATCCTCCAGGCAGTTCTGCCCATATTCTTCAATATTCACTTGTAGAAGTCCCTGCTCTTCCAGCCCTGTGCAGGACCATGTAGTGATAATCTGTCAGAGGCACATACCCCCTGTGTGGACCCTAAACTCATTTTACTAACATCCTGGATCAGGCTTTGAAATAAAGATTCTACAAGTGAAAGGTTAGATTGCTAGCCTAATGTATCATTCTAGGTCCTCCAGTTTTTAAACCTGTAAGGCAAGTATATGGAGTGCAATTGCATGAATATTTTGGCCTGAACAGATTACATGAAAAAGTTATTGTATAACCAAAACCTAGCTAAACCCATCACCTCAAATGTCCTGATTACAACTGGAGACAGCATGCCTGGTTCTCTGGTACCCTCTACTTTATGTGTTCATTCACACCAGTGCAAAGTGAATATAAAATGCTACCACTTGGACTTGGTAGTATTTGCAACACTTTGCACCAATGTAAATGACAACAGACTGTGCTGGACAACACGGAATTAGACCCATTGCATTATAAGGTTTCCTGTAAGGTTTGCTGCACAAAATTAGATAAATTAAAAAAAATAAACCACCTAATCCCTCATCTACAAATTAGATAGTTGGGAAGACACTCAAAATCTAATTCCTCTCTTTTCAAACAATGCCTCGGCTCAAATCCCTTTAACTCCTAACAGCAGAACAAGGAACCCAAAATAATACATGCCAGACCAATGAACTCTGAAGAAGCCAAACTGACAAGAACAGGGCATACCAAACAAATGAGAAATTGATTTCCACTCCAATGGAAAAAATATATCAGCAACACTGTATACACAGAGACCTGGCAACCAGAAACAGCTGGGGTAAAGATAAGGAACCAAACAGATTTCCACTCCACTGGAATGAGCACAATTATGCAGTCCAGACATGCCACATTTTAGGATTGCACTGGTTACATTAGTCATGGTTGGGCTGATCATTCACATGATGGATCTCATCTCAAAAGTGATATTAATTTAAAATTTTTTGTGCGATTTCTGAGTCAACATTGAAAGGAAAACCTTATTTTTCCACTAATAAAAAGCTTCAATTTTTTTTTAATTTTAGATCAAATAGTTTTTAAAACTTCAAAGCTATAAGTATTTGACATTTGTATACTAAGCACATCCTGTAATATGCTTTTATTAACATTTTAAACAACATATTGAGATACACAGCTCCTGTTCCTCATGTGAATTGGCGGCTGTGATTGCAGAGCCATTGGCCATTATCTTTGAAAACTCGTGGCGAACGGGGGAAGTCCCAGATGACTGGAAAAAGGCTAATGTAGTGCCCATCTTTAAAAAAGGGAAGAAGGAGGATCCTGGGAACTACAGGCCAATCAGCCTCACCTCAGTCCCCGGAAAAATCATGGAGCAGGTCCTCAAAGAATCAATCCTGAAGCACTTACATGAGAGGAAAGTGATAGGAACAGTCAGCATGGATTCACCAAGGGAAGGTCATGCCTGACTAATCTAATCGCCTTCTATGATGAGATTACTGGTTCTGTGGATGAAGGGAAAGCAGTGGATGTATTGTTTCTTGACTTTAGCAAAGCTTTTGACACGGTCTCCCACAGTATTCTTGTCAGCAAGTTAAAGAAGTATGGGCTGGATGAATGCACTATAAGGTGGGTAGAAAGTTGGCTAGATTGTCAGGCTCAACGGGTAGTGATCAATGGCACCATGTCTAGTTGGCAGCCGGTGTCAAGTGGAGTGCCCCAGGGGTCAGTCCTGGGGCCGGTTTTGTTCAATATCTTCATAAATGATCTGGAGGATGGTGTGGATTGCACTCTCAGCAAATTTGCGGATGATACTAAACTGGGAGGAGTGGTAGATACGCTGGAGGGCAGGGATAGGATACAGAGGGACCTAGACAAATTGGAAGATTGGGCCAAAAGAAATCTGATGAGGTTCAATAAGGATACGTACAGGGTCCTGCACTTAGGACGGAAGAACCCAATGCACAGCTACAGACTTGGGACCGAATGGCTAGGCAGCAGTTCTGCGGAAAAGGACCTAGGGGTGACAGTGGACGAGAAGCTGAATATGAGTCAGCAGTGTGCCCTTGTTGCCAAGAAGGCCAATGGCATTTTGGGATGTATAAGTAGGGGCATAGCAAGCAGATCGGGGGACGTGATCGTTCCCTTCTATTTGACATTGGTGAGGCCTCATCTGGAGTACTGTGTCCAGTTTTGGGCCCCATACCACAAGAAGGATGTGGATAAATTGGAGAGAGTCCAGCGAAGGGCAGCAAAAATGATTAGGGGTCTGGAACACATGACTTATGAGGAGAGGCTGAGGGAACTGGGATTGTTTAGTCTGCAGAAGAGAAGAATGAGGGGGGATTTGATAGCTGCTTTCAACTACCTGAGAGGTGGTTCCAGAGAGGATGGTTCTAGACTATTCTCAGTGGTAGCAGATGACAGGACGAGGAGTAATGGTCTCAAGTTGCAGTGGGGGAGGTTTAGGTTGGATATTAGGAAAAACTTTTTCACTAGGAGGGTGGTGAAACACTGGAATGCGTTACCTAGGGAGGTGGTAGAATCTCCTTCCTTAGAAGTTTTTAAGGTCAGGCTTGACAAAGCCCTGGTTGGGATGATTTAATTGGTGATTGGTCCTGCTTTGAGCAGGGGGTTGGACTAGATGACCTCCTGAGGTCCCTTCCAACCCTGATATTCTACGATTCTATGATTCTACGTGTACTGTGGATCTGGAAACAGGCACACCCAAACAAATGCAACTGCACTTATTTCAGTCATCCCAAATTTCAAATGTGTGATCCCACCTACCTGTGAGAAAAATCAAACATTCAGTGCACTTATTTGGCTCTCACATCACACATTCAAGCAAACACTTCTATTTTCTCTTTCATCCCAAACCGCATTTTTAAAAATGGAAATTAAATCCAAAAAAGAATACATGTGTTTTAAGATTTTAAGCAAAGAATTCAAGACACTTACAGTTGTCTCTCTGTTGTACATAGTTAAGTAACTGAAAAGACAGGCTAGTCTATTTTCTGTGTACCATCTTAGAGTTTTTTGTTGTTGCCCATCATGGTAGCATGTGGGTGCCTTCCATGTAAAATTGCTACCAAAAAGTGAAGTCCCTGGAGTCATATGCAGTCTCTGGCACTTCTCCCTTTCTGAGGTAAACACCAGTTGGGATTGGGGGTTTCATTTTTAATTAATTAGATTTTATTAATTTCTTTTTTGAGCTTTGTCGGGTTTTTTGGTTACAAGGGTGTGTCAATGTTGGGCATCCGCAGGATCTGAATTCAGGACTATGGTACCACAAGTAGAAACCCATATACCTGGGCCACCAGACAGCTGTGGACGGTTAAAGCCTTTTCAGCACGAGAGAATGATAGAAAAAAAATTCCACTGGTGCTAACACTGGTAAAGCTGAATACCTAAAAGAACAAACAGACCCCTAGTGTAGGCAAGACTCTGTCAGCCTCAGGTTTAGTTGATGCTGTGGTAACAAGAAAAATCCAGAAGCTGCTGGAAGAGGAAGACATGTGGTCATTCCCCACGGCACCTGCTACAACTGCATTTCCCAAAGTGTGAAGCACGACTCACACAGAATGGGCGGGCACAAAGGACTAGCCAGAGGGCGTAGATGAGGTCTAAATCAAGATGGATAGGCCTAAAATGTCACATGTTGAAGGGCAGTTGCAACTGGTTTCTGAGGAGGACTCAGCTTTCAAAAGTTTGGGAAACGCTGGGCTAGATCTCTTTCCATTTTGTGCAGTGGAACCAGAAAGTCCTGCTTTCAAGAATAAACAAAGAGCTCACCCTAGAAAAGCAGGAGAACAAGAAGCATGAATAGGAGTTTTTCTTTCTTGAACAAAAGGCCTTGAATCTACTTGAGTCTGTCAGCTTTTATTTGCTTAACATTAGAAGTCAAATAGTCTCAACTAGTCTTTAAAGTTACCATTAAGATAGAGCCTATCTTTGTTGCTGCTCTTTTAATGTTGGGTAAATTTTCTGCCCAGCTGGGTGAATAGGACAAAGAGTCAATTGATTACATTATAAATGTCTTCAAAATGGGGAAAGAAAAAAAAAAAAGAGAGAGACTATAAAAACCTAAGGCTCTAGGACAAACAGGAAAACTGCAGAAGGACACTAAAATGATAAAGCCTGCAACTTTCTACTGCTATAGGCAATATATCTGTGATGGAGAAATGTATGTAAATTATTTATATAGCACACAAACTATAAAGGGGGTAAGTTATTACACAACACCATGTAAGATTTGTATACGTGTAATGCAGATTCATAGTGCTGAACATGCTCTTTTGGGGAGTTTAATATTCATGTTACTCTGAAACAGAAAGCCAAGTCATAGTCACAAACATTTTGTAAAGTTTCTTTCCTCTTTGTTCCCATTTCTTTCTTAAATATTCGTTATATGCTTTGAAGATGAAAAGCCTTCAAGAGGAAACATGGTCTAATAGTAAGAATAATGGACTAGGAGTCAGGTGATCTGGGTTATGTTCCTGACACTGTCACAGATACATTGTGTGATCTTGGACAAATCTCTCCCTGCTCTCTGACTCAGTTCCTCTCTCCTCCCTCCCAAGCCCCATCTGTACAATTGGGATAATTACTAGAATTGGATGGAAAATAGGCATTGTTCTCTGTGAAAATCAGAGAGAAAAATCCCCGTGTGAAAATGTTCCCATTGGAAAAGTTTCAAAAATGTGGGGAAACCCTTTCCCTCCCACAGGCTTTCTTATTGTTTTCCAACTGGGAAAAGCTGGAAAAGTCAAAGAGTGGGGAAATGCCCACAATTTCAAAACTAAAACTTTCAAAATTGCATGGTTCCCCTCCCCCCCCCCCACGTTTGTCATTTCAAAACCATTTTGGAAAATGAATTTCTCTAAAAAGATATAGCTTTTAACAAAACCTTATTTTCTGACAAAACCACGTTTTGTCAGAAAATGTTCAAGCAGCTCTGACATGTAACCCCCTCCCGGGGAACTGTAGAGTACTTTGAGATCCAGACTACAGTCATGTTACGGATCTCAGTTGGATTTCTAAATGAGCAGCTATTTACCTTCTTCCTCACTATCTGAGGCACTGCTCTTCTCCAGAAGATTCTCATTATCGATTGGCTCCAGGGACTGTGCTGGGAGCCTGCGTCTCTCTAGCTTAAATGGTTTCTTTTCTGAAGGCAACAGAAGGCTCCTCTTGTCCTGTTTCTCATTTTGGGATTCCTCCTGCTCAGACCCCTATGGGAAGAGCGGTCAGCAAATGGTATAATTGACTATAATAACCTTCATAAACACTTTATATACAACCTTAGTTTAAAAAAAAGTTACAATTGACAAGTGTAAACAAGCTGGCTGTCCAAATTCTATTTACCACTTACCTGGCGCAAGTACTGCCCCTAATACTGGGCTGTGAAATTCCTTCTCTGCATCCAGCCTCCCTCATCTATTTATATGGCTCCAAGGCAGATTCTGCCAAATGGAAGCTTGCAGCTGAAATCAGTTCCTAGTCACTATTCCTGTGAAGGTAACCTTTCAAGAGTGAAATGATGCAGCACCATTTGAGACACTCAGAGGTGTGAATTATCCCATCAATCCTATTGACTGACTGACTCATAATGACTTAACTCTGAAACCCAACTATGACACTTGTGGGGCCAGACTATTACAGAAATTCAGGCAAGCAACTGCACACCTAATGAAATTCAATAAAGACAAATGCAAGGTATTACACTTAGAAAGGAGGGGGGGAATCAAATACACAGCTACAAGATGGGAAATAACTGCCTAAGCAGTAGTATTGCAGGAAAGGATGCAGGGGTTATAGTGGATCACAAATTAAATACGAGTTAACGTGATCCAGTTTCCAAAAAGGCTAATATTCTGGAGAGTATTAACACAAGTGTCATATGTAAGACACGGGAGTTTACTGTCATGCTCATGTGAAGCCTCAGTTGGAGTACTGTGTCCAGGACTGTGATCAATTGTTCTCCATGTCCACTGAAGGTAGGACAAGAAATAATGTACTCAATCTGTGGCAAGGAAGATTTAGGTTACACATTAGGGAAATCCTTCTAACTATAAGGATAGCTGAGTTCTGGAATAGGCTTCCAAGGGAGGTTGTGGAATCCCTGTCATTGGAGGTTTAAGAACAGGTTACACAAATACCTGTCAGGGATGATCCTGCCTCAGTGCAAGGGACTGGGCTAGATGACCTCTTGAGGTGCCTTCCAGCCCTACATTTCTATGGTTCTATCATTCTAATTTGCATATATTTATTGAGATTGAGCATGCAAATCTGCTAACTACAAGTAACACAGCCAAAGAAAGGGCAGGGATGGTGGTCCTCCTAAAGGTTTAGTTCCTATATAAGAGTCATATTCTATCCTCAGTCTCTGTGCAAACTTCTTGTTGTCTTCAGTAGGACATTGGTTGTGGATCAAGAGCAGTATGTGGCCCCAAACTTTGTAGCTCTGATGTGTGCAGCATAATGCGATCAAACTGTCTTCCTAAATGATTTTAACTCATCTGCCTTACCACCATGTTGGAAGACTAATTCAGTGCTGATTCACAAGGAAGAGCTCCATCTACATGAATAATCATCACCACTTTCTGTAGCGCTCGTGTGTTTCTTGGAAGTCTGTTATCAAAATGTAGACCTGACCTTACATAGCTTGGGTGATTGAGAGATTCAAAGTACAAAGCTGGATGGCTGAAGGGCATAAAAGCCAGCACTGAATTTGTGACTTCAATATAAAGAGGCAAGGTATTTTCTATGCCAAAATAAAGGGAAGATTGAATTACGGAAGCAAATTAATCAGATACTGGTATTGAATTGGAAGCAATTCGTAAATTCCATGCAACACACTGTAGTGCAAAGGAAGAAGTAGGACAATGGGAAGGAGAAAGAATAATTCAGTGCATCAGTATTTCAGCATCAAGGTTCTCCAGTCTGGGTGAGGAGAGCGATGAAGCAGCCACCTGTGGCAAGCACTTTTTGTACAGACAAAGGTCCCATCCATCTTTCCACACCTGATACAGATCCAAGGAATTCTTATTCTGATGGCATTTTGAGAGAGACCATGGATTTGAAGACAACAGGGGAGTTTAAACCACCCTGCATGGGCTTAAAACCACCCTGCATGGGCTTAAAACCACCCTGCATGGGCTTAACCCAAGGCAATGGGTGAAGCATGACACTTCTGAGAAGAAGACCCTTCCCAAGACATACTGGCCCATCAGAAATTTTTTTTATGCACGCATGACATATACATTCTAAACCCAGATTTCTTGTACCTTCCAGCCATTAGACAAGGGCTTTTAGACAACGGCTAAAGAGAAATATTAACTTTTTTAAAAAAAAATTAAACTGCTACTAAAATCAAAAAGCGGTAGGAGGCACATACGTAGTCTAGTGGTTCCATGAGTCCTCAGGAGGAGCTGGAAATGTACAGTGAGGGAGGAGGTGTCGTACATCTCTTTGAAACCCCAAATTTGGCACCACGCTTGGCAAACCTCCTCCTAAGACTTGCTCAGTGCTACTAGTGCCTAGTCAAGTCCAAGAATGGGGATCAGTGCATGCAATTTTTGTCAAGGAGAACAGCACCATATGTCTTGATGGCTGTGCACCAATTTCTGGCGTCAGGGAAAATTTGGCAACCGACTGGTGTATACTGTTAGGTGCACTGTGCTTTAAAAGAAAACCATGACTGATGGTGCACACAAAGGCTGCACACTTTCTTTTTTTAAAAAAAAAGAGAGAATTAATAAAAACAAATTCCTAGTTTGTCAAGCAAAAGCTAAAACATTAACTGTGGGATACAAAAGCCCTTGAAATGTTCTTGAGATAACATTATATCAACTCTAAGAGTATCAAAATGTACCACAAAAAGGTTAATCATAGCAAAACTGAAGACAGATTTGAATGCAGAGATGGCTGTTCAAGATCCTAGCAAGTCCTGTTTGCAGGAGTCTGACACTGCCCTCCCGCCCCCCAAAAAATCAAGTGGGATTTGTCATAAATATTTATGAAGTTGCAATACTCTTCATTCTTCCTTGATCCTTTTGCAACAGGGCTTACTAGAACCAGGCTATACTTTCCGCACCACTCTCACTGTCAGGATCAAGGAGCAGTCATGCTGTATACTGATGGCCTATTTCCTTATGGCTACTGAAATATTTATTATTGAATAAACTCAAATCATTGTGACTGTTTGCAGGATGCATGTAGGATTCAGAAGACATGCGTTGGATGGATTTATTAATGTAACTGGAAATACCACTTGGAATAATAACGGAAGCAAAAACACTCCATTCAAAAGCACAACCTGGCAGATATTTGCTGTATTTAAACAGCATTAAAGATGGCCTACAAAGGGGGGAAAACTGTGCATTTCCCTTGTTTTTCTTCTTTTGGAAGAATAAATAAGGCATGAAATATTTTTCCTCCTCCCTCAAGTTACTGGGCTCAATACAAGGGTAACTGGGAGAAATTCTTCAGTCTGAGTTATGCTGGAGGCCAGCCTTGATGGACCCCCCACAGAGGACCCTTCTGTTCTTAACATCTATGAAAACTATCATGATTGTCAAGCATCTTGTCTTTCTGAGGTCTCCATGGATGACTAAAATGTGTAACAGGAACTAAAATACACACCATAAATATGATATTACATTAGTTCCTATGATGTCAAAACCCTACTAGTTCTCCAGAAGCAGACAAGATCTGAATTTCTCATGTGAAAAAAAAAAAGACGAATCCTTTAGGCCTTTATCTTTTTAATTTTCTTTTGGAAAAATATTCCGTCCCCCTTTATACATCAAAAAGCAGCAAAAAGGGAATGAGTCAGTTTTTCCCCTTTTGCAGGTCACCTCTAAACTACATAATGAGTTTTCACAGCTTTATTCAGACATCTTATGGCAGCAATACTTCAATAACTATTGAAACCCTCTATTCCTTCTGTAATCCTGAAATATTTGCATTCTGTCGCTCAATTACTCTAGCAAAGACCACACAAAATGTATACCTAAATGTAACTGTCATACATATTGTAAGTTATACAATAATAAAATCCCCCAGATTCATCTCTCTCAAACTTCAATGCGCTCGGATGCTAAGAAATATACTTCAACAAATTGAGCCTGTACATAGGATTGGAGCCTATATTCATCAAAATGGCATTACTGGGTGAGATTTTCAAAGGCACTTTCATTGTTACAGGATTAGCTCTAATTTTTTCCCGTTAGGTCTCCCTTGAGCACATACATGCTTGACAGCACATACATGACACCTCCACTCCTCTCAGGGTGGAATCCCACGTTTCTCCCACCCACAAACCAGGTCCCTAGGCTACAGTACCTGTTCACCATAGATGGTTCCTCAGCAGGCCCAAAAGCGTTTAGCAGTGTAAGAGACTTCCCTTTGCGAGCTGTGACCAGTACAATGCAGTGACTCAGAATAGTTTCTTTCAAAGTATTACTTATCCATAGGAACATAGCATTCTGAGAAAAGGGATAAAACTACAAAGCCTATACACACCTTGTCTTACCTAAAGCCACTATAGGTCTAACTTATCCCACACACTCCAATCTCTAGGAATGAAGTGTCAGTCTGTTCCCCCAGTACTCCCATCTTCCCTCTAAAATCAGTTCTTTTAACAAACCCCTACGTCTAGAACAATTACAAAGTGTGAGGAGATTCTAATCTGGAATAAAAACATCAGGTGAGCGGGTCTGAACACAGAAATGGAAAAAAGACAATAAGAGGTTTTATGGAGTCCTTTTCATTTGTAGATCTTAAAGAGCTCTGTAAAGATGGATAAATAGAATTATCCTCTTTGTACAGATAGAGAGACTGAGGCACAAAGAGTTGCAGTGACTTGTCCAAAGTCACATGGTGAATCAATGGCTGAACAGGGAATGGGACACCAGGAGCTCCCCACTCCCGACCGAGTTCCCTACCCACTTGACCACACTGCCAATAAATAATAAAAATAAAAATAATAAAATAATAATAATAATGTATTCTTTAAGTAAAAGAAAATTCAAAACTGATCAGAACTATAAACAATCCATTTCATGTAAATGCTAGCAGCCAGCAGGCAAAGTCTTAAAACACTGAAAGATGAATAACTGACCTTGACCCATTCACCTCCAGATGCTAAATCTTCTAAACTGTTCTCATCTTCACATCCTTCATAGGTAGGAGAAGGAGTAATCCTTATATAAATACATACATACACACACACTTACACACTTAAGGATGTATGATCTACACATTTATATTTGTTAAGTAAGCAAGAGAGGCTGTCTAAATACTTACTCCTGTCAGTGTGTTTCCATGGAATGGCTCTGCCTCTACTATCTGAATGATGGGTTCATGAATTTCACAGATTGCTTTGGGTAATTTTTCATCTCTGTCTCCAGAATCATCACAAATGATGGATCTGTCCAAAGCAAAAAGATAATAAAGACAGAGTTAATTTAATTTCTTAGCATTTATGGCACCAAACTCATACTTTTGGAGATTTATTCAATTTAAAAACATACACTACAAACCGTTAATTGAATTGCCACATAAGACTCCCAGCTCAGTCATCCTACATCCAGTTCATTAACCCATCAAACTACCCTGTCCCCAAGTGCCTGTGAGAAAACCCTGGCTTAGCACTGTGTCTGGAAAGTTAATAAATCAAGGTTATGGTGAACTGAGGGAGAAAGTTAATGTTGTGGATGGTAGGGAGATAAAAGTATCTTAGGCCTCAAATTGAAAAGTTTTGTCCTTTTAATGATTATTATAATAGGCATTTTTCTTACACCCATCCCTCTAGCATCCTATGTCAAAATATTTTGAAGATTATACTATGAAACATTTTTAAAAAACAGGCAGGGGCTTTTTTTGGGATATACACATTTCCTCAACATTTTCATTCAAAACACAACAGCACTAAGTGTTAGTGCGTTCACTAATTTTTGTTCACTTTTATAAGACGTTACCATCTAAGGGCATGTAGACAATTAAGACCACATTGTTTAAAGAGTAAAGCTGAAAATTAACAATTTTGCTCAAGGTCATTTGAAGGAGTCAAAGAAACTGTAACAGAACCAGAAAGAGACATTGATAAATCCACTTTCATTGGCCAAAAGAAAAAAAAAAAAAGAATTAAACTGTAAAACGGTGAAAAATAAAGCAGCAGTTTTAAGTGTTTCAATTTTAATAATCTAAGACAGAGGGTCTCAACCTGGGGTTCATGAAAAGGTAGCAGAGGGTCATAATCACTCAGCAATATCCATACTGCTTACTAGGATGATGGGCCTGACTAGATTCTATCATGGGGAAGATTGAGAATCCCCAATCTAAAGTGGTATTAGTAATAAAAGTATGGGATTTTTTAAAAATATTACACACAATTCCTAGATTCCTTTATCTGAACAGAACCAGGAAAAGCCAGGGAAACACAAGCTTCCTCATACTTCTCTGCACTAAGGGGTCTCAATTCTGCTCAACCTACAACAGAGTGAAGGCAATCGAGTCTTTATGCCTAGTCAGTACTTTAGCCCCTTTGCTAAGGCTGCTAAAAAGCGTACAGATTAGTGTCAGTAATGGAGGCAATTTTGAAGGAGGATTTTAAGACAGAGTTGTAGAAACAGTGTTCTATTTCCATAAAAGATAAGTATCCGTAGTATCTTCTTACCTAGACTGTCCATTGTCTTCAGAGGACGAGTAAAAGCTCTCCATCTCCTCACTGTTCAGGCCCAGCTCAGAGCCATAGCTCTGTTGTACCAGTTGCCAGAACTCCTGTTTGGTCAGTCTCTGAAAAGAGAAAGCACATTGTTGGTCAAAAGCTGCAGTGAAGAGCTGCTACTTCTACCTGTTCACAAACAGATTATTTTACCCTAGATATATCTGGATCCATCCCTGTTATTGTCTAAGAAAGCTTTCTTTCTAAGAAACAGCACACATTTCAGGCCCCACTGCAGTTGGTAACCCTCCTTAGAAATATAAAGGAGACTCGCATCTTCCATTTTTAAATAGCTAAACTTCTAGCCAAAATGGATTTGATAACATAACCCAATCTAAACTGAGCACTAGAGCTGAAAACTTCTGACTGGTTTTTCCTTAATATCACAGGCTACTCCCATTCTCCCCTCCACCTCCAACTCCAAACAGCTGCCCAGAGCTGACCTTTGGAGCTCGTGAAAACTATAAAGTCACAGTCCTTTGACTTGAGCCGCATCATTCAGGCTGCCACTGATGACAGTGGGGTATCACAAATTCCTTCCCAGCCAAATTGCCTACAGCTCAGTTGGCTTCTTCGCTGAATAACCCATGTGACCTTTGGTCACAAGGAAGGACAGTTCAGCACTTTGAGAGGTGGAATGGTAGGGTGACCAGATGTCCCGATTTTATAGGGACAGTCCCGATTTTGGGGTCTTTCTCTTATATAGGCTCCTATTATCCCCCACCCCCTGTCCCGATTTTTCACACTTGCTGTCTGGTCACCCTATGGAATGGTCTAGTCAGTGACTGAGCACACGGGACTGCGACATTCAAATCCGAGCTCTAAACAGACTACCTTGGTGGCCTTTAATCTCTCCATGCCTCAGTTTCCCCATCTGCAAAATGAGGATGATCACACTTACCAACCTCACAGGAGAGATGTGAGGAGTAAGCAGTCAATGCCTAGGAAGCACTACAGTTCACAAACCATACAGCTAATTTGGACAACTATCCCTTTTAAATTCATATTTTACACACACACACACACACACACAGAGTTGTATTAGTTCTATTAGACTGCCTACATTGAACTGGGCACTCTAGAGAACACAAAGCAGGCAAGCTGCCTTCCCTAATTTGCTTACAGTCTCGGAGCTACTACTGTTATTTGTTGTTTTGAGTCAAGTAAGGCCTACAGGTCCCAATCAGGCTCTGAGCCTTCTTGTATGAGGCACTGTGAAAACACAGCATAGGAGACAGTCCCTTCAAAGAGTTTACAGTCTAATCTAATACAAATTGCCAACAATAAAATCAGACACGTGTCACTTTATGAAGGATTATTAGCACAGGTTAGGGTAGCAGATCCACTGGATCGGCACACTTTCACTGTACTAAATAAGTATAACGTTATTTGTTTCTAGTAATAGCTTTGAGGATGCACAGAGAAAAGCTTGTTTGAAGAAGTGATTTGAAAATCCCCAAATCCTTAAACTGCTTCTGGGCATAGAGGTGTGACCACGGTGAACACAAAGGTGGCAGAAAATGGTTTCATAAGTCTGTCCATACATACGAAAGCTCTCTCTAGCCACTCCCTTACTCTCACTCATCCCTATGCCTTCCTACCATGTTGCCCCCATATGCCTGAAATGCTTCCCAGTGCAATAAAACACATCCCTCCTCTTTCAAATAGCTCCTCAAAGCACACTTACTGTGCATCCTCAGTCTCTATTGTTTATAAATATTTATTTCTGGTAGCATCCACAACGCACTGGGACTGAGCCCCATAATCTGGTGCTGGTAATCGGTCAAAGACAAAGTAATACTTGTGCAAACTACTGATAACAAATCACACTGTATTTGATCCTGAGCACTTCAGGGCAAGAACTGTCCCTCTAATATGTTTGTACAGCACCTAGCACTGTAGGGCTCTGCGCCTGAGTCTCTAGGTGACACCGCAATCCAAATAAATACTACTTAGAATACAAACACAGATCAGGACGGGCACCTTGGGTAAATTTTTCAGAAGTGCTTAAGTGACATTCAGAATTACCATGATCTTAATTCGGTGTAGCTTCATTCACTTCCAAAGTGACTTAAACTGAACTCAATGAAGGTCGCTAATTCTGAATAAAGAAGTGTCTGAACAATTGAATTAATCCACTTTAATTCACACTTCCAGTTAACTCAAATTAACTTTCCTCAGTGTGCCTGTGTAGTCAAACCCCTCATCACATTTGTCAAAAGGGATTTAGGAGATGAAGTCTCATTGTCTGATTTACAAAAAGAAAAGGAGTACTTGTGGCACCTTTTGCGAATACAGACTAACACGGCTGTTACTCTGAAAATTGTCTGATTTAGGTGCCTAAATCACTTTTGAACATTGTATCCTGTCTCCCCCATGCTCTGTAAAGACCCCATATACCGTTAGCATTCAGCTACATATAAATTATATGCATACAACATTTTGAAAAGTAAAGTAATATAAAACAGTTTAAAATGCAACTAATGTAGTAATGGCCACACTTCAGTGTTTCTTCACTTGTCATAAATGTTTTCTTGGACATTCTTAGAACAAAAGAACCGTCTGCTTTCCTCTCAAAATCTAAAGGATAGGGCACTAGACCAGTACTTAGGAGTTCTGGGTTCTTTTCCCAGCTGTGCCAGTGACTTCCTTATGACTTTGGGTAAGTTGTGTAATAGATATGTGCCTCAGTTTCCCCATGAAGTTTACACACTTTTGTAAAACACTGAGTTTTACAGATGGACAGAACTACCTAAATTGTAAGTTACTATTATCCGGTACTGACTGCTGCCAGAGACAAGATACTGGACTAGATGGACCACTGATATGAGACACTATGGTTATTCTTATGACTAAACAAGGATATTACTCTCAGGAAGGGTGAGGGGAATCTTAGAAATGTGTTCAGATTTCTTTATAGAAGTCCAGTGCTAGGTTTTTCCTTTCATTGTTAAGAAATTGAGCCAGGTTTCCCAATCCACCAACAAAATTCACACTTTGACCTGTTCAGGTGCTCTCGGGTATTCTCAAGAGGGGTAAGAAAAAGAGAAAGGATCCTGACACTTAAACCTATATCCACAAAGTAAACAACCAGTCTCAAAGTCCATTTTTCTTATTGAAAAGAACTCGAAGAAAGTGGGAAAGAAGGCATAAGGAGTTTATGGATGTGAAAGAAGAATGTCATTAATGGTCTCTAAAGACGCTGGAAACTGTGTATCAGCCATGATCCATACAGATCAATGGAATTGAACATTACGAATGAAGAAATAACATAAGAACAATTTACAAGAAAAATCATATTAAATATCTGTGCATTAACGACATTTTAAAAAGACACCACTGTCCTGCTTACGCAGCTTGCAGGGTTTTGCAATAGTGACAGAAATTTAAAGGTACAAAAAAGGTAACACACAAGCACAAATATGTGGCTATCCATATATATATTTATACCTACACACACACACGATTTTTCTTATATGACTATTATACCTTAAGACTTCCACAAATGCAGAATGTATTTGGAAGTTATATTTAAAATGTTCAGCTTCAATAACTATTGATTTATTAAGGCTACTAGCAGATTTCTGATTATGAAAGCATGGTTTTTAATCACATTTGCTCTGTGTCCCTTTCAATAGAAAGTGGTGAGAACCTTACATTTTCAATTCTCAAATTCTGCACCTACTTAGCCAACTTCATATTGATGCTCAGGAAACAAGCCCTCACCAAAAGACAGCAACCTGTGCTTCTGGGACTGTAGAACTCTCCTGCATTCAGAAGCACATCATTTCACCCCAAAGGGCTGAGTTTTCTGTGAAGCAGATGAACCCAAGGGGCTGCATGGCTACCAACCAAGTCCAAAAATTCAGAAGAACAATTCCCAGCCCATGCTAGTTTGGCTGTAATCAAGACCCAATGGGCCTTGAGCTGTCGTGAAGACGACTCCACTACACAGTGGCAAAACTCCTGGGGTAAGCAGGTTGCTTACATTGTTGTTTATTAAGACATATCTTTGTCTTGTCGAAGATGGATGTGCTGCTGTTTCAAACCTGTTTCTCCGTAACTTCCTGCTTGGCAGTAGCAGAGCTGTTCACAAGTGGGCTGGTCTGCCTGCAGAACTGGAACTTGTGCTAGATTCCGGTCTGGTTCCTAGGCCGCTCCCACTAAGGAAGCATAGGTAAGCAGGGTTTGTTAAAGACACAGTCTTTTCCTTTCCTCTTCCAGACATATTAAGCTGTACGTAAAGTTCCATTACAGCAAGAGACAGCTGGAGACAGACTTATTTAAACTCATTTGGAGTTTTACAATGCCCGTTCAAGCAGTATTTTAAATATCTAAAGATGTTAAAGAATGCCTTGAATCCAACACACAGCTTCTCAAGGGAGTGGCTTCAGAAGCTGCAGCTTTTGTCACTAATATCTCCACTTAAAGCAGCTTAAGCCACTGTTTACTGCAATCAGAGAACCTTCTTTTTTAACGACAGGTTTCAGAGTAGCAGCTGTGTTAGTCTGCATTGTTAGCACAGCTCCCTTATCAGGCCTCTTCATTTAACCTTTTCACTCCTGTCAGTACATACATGTGCCACAGCGTGAGTTTTAAATGGAAAAGCAGGACATACTATGCCCAGCCACAGTGAAAGAGAAAGAGTCCTTGGTACCTTTACCTTTTCAGTGCTGAATTGCATAACTTGTCTATTACAGTTTAATAGCAGGCAAGTTTTTTTGCTTTATATAGTAACAATATGGCTTTGCATTTTATATATAGATGTTGATCCTATACAGGGGTTTTCTTCCACAGATTTCAAAGCTGGGATGCACCCAGTTCTGTTGCTACTAAAATCTTTACATCACACCGCATCATCATTTATTTTAGGACATAATTCACTAGAAGATCGATTTGCAAAGGTGTTAGAGAGTTTAAAAGATGAATTATACTATTTTTCCTATCCCTCTACCTCACAAATCAAACTGCCTTAGTACGAGTCCAACTGTACATGGTGGGGGAGAAGAAAATATCTAATGCATTTTTAAAAGTCTCCATAAAATAGTTTTTATATTCTTAACATTGCAGTATTAAAGGGCTGATATTGCAAAATCTACTAATTCTAGAAACAAAAGTCTTACACCACTGGAAAGAAGAGATTCTCAATTCTTCTATTTATAGCTCTGATGGTTGATAACGGACGTTAAACCTGTCACTGGTCCAATATCAAATCCTGCTTGTCCTAGCATTGAAGGTAGTGCAGTTTTGGGAGTGAGAAAATTATTTTGGGGGCAGGCGGTTTTGTGGTTTTTTTAGGGCCCATTTGAAGCAGCTCAGAAACATTAGAGGTTATCTCAAGTATTGCTGAACTAGTAAGCAAAATACAGGTGGAAGGGTCAAGGGAACACAAATGCATGCAATTTGCTCATGACTCTCTCATATTGCCACACATGAAAACCAGACAAAACGCAAAACATGTTTAAGAATGGCTCAAACAATATAGTTCTTCCTTCAGGACCAGGAGGTCACATGTTACAATCCAACACTAGCACTTGGTCTTGCATGCAGTTCAGGATACTGCCCTACAATACCTTCAGAGTGAGCATGAGGATACATTTTTACAATTACAGGAGTTTGGATGAGAAACTGAACAGAAGTTCTTTCTGTGCATCTCTGCAGACTTTCAAGATAAAAGTTAATAGATTCTGGCCAGTTGTGCAGGGGGGTAGGGAGGGAGAGGCACAACACATTCCCCCTCCCTCCCATATTCCCTTGTGACCCTGCACAGGGATGGCTAGAATTAGTCTGGGAGGATGCAGTCTCTGCTCCCAATTAGCTCTCTACAACAGCACTAGCTGCTCAAAAAGGAGTGGGGAAAAGACACCCCTCTCCCCCCCGCCCCCATCAGCGCTGAGGAGTTGGCTGGCTGCAAGGGTGGTAGAGCTACTTCTCTGGTATGTATGCCTCGGAAACATCAAGAAGAATTCTAGCTACTTCATTCCACACCCCTAAAGCTCCTTCCTCCTTCCTTCAATGTAATTGCACTCAGGAGCAATTCTGTACCCAGCAAAGCTCAAAACAGCTAATTGACTAAACTAAAATTCAGAGAGGAAAATACATCCAAAAAACTGATAAGGAAGAAAACTTGCAGGAGTTGAAAGTGAAACCTGATTATGAGTTATAACTGTTCGTTAGAAATTAGGAGCACTTTTGTTATGTTCTTTTTGCGGATACAGACTAACACGGCTGCTACTCTGAAACCTACCATTTGTTACGTTTGTTCAGGGTTTTAACGACATGCCTGATAAGATTTTGTTTTGCTGATGCTCCCTTAACAAAATGCAAATGGACATTTATGACACCAAAAGACTGCGATGATGAAGCTACTAATATACATTTCAGTGTCTGTGAAATTTATGATATTACGAATAGGTCAGTAGTGACTCTACATTAAGACAACATGCAATTTTAAAATATTGACTAACTTGCTGAGGAAATTTTCAAAATGCTCCCTTTTTTGACTAAGGACAGAGATAGTTTTTTAAAATATTGCCACAATAGCTCTCTAATGCCATAGGCTTCCCCCTCATTCCACTCCCCTAGCCACCATGCCAAAGTGACAATTATTTTTCTCCCTCCCAGGGCATGCACAAGGGGAGACAAGCAGGGGCACAGGCTCCCCAGTAATTGGCCAGGGCACAGCGCTCCTCCGGTCCTGGGGGCATGGTGGGAGCTGACAATTCCTCTGACCCTGGGGCCCCGGTGGGAGCTGACAGCTCCTCCAGCCCCAGGGCTGTGGTGGGGCCCAGAATGTGCCCCTCCAAAAACAGTGAAATTTAAATTCTTGCACATGCCCCTGCCTCCTTTTATTATTACTAACATCAATTTATATTCATGATGAGCTGGATTAAGATACAGTATCCATACCCAGTCCTGTAGTGGTAACATCTACAAGAAAATGTGTACAAGTAAAATATGAGGTTGGAGTGAAGGTTGCGCACTTGAATAGGGGATAGGGAGGAATTGGGTGGATACATTGTAGTTGTCTATACTGGATGCTGGAATGGAAAAGGAGTTTGACATGGAGTTATGAGTGTGACAGTGTGTTCGGTTTGTAAGGGATGTGGATTTGTGGCTGATCTGGATGTTAAATGTTACCTTAAATGGTGTTTTCCTTGAATTTTAGCATTTGTGTTTCTTTTAAACACATTTGAGCCACCTTAACTCTAAATTAGCTAAGATTATGTGCAGGATATGTATATAAACAGTGCAGCAGATTTAAGTCTCTGGGGGACATTCTTCTTCAAAGTTATATTTGTGTATCTTTGAGTTTAGCTGCCTCTACTTTCAAATATTAAAACAATGAGAACTGTGAATTACAGGAAAGAGATCCAAAGAAGCATGTTATTTGCACTGACTCTTTGCAACAAACATGTCATTGCATTTTCAGGAAGAAGCATCAGATTAAGTGTACACAAACTGCCATATAAATCAAGCTACCTAGCAGAAGTTGCCAAAACACACCTGTATGTAGTTCAGCCTTCATCTTTGTTGGGTCTTTTCAGCTCAGGGGTCATATTGAGCTGGTTGGCAGAGGGTTTAACCTGCTTTACTTTTCTTGAGATGATGCCAATTTGTTTTCCAGAATCTAATCTTATTCCTTAAAAAAAAAATCTCTAACTCTTATGGTCACAAAGATGACCTTAAAAACCTGAACCAACTATAAATCAATCCAGTAATATCTGCCTGAGTTTACAAATAGCCTGAAACAATAGCTCCAAAAGAGGTGTGAGCTTCTCTGCCATCCCAATGGAGTTATTAACTTCACAGATAATGACTACATTTAAAATGTAAATGCAAGAAAAGCGAAGGATCATCATATTATGAAGATCATCTTTGACAGGAGTCTCATTCTGGAATCTGAAGTAAGTGGAGCCTGGGAGAGTACCAATACTTTCTCCCACCCCACCCCCACTTCGACTCTTGATTGGAATACTTGAAGAACCAAACCTCTGTTTCTGAAATCATTTAGCCTCCAGTGCAGATCTAGTGCTCACTAGAAAAAGGTTTATTTTTCTCTCCTGCTGGTAATAGCTCACCTTCCCTGATCACTTTGGTTACAGTGTGTATGGTAACACCCATTGTTTCATGTTCTCTATTTTCTAAAATCTCCCCACTGTATTTTTCACTGAATGCATCCGATGAAGTGGGCTGTAGCTCACGAAAGCTTATGCTCAAATAAATTGGTTAGTCTCTAAGGTGCCACTCGTACTCCTTTTCTTTTTTCAGAGTAACAGCCGTGTTAGTCTGTATTCGCAAAAAGAAAAGGAGTACGAGTGGCACCTTAGAGACTAACCAATTTATATGAGCATGAGCTTTCGTGAGCTACAGCTCACTTCATCGGATGCATACCGTGGAAACTGCAGCAGACTTTATATACACACAGAGAATATGAAACAATACCTCCTCCCACCCCACTGTCCTGCTGGTAATAGCTTATCTAAAATGATCATCAGGTTGGGCCATTTCCAGCACAAATCCAGGTTTTCTCACCCTCCACCCCCCCACACAGATTCACTCTCCTGCTGGTGATAGCCCATCCAAAGTGACAACTCTTTACACAATGTGCATGATAATCAAGGTGGGCCATTTCCAGCACAAATCCAGGTTTTCTCACACCCCCCACACCCCCATACACACACAAACTCACTCTCCTGCTGGCAATAGCTCATCCAAACTGACCACTCTCAAAGTTTAAATCCAAGTTAAACCAGAATATCTGGGGGGGGGGGTAGGAAAAAACAAGGGGAAATAGCCACTCCCAGTCTCTATTTAAGCCTAAATTAATAGTATCCAATTTGCAAATGAATTCCAATTCAGCAGTTTCTCGCTGGAGTCTGGATTTGAAGTTTTTTTGTTTTAAGATAGCGACCTTCATGTCTGTGATTGCGTGACCAGAGAGATTGAAGTGTTCTCCGACTGGTTTATGAATGTTATAATTCTTGACATCTGATTTGTGTCCATTTATTCTTTTACGTAGAGACTGTCCAGTTTGACCAATGTAAATGGCAGAGGGGCATTGCTGGCACATGATGGCATATATCACATTGGTGGATGTGCAGGTGAACGAGAGAACACTTCAATCTCTCTGGTCACGCAATCACAGACATGAAGGTCGCTATCTTAAAACAAAAAAACTTCAAATCCAGACTCCAGCGAGAAACTGCTGAATTGGAATTCATTTGCAAATTGGATACTATTAATTTAGGCTTAAATAGAGACTGGGAGTGGCTAAGTCATTATGCAAGGTAGCCTATTTCCCCTTGTTTTTTCCTACCCCCCCCCCCCAGATGTTCTGGTTTAACTTGGATTTAAACTTGGAGAGTGATCAGTTTTGATGAGCTATTACCAGCAGGAGAGTGAGTTTGTGTGTGTATGGGGGTGTGGGGAGTGTGAGAAAACCTGGATTTGTGCTGGAAATGGCCCACCTTGATTATCATACACATTGTGGGGAGAGTGGTCACTTTGGATGAGCTATTACCAGCAGGATAGTGAGTTTGTGTGTGTGGTTTTTGGGAGGGGGGTGAGGGGGTGAGAGAACCTGGATTTGTGCAGGAAATGGCCCAACTTGATTATCATGCACATTGTGTAAAGAGTTGTCACTTTGGATGGGCTATCACCAGCAGGAGAGTGAATTTGTGTGGGGGGGTGGAGGGTGAGAAAACCTGGATTTGTGCTGGAAATGGCCCAACCTGATGATCACTTTAGATAAGCTATTACCAGCAGGACAGTGGGGTGGGAGGAGGTATTGTTTCATATTCTCTGTGTGTATATAAAGTCTGCTGCAGTTTCCACGGTATGCATCCGATGAAGTGAGCTGTAGCTCACGAAAGAGCATGCTCAAATAAATTGGTTAGTCTCTAAGGTGCCACAAGTACTCCTTTTCTTTTTCCTTTTCTTTTTGCGGATACAGACTAACACGGCTGCTACTCTGAAACTAGAAAAAGTGATCCTTGACTTTTTTTAATAGTGTTGATCAGCTACACCCGCCCCCCACAGAAACAAAAAACAACAACAAAACCTTACCTTGTCCAGCAGTGCATTCTGCCATAAGCGGAAGATACTGAGGTAGCTTCTATCTCTAGCACTGAAGGACGTGAAGAAAAACTGGATGGAAGATAAGATGATAGCTCGCTTTATTGAATTCCTATGTGAATCCATATTGTACAGTTTCTAGAAGAGGCAGTAGTAGTTATACGATGTCCATGGTATGGTCAAACGATATACCTACCCTCAAAATCATGGCCCCAGGGAAATGGATTAATACCTACAACTAGGCAGTCAGTGGGATATGCAGCTATTGAGGACACTTACTGAAGCCTGTAGATTCCCACTGTCTATACATTATATAAAACATTTTTCTTGCTTTTTGTGGCATCTACTTGCAAGCACTTACTCCAGTATAAAAAATATCCTCTATATCATTTATCTGCTCCCTAAACCTCTTTCTCCCACTTGCACCTTCATGTATCCCTCTATGCTTGCACTAGTCTCCACCTATCAGTACCCTCACCCTCCTCCTTCACACCCACTGTTTGCATGATTTTATCTTGCTAGTCTTCTCACCAAGGCCTAGCACATCATCCTTTACCTCAGGGGTTCTCAAACTGGGGGCTGTGACTTCTCAAGGGGTCACAAGGTTATTACACGGGGGTCACGAGCTATCAGCTTCCACCCCCAAGCCTCGCTTTGCCTCCAGCAGGTATAATAGCATTTAATATAAACAGTTGTGTTTTTAATTTATAAGGCGGTGTTGCACTCACAGGCTTGCTGTGTGAAAGGGGTCACCAATACAAAAGTTTGAGAATCTCTGCTTTACCTAATCTGCTCTCTTGGGTTTTGCCTTATCATTCACTTTTACTCATTCCATTTTTAAAAGTTTCTAACCTCTTCAACACACGGATAGAATCATGTCCTTTGCAGCAGGGAAAAACTAGTAAGACTCATGGGCCCCATTATGGAACTGCAAAGGTCTCCCTTCAGTGTCAGCTATATTTGAATAAGCTATATTGAATAAGCAGTCATTCCTCAAAAACACCAACAGACTCACACTAGGCAACTGTCACCCTGTTTTCAGCCTAACAGTTTTGTTTTTCTGGGAGGGGAGGTTACTGAAAAGCTGGTGATTAGCCAACTCCCATCCCAATCCAGATTGGGCAGGCTAACCTTTTGCAACTTGCTCTTTGGAATTCCTTTGAAATTCACCCAGAAGCTACAGCTAGTGCAGAATACAGCGCCCAGGAGGCAGGGAGAAGCTCCTAATTATACCAAAACCCATTACAAAACAGCCCTTTTAGCATATAGCAACTGTCTTCCAAGGATGCGTTTTATTTATAGAGGTTGCAAAACATCAAATTCCAATGCAAACCCACTCTGAAAAGGAAATCCCTAAAAATGGCATTATGGGGCCCTGTGTTTATTGTGTTCACTGATTCCACAGCAACTCTGCTCAAACAACAAGTAAAAAGATGATATTACTAGTTATTAGCTCGGACTCACTTGGTTCTTTCTGGCCCAGGCATCATCCCTAGTAATAAAGATTTTGCAACTGAAACTTAGCTGACAATTCTGTTGATGTTACAGAATAGACTTTGACATCCTCTCCCACAGGTATGCTGACACTGCAGTGCTAACCCAAGTAAAGAGTAGTAAACACTTGTTTTAGTCACCAAAGTTATCAGATCTGACTGTGACACACACAGGGAGTAGATGTGTGGTGTAAGATTTTTTTTATTTTTTTTTTAAAGAAACAGTCACTTCTCTGATCATAACTGCAGTTTAAATATAAAATTGGGACGGTTGCCTTAGCCAACAGGAATCAAAAAATGCTGTGCCCCAGGAATTATTGTTATGAAAAAGAAAATACTAGCTTTTCACCTTCTCCCCTTCTGTTACAATCTGGATGGCATTTGGAATGAGCCGTGCAGTCTTCTCCTTTGTCACGAAGGTTATATCCTTCAAGGCAATAGAAATCTGAACAGAAATAGATACAAAAAAACACAATAAATTGGTTAGAGTCTCTAAGGTGCCACAAGTACTCCTTTTCTTTTTGAGAAAAGTTATTAAATCCCAGAAATCCACAGGGCACAAGACATGCAAGAGGAACTCAACATCAAACTAACCCAAGCTACTTGAATAAAGCATAGTAGATGTAGGGCACAGGACACCAGGACCACCCTTAAGCAAAAGCATACCAAAGCTTTGTCATTCACAGCCCTGCCCAGCCCAGCCGAGCGCACCAGAACCAAATAGTGAGCAGACAATTCACTGCACCCTTACCACTCCCACAGCAAGACTAGAGGATTCATGACAAATCCTATCCTGACAGCAAGCTGAGTCCCACAAATCTGAATGCCAATCCTGGCTGCTACACTGGAAAAGACATCTGTACTCCCTTCTTCTGCTGTAATGTCTCATTTCTGCTAACAGCCTGACAGATGTGCATGTAGGTACATTTGCCAAGTGGCGTGCAGCCTAGGGCACGGGTCACTTGCAGGTTTAAACTAGTGTAAATGGTGGAGTCTCTGTAACTTGATGTCTTTCAACCCTGATTTGAGGACTTCAGTAACTCAGCAGAGGTTAGGGGTCTATTACAGGAGTGGGTGAGGTTCCATGGCCTGTGATGTGCAGGAGGTCAGACGAGACGATCATGATGGTCCCTTCTGGCCTTAAAGTCTATGAGTCTATAAACACTGCTGTGGAATCTCCCAGTTGACGTGGGGGGCGCTCTGCACATTAGGACAGGTGAGACTTGAACTGCAACTATCTAGAATGTTAATAAGCAGCTCCCCAAGGTGATCCAAAAAAGAGCTTCCGCCTGGTCAATCAGTAAGAGTTATAGCATGTTTGTTTCAGCTGGAATCCATCTTTGCATAGCTTATACACACAAGGCTGAAGATCCAAATAGAAAAATCCCATCATGGTCTTTTGGCATTTCTTTTTCGACACTTCACCTCACATCCATCCCTCCAGCGCTGAGGGATAGAGACAATTTTAAACAGACTGATCTTAGTGTTCCATTGACTTCCAGGCTGCTCTTTGGTTTTACGGTGCAACAGAGATTTGTAACTCCAGTCATGACGGCCGGCTGCCTTTTGCAGTGTCAGCCCCAATGGAATGCCCTCCATGATTACCATCACCAAGAAGGATCCCTCAACCAGAAAGCTTCAGGTATGATTCCCCAAAACAAAAAGGGATAAGGGATTTCTTTTAAGCAAACCAATAATCAAACACACAAAGCAACTTACCGTGGTCTCCCATCGGAAGATGTTGCTGTGGAAACAGAGCCAGTTTTCAGAGAGGTACATGCGTCCTTGCAGCAGAATATCCTTCTGGAGGGCACAGGCATAATCTAGACATAAAGACCAAGAGGAGCTTACTCACTCATTACAGTCCAATCGGATCAGCCCTATTTTTTTCCTGTAAACCCAACTCTCTTTGATTTGGAAATCAAAACTAGGGGAATATCTTTCATTACTCAAAGGAAAATTCCATAAAAATTAAACTCATATTGGGCCAAATCCCATTTATTTATGGTGAGGAATCCTGTTGATGTCCTACTTTACCAAAGTCAATGGAACTATTTGTGTGAACAGGGAAATCAGAACTCTGGCCATTGTGTATTACCCTCTGGTTTCAGATATCTGGCAAGGCGTGGCAGACAATGAACTTCTGCTTGATTTTCTTTGCAAAACAGAATATTGAAATTGCACTCTACAAGTCAAGCTTCAAGTCACTTGAATGAAGTAGCCGAATACAAAGGCAATATTTTGTCTACTAATTCAGAACATATAGTCAACCAGTCACACATACCACAGTAAACTGTGCGTTTCTAAGGTGAATCATTTTACATTCCTTATCGTATCACAACCCACAACGAGTTAAAAAATCCTTATTTAGTAGATATCCACATTCCGGCAGGGATACTTCAGCCAGAGGCCTTTTTCAATCAAGGTTTCTTTTTATTACCTGTATGAAATGGCCTCTGGCTGAAATATTGCTGCTGGGAACTGACTGTATCTTGAACAGTACATTAATGGATCTCCATTAACAACAGCAAGGAGCTAATTTATCTCTTTACTGGTGTCACTCTGATTTAAGGAGCAGAAAGATTCACCACTGAAGCAGTACGTGTGAGATTTTCATAAACGCCTAGTACTGGCTTTGTTGCTGCCACTGAAGTGAAGGGTAAGAATCCTCTTAACCTACACTGAAAGCACCGTTAGGACAACATTGAGCCCTTTCGAAAATCCCACCCTAAGAATTTAAATTCTGTATAAATACTAGGTTGATTTATTTTACACATTTGAGGTATTAATTACATGCATGCGGCTGAAACAACCATGACTATTACAGGGAAACTGTCAGGTGAAACTGGCCAAAATTTAGCTTTAGTACACATCAACTTTTACAAATTGAGGACCAATAAAAATATTTCCTTGAATTTCCCCCCTATATTCAAATTGAACCAGTGTTTGCAAAGAAATTAAAATTACCTGGCAATATTTGCAACCCCAATATATGAGAAACTGAAAGCGGAACTGACGAACAAGTTAGAACAGGCTGAAAGAAATTCAGGTTAACAAGCAGCACAGCAGAAATTAAGAGAGACACTGTCCAAATCAGTCTTCTGATAGAGAATCCTTTAAATACTGTGTCCTGACTTTTAAAAGAATTCCATCTTAACTCTTTTATTAAATTTTTTGATGTCCTTCTGTGTTTATAAGGGTCTTTTGGGCAGGTATAAGATCATCACCACCACCAAAACACACAGGGGCCACTTCTCCTCCCTATCTCCCTTCTCTCTGTACACCTGCCAACCAGCCTCTTTGGTGTCAGCTTTGCTGCTACTAGTAAACACGCTTTCTTGCGGAGCTCAGGGAAGAATATGCACATGGGATCCCCCCAGAGTAGAGAATGAGCGTGATGCAAGTGATCAGCAACAAAACAGTGGAACTGACTATACACAATGGGATGTCAAAATGCAAAAAATAGGCAAACTGAAAATTGAGAATTAACATTAATCCCAGTTCTAGTAACCTACGAGCCTAATTGTAAAAACGGATATAAAATGTTAAAGATGAAAAACTTTTTAATTAAATGGTGATCTTCCAATCAGATTTTTTAAATGCTTACACTATGAAAATCAAAGGCACTTAGTTTATAGTATAGGTATGGAATCACAGTCATTTTTGTATAATCTTTAACTCCAGTTCTCATAATTATAAGAATGTACAAGAGTAACCAGAAAAAAAGAAAAACATATTATAAAGAACAGCAGTAGTTACATTTCTGTGGATAACAATGAGTAGGTAATTACTACCTTAAATATTTATAGATGAATAACTAATACAGCTTGGGTTCAAATCCACTATACCAAGCAAACAAAAGGTTTTAAGACTGGAGGTCAGAAAAGGTCCTTTTAAATGAATGCTACTCCCATGGGGTAAAGAGTAATTACATAAAAGAATGCCTTTGTTTGCTTCTGACTGAGGAGGTGCTATATGGCTGGGGTTAATCCATCAGCAAGTCTATTCTTCAAACCCTAGGTAGCCTGTTCATGGCAAATATGCTTCATAGAATTTGCTTAGTTGCTTTCTTAATCATCCCTATCAGAGAGTAACTTAATAAACTCAAACTATGTTTTGATATGTTTCTTCTAATTTACTGTGTATTGAACCCAGTCCACAGGAATGTCCTATTTTTACACAGAAGTACACTTGATGGCATAGAATAACTTCGTTTTCCATTGCAGCCTGAGAAGGATGTAAGGATTTAGCATGTCACATCTTCCAGGTGGGTGAAAGTTCTAATTTCTCTTCTATAAAAGCACTTGGCTGTTTCTGGGTAGACGGTGCTGTAGCCTGAACACCAAGCATCTAGCAAGACTTTCTTGCTGGATTAAAGGCTGCCTTTTTATTGCAAGAGATAAACCCTGATGTTATGTTGGTATCAGAATACTTATCTCTGATACAGTGTATTTGTTAAGTGGGTCTCCAGTGGTGCAGTCAGGCTTGCTTGCTGAGTGACCTTTTAAGAAGTGGTGAGGTGAGTCAGCAGCAGCAGGTACAGAGGCAAGAAGATAGTGGGTCTGATGGGTTTTAAAAGTTCTCCATTTGGTAACATCTGGCAGAGTGGGCTCAAAATAGGTGTTTCAGTGCCTTCAGGTAAATACAACAGCCTGATGTTCTTTTCTCACAAACCTCTTGTTTTTCTTCTAGTCAAACCATTCTTTTTCTCCAGATCTGTAATCCTGTTGTTGCAGTTCCACCGATGTCCTCTCGATAGAATACACGGTTCCAGTTCACCCTGGTGATCAGCAAGCTTTATCCTTTTTAGCAGTAGTCATCCAGTTAAGATTGTAGAGTTGTTTATATATTTCCCCATTCATTTCCATAACTACAGTGAGATCTGGAGTAATTTTCACTATGCATTTCTTATAAGTATCTGAGGCAAAGGGGCTGGTGGTAGCTGATATCATTGTATTTTCTCTCTGAGTCCAACAAACTCAAAGTTCTTTTTAGATTGAAGAAAAGACTCCATGGAATGGTCCTAAATTCTGCAGACCACTTTTTAGTGAGGTTCTTGGGGGGAGGGATAGCTCAGTGCTTTGAGCATTGGCCTGCTCAAACCCAGGGTTGCGAGTTCAATCCTCGAGGGGGCCATTTAGGGATCTGGGGCAAAAATTGGGGTTTGGTCCTGCTTTGAGCCGGGGGTTGGACTAGATGACCTCCTGAGGTCCCTTCCAACCCTGAGATTCTATGATTCATTGAGGTTCTGAGCTGATTATTAAGTAGCAGGGACAGAGCTCATGGTAAGTGTGACTTACCTAGCTATTCGAGACACCTTAGAAATACTTACCACCTGTCTAACAGCCAAAAATATTCTGACATGTTTACAAAAAAAAAAATCTAAACTTATTTCCCTGGGTCATGGTGAATTTAAAATGTGCATCTTTTCCGCTTAGCACTAGGCTAGCATCACAGGTCCCCAAGAAATAGGTAAGATTTTTACCTGAGAGTGCCCCTTAGAGGTACATTAATCCCTCAGAAAGACACTGCTTGTTGTGCTTCATTTCTTGCATAGTCTTTCCCAGACCTGATGGTATAGTTCTTTCTCCTTCCCATTCACTACCTTGCCTCAAAGCAAGGTGAGTTTAGCAACACAATTCATAGGCCATGACTTTGGGGACAGGGAGTTTTCCCTTTACTTCCCCCACCCCACCACCACCAAAAAAACACCACCCTTGAGACACAGGAGCTGCCTCTGACAAATTAATTTTTCACAAACCATTCACCTGATGAGACACCTGACATAGGTGCCAGGGCATATCACCTTCCAGAAGAAATGCCTTCATATTAGACTTCTGCCTTATACAGTCCTTTGAAATAGCATATCAGGAAGAAGTGACAGTTCTGGGCTGCAAGTCTCTTTCTCTCCTCCCTCCGCCATGGGCGGTCTATTGCTTCAGAAAGAAGAACATCCCAATTCTTCTCCCTGCAACCCTGACCGTCTTAAAAACAGACTCCTATGCAAGGAGAAAGCTTTCAGGAGTCCCTCTGGACATTTGTCTGTCTGTCTGTCTGTCAAGGTAACATCTACTAGCCTCTGTGCCATTGCTGCTTTTTCATGGGTGGCAAAATCTCTACTGGCAGTGGCGTATACGTGCCAGAAACAGGACTCATGCAATTACAACAGTGAGCAATGCTTTCTGGGACTTTATCTCCTGCAAAAGCCAGACTGATAGGCATCACTAACACAGTGTTCAACTCCCTGCCAGCCTGAGAAATGGTTGCACTTGGACACATTTTTAAAGATGCTTCACTTAAACCCAGTGTCACCTTAATGAGAAACATGATTTTATTTTTTTAGGCTTCATTTGCTGAGACTCATTTCAAGAGAGCTTTGAGTTTAGATTCTGTATTAACCCCCTCTCCTCTGTTAAACCTAGTTAACCTTTGTTAGTTACCGTTTTAAAAAATTGCCCCCCTTCACGCCCTTCTCATTCAACATCCGTTAAGTGTCTGAAGCAGCAGTATGTGAAGATGCACCAAATGTATTGCCCATGCCAGAAAAGAATCCAGTGGCACAAATCAAAATTTCTAGGATATAATTCTAACTCTGCTCTTTCCCCACACTCTCCAGACTAGTCATAATCCAAATATTTCTGAGCCTATCTATTCAATATGCTGTCCCAGCACATCCTTCTCAGGATGCCCTGGCCTCGCCTTTCCCCTCATGATTGCCTGTGACAGATGCTACCTTACATACGAACCCTGGCCAATAGATGTTTGGCCACCTATGGGACGGGTAGGAGAAGTTACCTATGGGACGGGTAGGAGAAGTTACCTTAAGAGACACCCCATGACCACCATCCAGAGGGGCTGGCAGCATTCCTCCAGCATAGGAGTCTACTTTTAAGAAGTAAAAGCTAAAGTTGTTTGACATTATCAGCAATAACACAGTTTGGTTGGTTTGTTCACATCTTACCTACTATGAGCCTCTCCAAATCTGGCAGATGTGAAAACTGTCTCTTAAACTCCTCACTCCTATATTTATAAGTGGAACTTGAGATCTGCAACAATGAAAGGTGAAAGGTTAAAGTAAACAGCTTTATTTTCAGCTATCAACTATCTTCATACTAGCAGGAAACTAGGGTTATAGTGTAAAGAAAATAAACACCAGAAAACTGGAAAAGAATAGACAGTATCTAAATGTATTTATCACTGTCATTATGCTCCGTTATACAATGCTATGCTGCTATAAACTAAAATCCCAAACCGAAATATCAGATCTGTTAAATACAGCATTGTCTCAGAAATGCAGCTGCACAATGGGATTTTTGCCACTTTCAGTAATTAAACTGGTAGACTGGTGACACTAAAGACTGAAGTCCAGAGAACAGGTACAAGGTAGGTACCAGCAACACAAGATTCCTGATCCTGCTTTACCTATATGATTCACCCCTTAATAAAGGGATCACATTTAGGGGTAACAGGGTAGTTTGGTCTCCAGGGACCCTTTAAGACTATAGGCTTGTCTGCACTTACAGCACTGCAGAGCTTAATGAAGACACTACCTTCAGTGAAGGGAGAGCTTCTCCCATTGGCATAGTTAGTCCACCTCCCCAAAAGACAATAGCTCTGCTGATGGGAGAAGCCCTCCTGTCCTATCGCTGCCTACACCAGGAGTTAGATTGGTATAACTACATCGCTCAGGCGTGTGGATTTTCCCTGAGCGACGTCATTATACCAACATAAGTCTGTAGTGAAGACCAAGCCTTAGCCTCTCTGCTGAGGCTGCCAACAAAGGGGCCAATTGGTACGAACCATGGTGGTGGTTTTTGTAATGTGGATCTAAACTTCAATAATACATAAAGAATTTTGGAACACTTTCCATAGAAAATGGTATTGTAAAAACAAATTCTAATCGATTCCCTGTTAACAGTAAGGTGATTTACAATAAAATAAATTGCTCCTGTACAAATCATTGTGTTTTAGCAACATTACAACTGAAAGAGGAAGAACTCACCTCCCAGTGTCCCAACAATGGGATATAAACATACCATAAAAGCCTCATTAGATCTAGTGTATGAAACTTTTATTAAGAGATGTAAGCAACAATTGGCCATTGCTCTTTCTGAATAATAAAGGTGTCAACAGATGTTTGACATGTTCCGTACACACACATTTCTGTACCATTGTATCAAGCAGTTCAGTGTAAAATACAATGAATCACTTTTTGGCCATTTGACCAGACTCTCTTATAAACGCTTAGTCCATTTTCCATGCACTATTACGATATGCATTGCATCAGTTAACAGCCAGTTGTAGCTGTGAATTTTAAGTTTTCAAAGTAATTCTGCCCAGAGTAAATTAGTCTTTAGCTAGGAGTTATTTTTAGTAAAGGAGTGATAGTGATGGCCCAAACGCATTAGCTCTAGGTATACAATCATAGAAATGTAGAAATGAAGGGCTGGATGGGTCTCAAGAGGTCCTCAAGTCCAGCCCCCTTTGCTGAGGCAGGGCCAAGTAAACCTGGACCATCCCTGACAGGTGTTTGTCCAACCTGTTCTTAAGAATCTCCAGTGACAGGGATTCCACAACCTCCTTTGGAAGCCTGTTCCAGAGTTTAACTACCCTTATAATCACAAAAATTTTCCTAATATCTAATCTAAATCTCCCTTGCTGCAGATTAAGCCCAGTACTTCTTGTCCTACTTTCAAAGGACATGGAGAACAATCAATCACTATCCTCTTTATAGAAGTCCTTCACATTATTTGATCACAGTTATCAGGTCCCACCTCAGTCTTCTTTTCTCAAGACTAAACATGCCCAGTTTGTTTAACCATTCCTTATAGGTCAGGTTTTCTAAACCTTTTATCATTTTTGTTGCTCTCTGGACTCTCTCCACCTTGTAGACTCGTATTCAATTTGTGATCCACTATAGGCCCTAGGATCCTTTTCAGCAGTACTACTGCCTAGCCAGTTATTCCCCATTTTGTAGTTGTGCAGTTTGATTTTTCCTTCCTAAGTGAAGGAAGCCTCATGTAACCTCACTTCTATGATTTTAACATTCCCATCTGGGACTTCTGCTCTGTACTGCCAGAACTGATGACCCTGTGTAAATCAAGCACTGGTTGTCTGCCTATGCTCAGGACTCAAGTTCTTTAGTCAGGATGACAAGGAAATAGATACCATGAGGTGATGAGTTGAAATGAATAGTCCTCATAAGTTTGCAAGTGCTCTTTTTACATTTAGCTAACTGTATTTTTTTTAAGTCAGCAGTGTTACAAATACCACCTATGACGACTCCAAATAAAAGGAATTAAAAATATTTTTCTTTATTTTTTAGGTTTGTTTACTGAAACAGAACTTTGGGTACAGCCAGCACCTCTGGTTGATGAGCAGCTCTCATACAGCAACAGGAGAGAAAAACACATTTTTAAAACTGAAAAAGATGTGCTTTGTAAATCAGAAGAATTGGCAGGGGAATTCAAAGGCTGGATGGCATTTGGAAAGGAATTGGCAGGAAACTACATTTAATCAGGGCCTGTGTGTTCTACAATTCAGTAACTTTATAATTTGGGTATGTTATGGAAACTGTAAATATTAACATCCGATGAAGTGAGCTGTAGCTCACGAAAGCTCATGCTCAAATAAATTGGTTAGTCTCTAAGGTGCCACAAGTACTCCTTTTCTTTTTGCTAATATTAACACTGTTACAATATGCAGGAGTTGTTGCCTGAGAATTTGGCACACGTACCACAGCATACATGCTTTTAACTCACTGTTTGGAACTGGCTACATTTTGTGAAAGTGCCCCTTTAAGGTCTTATCCAAAAGATTCAGAGTAAACTTCAAGGAACTCAATTTGTCTACCTAGGAATCTTGGAAAGCTGAGTCAACTCTGCTGAGATTCCTGTGGTTTCAGGGAGTCTAGGGTTTTTGAACTTGATGCTTAATGACTGCAATCTGTGCTTGTGATGATGGAGCACTGGTACACACACAAACAAATGTATTTACAGTCCAGTACAGTAAATGTGACACAGATAATCAAACTACAAGCTTTCTCACACTGGCTTCAGTATCATCAGTTTAAGGAACTACCCCTCCAAGGGGAAGGAGACGTAATGTCTCCAAACAATGTGTGTGAGAGAAAAGAGCTATGCAAAAGCTAGATATTCGGAAAAGGGCATGAGGCAGTGGAGAAAGCGTGAATGTGCCTGTAGAAGCCTAATGCCTGACACAACCCAGGCAACAGCACTGAGAAACAAAACTCTAGAGAGTCTCCAGAATCTAAACACTAAGTTTCACTCAATCTCTAGGGCATTAAACCTGTTATCTCTATGTTCCTTACCTGAGAGCCCTTTGTTGGCATATAAAATCATGTCTGTTTTTCCAATCATTTGAACAGAGGACAACAAGAAGAAATCATCCTGCTTATGTGCACACTAAGCTTTTCAGACAGCTAGGAAAAACCTGCTCTGAATTCTTATCTAATCAGTCCAGTTCCACTGGAAGGAATTTAGACATTGAACTTTCTTAACCTTCTCCTTTTCTTGCTTTGTATGGCAACTGGTTCGCATTCCTAGGGCTAGAATTAAGTGTTGACTTTCCAGCCACCCAATCTTTTAAATCAGCCAGCCATAACCAGCAGGGCAAGTTGTGCTGGAAGACAAATGGGAGAAATTTCCAGACCACTGGCACAAAAAGGCTGGAGCTCATTGATGCTGTGATAATACAAATAAATGAATAATATAAAAAAAAAAAAAGAAAACAAAAAACTCCTAAGACTTTTCAACTTCTCCAAGAACTATACCTCAATTGTTCTACAAGCTTAAGTGTAGTGAAATTTATGATAGGCTTTCATTCTGGGCTACATGAGATGCCACAGAGGTTATGCAGAGGACTGGCAATAAGTAGACAAAAGCTCTAGCATTTTATACAGGAAGTAGAGGTTTCAATTTTAGCACTATAGAGCCTGGGCATTTCTCACAGTTTAATTACGTCATCATACATATGATATCATGCAATGCCACACTACAACAATACTATAATGAAACTAGATAGCTATATGTGGAGACAACCTGTGAAAAACTATGCACTACCATATCACCAATTATCTGATCAATTTTTGTAAATATTAAAAATAAATCATTGTAGGAAAGGTAGGTAATGAAGACTAATTATGAATTTTTGTTGCCCATTATATAAATGCCCTTAGGTATGCCATGCAATTTGTGAAAAAAATATCAGCAGAGTTAAGCAAGACCTATCCAGCATTCCTGAACTAAAAGTATTACAGAAGAGACTGTTACTTCAGTACACAGTATCTTTAGAAAGCACCCAGACAACCCACGAGCTTTCCAGATTGTCCTACTTAAAACCTAATCCATCAGGAAATTCAGAGTTAACCTTCCAAAAGCAACCTTAGCTCTGTCTCTTTGCAATAAAACAGAGTCTTACTAAAAGATACCTTCAGCTAATAATGTATTATTCAGCAGATAAAGAACTATAGTTTTCTATGCTGTTTTTCCAATGAGGCTCCATAGGTAAACGGAACTGTTTAAACTGCACCTTATCTTTCTATCCCTAAGATGTAATGTTTCCTAGAAAGTGCAAAAAGTCTGAACACATCTCAGGCAACCACTTGGAAAGGAAGTTACTTGAGAACATGCATAAGTCAATGGGATGACACACAAGGTTAAGAACCTTGCTGAATCAGGGCCTGAAGGAGAAGAGCTATACAGTCTATTGCATTTGCCTTTTGTTGTTGGTTGCAGTGTCCCAGAGCAGGAAGGACAAACCACATCACACACTAGTTGGCATCTTGCGTTCTCTGGATTTTATTTTACAGATATGAACACAAATATAAATAGCTATGAACAAAATTATGGCTTCACCAGTGGTGACATACCCCCATATGTATCCTGATCTCAACCACAGACCCACACACCTGCCAACAGTGCTTTCTGACCTACGCACAAATTCCTGCTAAGTACTCAGGGCAGCACGTTGGGTCCCAGTGCCATGTAAAGCCCTCAGGCCATCAGTGTTAGATATTCACTGCTTA